CTGCATATATATAGCGTCGACGTTAAAATGTTAGCAACTTATCGTCTCCTCGTTTTAGTGTGCAAACACGTTTTAACTTTTGACACATAAATAAAAGGACCGTAAGGTAATTATATATAAAAAGTATTGTATAAACGTTATTCGGATAAGAGGAGTATTTATAATTGCGAGTAATTAACGTATCCATTACGAAGTAATTAACATGACTTTTACAATGCAAATATATTTTTGTTATATTGTTCACTTCTGAGAAATTTGTCGGAATAAAACATATCTATCCGTAATAACGTTAATAAATAATACGGAAGTATTGTGATCGCGTATAAGCTGCTTGAAGCTACCTGAGTTGCGTGAAGCTACCTGAACTGCGTGAAGTTACCTGAGCCGCGCGCGATGCTACCTGAGCGATTTACTTGTGAAAGTATCGGCGCGTTCGTTTTGCTACATTCTTATTACACTCTGCCGCATTCATGACTTCCTGTAGCACAAACGTAGCAATCCGCATAATAGCACCATCGGTCTCGTATATACCTCATTTTGCATCCAAAGAAATTATAGCACTCTAGCGATCCAACGTATAATACGGAATGTATATGACTGACGTATCCGATGATGGTCGTCGCAATTGCAATGGTGCAAGTAATAAAGGCCCGTACTTTCTAAATATAAAATCGATACAGTTGTATACAGTTGTAATTATCTGTAATAATTGTGTAAAATATAAAATTATCAAGTATTTCGTTAAAACTTTGGAACTTTATAGATTTGTATTAAAATTATAAATATATAATATCTCGTAATAATTGTAATACTTTGTGTAAAATTATTCAAGTATTTCGTAAAACTCTGGAATTTTAGATTTGTATCAAAATTATAAATAAATAATATTTCGATAAGAATGTGAATATTGACAAATATTTAAGAAATTTAGAAATATGTAACAGTATGATAAATCTTGTAACCATCTTGTCCGGGACTCCTGAAGATAATCCCTCTCTCATTTTAATTTTAGATCATGTATACGACGTTAATTATTCTTATCGAAGCGGGGCACGACGAATCTCGAATAATGTTTCGCCTAGAATTTAAAACACAAATAAAAAGACGGGCGAGCGGAAAGGGAAAACTATGCGAGCGACTTCGGCTTCTGCCGGCGCAAAAATTTCCACGGGCGTAATTAAGCGCAACTCGGGTGGGCAGAGAGCCGGGCGTGCATGGAGTTCTAATTGCATTCGTTAGCGGTCGACTGCGATCGCATAAATAAACCTCGAGCGCGGTTTTATCAGGATTGCGCGATGACAGACTTGATTTTACGGTTTTCCTTACCGCGCGGAACCACCGTATATATATACATATATATCTGTTTGCCTTCTTTTTGCCGAGGCCCGGCCAAATGTGAGCCGCGAATCTGGCGCGACGTGAAACGTACGCTTAGAAAGTTTAAGCTATAAGCACTTTTCCCGCCGCGCGAGCTGAAAGGCTTGGGAACGCTGCGCTCGTCCATGAGGAATGCGTATCGACTAAGCGAGGCCCGCGCTGCCGTTGTTCGCGCGGTCACCGACATTACGACTCGCCGGACTCGATACACTCTCCGTGCGCTTACTTTCGCGACTGTTGACGAGGAAGTGCATCCATCCGGATAACATCGGCGCGCCTGCGGGCCGAAAGAGGAAATCAGAGTCTTCCTCTTCCTCTTCGTCGAGATCGGTAGAAAAAGTAGCCCCTCGAAATTAGACGGTACTCACTCGCAGGAAAATCATAAAAAGAAGAAAACGAGAAAAGAACTGCCTATTTGTTTGGAATGGACGCTGATGAGGTTGATCAGGCTTTATGAAGAAAGAACAAATTTCGAATTGAATCTCCCTTTGACGGCGCCTTTCACCGTCTCCACTTAGCGAAAATGCTGAAAATTTGAATGAAAAGCGACGCCGTCGGCGAAAATTTGAATGGAAAACGACGTTGTCGGCGAAAATCCGAATGAAAAGCGGCGTTGTCCTTTCGGAATTAGTTCGTCTACCGCGAGGGGTTCAATTACGGGGTGGGGGGAGGGGGTGGGAGGATGATGTTGAACGTGGGGCGTTATGCAGACTAATGTAGCGCAATAAATCACTTAATTGAAATCACAATACTACCGGTGGTTAATTTATGGTTCGAAGGGAACTAAGTGCGCTCTCTCTAATGGCTGACTTTCTTAAGTTACATCGGTTTACCAGCGGGATATTTGGTCGACATGGCAATTATTTCTGTCGACCTGATTTCCAAGTTTGTAGCGGGTGTAAGATAGCTATCAATTTCGCTGCAATAAGATGTAATTTCCGTGCAAAAGCGGAGCTTTACGCCAATGTCCTATCGCGCGGCGTTACGATTTTTTATGTGTTTTTGTTTTCACTGTTACATGAATACGCCAGTTAATTACACGCATAATCCTGAAATCTGATCCATGCATCGATGCACAGCACCTGTAACGTTACGACCTGCCCGCGCGGCGTCGTAAATAGAGTGTGGCGAAGGTAGCATCTGCCAAAAAAAAAGGATTGAAGGCGCCGCTTTTCACTTGTGTATACGCTTCAACAATTATCATTGCCATTGCGAATCAGATTGTGAATAGTTTCAATCCAAACGCTCTAATTCGCGCCGACAAAATTACGTTACATTTGTTTCTCATTATACTCATTCTTCTTTGAGCTTGAATAAAAATTTATAAGTTGAAGGTATAAAGTGACAAATCAACGATATTTGACAATTAACATTCAAACACAAATTAAATTTTTCTGTGAGGAAACGAAAATCCAATTTAATTCTCGATGGCGATTAAGATATAACCTTCAACGCTGAAAAACACTGTCCGACTCGTGTAAATGCCACTCCCACGATCTCTCGAGACGAGGAGAGAAACCGATCTCTCGTCTCGTTTCGCAGCACTTAGAAATCTCGTCGTTATCGACCACCTCTACGGCCGAGATGAGTGTCCGAGAGATCGGAGAGAGATTATAGGCCGCCCGCAATGACGACGTATATAGCGACGATGACGGCGGCGTCGCGTCGCATGTTCGCGGACAGTGAAGACGATCAGAGAGAGCAGTTTAATTACTCGGCCGCGGCGTTAACGATCGTAATAGCGGCGCGAGTGAAAATTAAATCGCCAGTTAAGTAGAGCACGGAGCGAATCCGAATGCTCAGGAAAAATTGTACGGCACAACCCCGGAATTAGGCGCGGATGTTGCGCCGCGAGATCCGCCATTCACCCTTGTCCTCCCGTCCTCTCTCCTCTTCCGTGTGATCCTTTCGGCTTAATTGAGACCCGATTACGCCGCGAGGATTCGGTCTAAAGCGACGATTAGAAGTTATTCTGATGCCCGATGATTTCACGTCCGGTTTTTTTCCGCGAGCGCGGCCTTCGCGACCGGCAAAACGCGACGCGACGCAGAAGCATTATTCATGACGCGAATAATCGATCGAAGATCCCGGAAATGGTCTCGTTCGGCGATGACACGGTCCGCTAGTGGCGATAATCGAAGGTTCTAAGGCGGAAACGGCGAAGCCTCACCCTGCCCGGGGAATCGAGACAAAGGAATCGTTCATGCAAATGCGGCTTCAGCCCTGACATTTTGCTCGTGAGGTTTTCCTCACGGTTTCTCGAGAGCCGAGAAACTCGCGGGATGCGTTTCGCAAACGATACGGCTCGCGGGAAATTTCTAAATGTAGCGAGGTCAAGCCTGGTCACGTCGATTTCCGGTCTGTCAAAAATCAATTTGGCGGATAAACTCCAAACGACGCGGATATCAGTTACTGCGACGGCTCTAAAATAAACTTCCACGTTTTCTCATTCGGTTTTAATATAGTTTCTTCTGAGCTGGATAATTGTGTAAATGCTATATCTGTGTGGCACACAATGGATTGTTGAACATAAATAAAGCAGTTCCGCTGATTTTAGATCTGTCAAAAAATTATTTGAAAACTGAACAACAATTGAAACGTATCGTATCAGCGTGGTAAACGTTAAAACAAGTTTCCGCTTCTTATTAAGTCTTAATTTGTCTTAAGAACAGCTTTAAAACAATTTCTTCTAATAGACCGTTCAAAACTGTCATTCGTTTAAATTGTTTCTCAAATGTTGACGGTCGTTTAAGAAAGATTTCTCTGTGATTATATACCTCCTGGCACATAAATCGCGAAATTAGAGCATTTGTAATCCGTTTAATGGCTATTTTCTACGATGACGAGGGACTGGCATCATCATGCAGAACGCGAGCGGTCTCAATTCTAAACTTAACATAAATGCAGATAATTTAGATTAAGGTTTGAATAAATTATAATAATGCATGGGAATCGATATTTTCAATTAATTGATCTTATAACGATGTTACTAAATTAACAAGGCTGATTGAAATACTTATATTAAATTATTAAGTATTCTAATTGTTAAATGTCACAATAATATCTTAATAAAATTATCAAGATAAAATTAATTTAATTAAAGTTAAATATTGTTATTAAAAGTTATTGTTATCTAAATATTAGTACATGTCAAATTGTTTTTACCTGCAACACACACAAACGAAAAAATGTAATCTATACTAAATATAACGAGAATAAAATACTTCTAAAGTTTTGACAAGTACCTTTTATTTTGTATAATATTGTCTAACTAAAATATTGTTTAAAACATGCCTTCTCGAAATCCATCAGAGTATGTTGTTACACGAGCATCGCGTAAATGCGAAAAGTTTTGCTATAATCCCATTGACGTGTTTACCAATATATATTTTCAATACGTTTTAACGCAACATATAACGTCAGGAAACTGAACGCTTTTCCGCGTTAAAAAAAAATAACATGCCTAAACCGTAAATTTCAGTTAGAGAACCGATGCCTCGACGTTTGAAATATTGAACGAGGCGAGCGAGAGGTCCCATTCAACGGTTAAGGATGGATCTTCGGTAGAAGTGACCGTCGATTTTGCAGGTAGACGGACAGGTAGAAATGTGCGCATAACTCACCAGAATTTTATGCACGGGTTCGCCTCGGGTGTGGGGCCTCCGGGCCGGGCTTGCGACTCCGATAGTCCAACCGATAGGCAAAACGATCGTGTCCGTTTTCGTGGCGAAATTCCGTGTTACTGAAAGCGGCCGGGACCGGAGCGAAACGTCGGTCGGCTTTACGACCGGGTCGAAAGTACCGGCGAGCGGGCACCAAGCCGCACCACGGTTTCTACAGCACAACTGGCTTTCGAGAATTCCCGCTTGGAATGCCTACGAGGAGGAACGGTATATGCGATACTCGGCCGTGCCTACCTCGACGGAATGGAAAAGGCACGGCGAGGAGGCATCTTCGGTGCCTCCACCGCCGCCGCGCCTACGGTCACGTGCGCGCCTCTCATGCATCGCGCCGTAATAATTGAGATGCATCGATTGTCGTGGGGACATACTCGAAATTGGACGGTTATTATACAGGGATTCCTTGGAAACAGCCCGGCGCAAATGGCATCGGCCGGAAAATACCAGAAGCAGAGACGAAATTTATATAATTCAAACTAGGCACGTCTCGTTAAATAAATTTTAATAGTGTTTAAAGATTATCGTATGTTACATGTGGTTTATACGACCTGATAAAATTCTCGTCGTAGTAAATAATTTACAGTCTGACGTTCTAAGAAAATATGCGCTGCGCGTCGCACGAGAGGAGAATCGTGCGAAGAGAAGTAAAGTAATCGATTCTTTTTTTTTTTTAGAAAGAGAAAAAAGTAAAATGTCATTAGAATTGTTTATTTAGCACAATTTGCAAATGTTTCTAAATGTTTAAATGTTAATTAATGTTTTGAAATGTTTTGAATGTGAGCTTGCTGAATAACTCTGACGTGGTATTTTATACGGATGGGCAACGCGCACGAATTAAAAATTTGCAGCACAAACTAACGAAATCGTTCAATTGCAATATCGCCTCTGGCATTCGTGATTTTGTAACTTCGCAGTTATGTAAAGTAAGCGGCTGAGCTACGAAGAGTTGAAGTCGCAGGTGTGGAACGCGAATATATGTTCTTCCATACGGCGCGTTTTTAGACGGATTCTTCGACCGTTAGTCATTACGCAGACATTACTTATTATCCGTACACTTTGAAGGTTGCGAAAGAATTGATATTTGTTCTATTAATTGCTGACGTAGGTTCTTATATTTTGATTCTTATATTTTGGATATAAATATATTAATAATTATTAATAATGATATATAATTATACGTATAATAAGTATGTATAATAAATGTTATAAATTATTTATATTGCTTTTTATTGATTAAATAAATTTCGTGACCGTTAAGCAATGTAAAGGGGAAAAGTATTCGTGTGATTTCGTATTATTAGCAAAAATTAATTACATGTTTAATACTGTATTTTAAGCTTATTAATTAAAATACATATAAGTAATATGCGCGAGATTTACAAAATGGCACACAATTAATATTGTAATATGTGTTTTTATATTCTTGTATTATATTCTTAAATAATATGAATTTGTCAAATTTTTAAGTGCGAAGAATCTTCGTGTAAATCGACGCCTACGAAGTTCATTACATCAGAGATACGATCTCTGTCAACATGGACGTAATATGATCTAATCTATTCATAGCGCGCTTCACTTGCGAGAAGTAATTATCATTTCGTAGGCCGTGCGTGTAACACAATTACATAAATGGTGGGAAACGCGCCCACGGGATTGCACAGACGCGTAAACAATTGTACAGATTCTTCTCATGAAGCATATAAGTAATCATTAAGTTTATTGACATACAATGCATGACATAATACATGCGATCTAAGTGTATATAAATTGGTGTAAATATATTAAGATATATGTTATATGATATGTGTATAGAGAGAGTGTTCCATTTCTCACGCACTATTAACGACAAATTCTTCGATGAATTTAAAGATAATTTTTCTCTAGCGAAAATATCGATGTCTCTTTACTTTCGAATAACTTTCGAATTATAAACGACTGAAATAGATAGTCAAATAAATTGCAAAATTACATTCATCAACTCTAATTTCAGGTACAGTTTATTTTAATAAAAATCTAACTTAGATCTTAATCGCGAAGATATATGATGCTACAGATTGAAAAGTGAAATAAATAATTACCTCTCTCTTTTTCTCGATATTTTCATTAAGAAAAAATCCATTTCAAATTAAAATTCAAAGACTTCGAGAATTTCCGCTTGGAATTTTTATCGTTAGAAAATAAGAAATAATAAAAAATATATATATTTCATTACTTTTGAGTGATTTTTCCATTCCTTCAGCTTTTCTTTAGGCACAAAGGCAAGTATTCACTTCTCTCTGTCCGACGAGCCGACAGCGAATTGACGGGTAACAAACGGTCGCAGCTAATCTTTGCAATTCATTCCGCGGAAAAATTCCAAAAAAGATTCACCACAGCATTAATGGAAACGTTAGTAGGATTATTTGAAACTGCGTAAATCGCGCCGAGTCCGTTGAAGCGTATAGTAACGCGCATTGGTAACGGGAGGAGTCCGGATAATCTCTTGATCGCTCTCGTGAGAGCCGGAGTGCGTTCAATCTCGCGGGAGTTACCTTTCTCCTTCCTCTTCTCTCTTTCTCCCTCTTCCTCCGCTTTCAGAATGAGGATTATTTTTATGATTATGCACCCCGTGCTGTTGCTCGTTAACCGCGCGGGGGTATTCCGAACGAAGGCCGATATGCGAGAGTGCGCTTTAGCCGGCTATGACGGTCGGCTAATTAGCGAAATAAATTTTCGAGTAATAACATCGAAATAAAATCACGTAGCGTACGTTAGCGAGTGTAACGCAAATCCGATATTTACAGCGGTGCCGACTATACGCGCACATATATTGGGTGGTTCTCCAACACGAATTATTTATGTAATTTGATCTTCTGCCCATCACGCCGTTCGATGCAAAATGCTGATGTTGGCTCATAATTATTTATAGATGTACGACATCAATTTTTTTAAATGCCATATAAGAATATTTAATTTTAATTTTTCATTTTTTAATCTTGACTTTAATAACGTTATATAAAATTTATTTTGATCGTTGCGATCGCATGCACCATACACGCGTAAAATAATGATCTCTATAAAATTTATTACGGTATCGGGTTTAATCATTTCAACAACTTTTAATTAGGTCACTGTAAATATTAAAGAAAGAAGAATTTTATAATTTTTTTTTTTGAACGTTTATATATTTGTAAACAATATTTATACTATTATATTAATAATTACAATTAAAAGATTGATTAACAAATAACATTTTCTTAAAATTTCATTTTTCAAAATAGTGATAAAAATTTTTCAACCAAATTGATTTAAATTTGATATACATATTTTTAGATGTATACTCTCCATCTAGTCACGCAGCGATTTTTCGATACATTTACTTTTCTCTTATCGATACGATGATAGCTTTTTTCGTGAAATTTCAATTTCACAGGTTTGAACACACGCGATTTTGCTATTTCAGCAAATTTCAAAATTATTTCACATTCTTATACCTGAAACAAAATTATTAGTTCAAACTTTAAAAGATTATGACATTCACGTTCTTATACCTGAAACTAAATTATTAGTTCGAACTTTGAAAGACTATATGACATTTATTAACGATCGAGTTAAAAACTTAATGTAATAATTCAAGATCGATGCGTGTGTTCGACGGATAATAAAATAATTAGCAATGAAAAAATCAATAAAAATAATGATCGTACGTTGAATTTGATCTGATTGCGGTCTACCGTATACCATTCGGCGTATAAAAGTGCAATTTTAATTGCGACACTTTTTAACGTCAAAGCAAGGTATATACGATTATAAAGCGGCTGTGAAGGATGAATTGAAAACTGCGGAATGACTGCGTTACTACACGTGGCATTAATGACTGCGAATTGTGAAACGTGTTTCTCATTCCATTCAGGTAATCTATGGTTGTTACATCTCTCGCGAAGCTCTCTACAAAATTGTGGTCTGCAATGACCTACATACTACTCAATCGATTCATTTTCTTTCGACCGCGCTCGGTTTGCACATTATGGGCTCCTCGTGAAACGTAAAATGCGTTGAATAATGTGGAAAATGCACACAACGTGCCACATTAAAATGAAGGTGATCAATTGAAGTGCCTATGGCGTATGGCGATTACGCTCTTATGGCAATTCGGTTGTTCCATTAATATTTATAACGATATGTAATACTTGCGTTATCATAAACGATCTTTGTTTTCATCGCCGACGAGCGATACGCAATTTACTTGACTGAATTTTAGTCACGTCTAGCCCCCTTTAATAGTGTGTCATTGTGTGCCAATGCTGTACGGTGGCATAAAATATTTGTCCTCTATAGGTTCTGCATGTTAATGAAACAAAAACGTGTTTGCGCGTGGAAATCATACTCACCGACATCGGGCTCGGAAAGGAGCCCATTTAATCTGTTGTCAAGCAGCACATTACATTAAATAAATTTATTAAACTATCTAAATTTAAAACATTATTTATATTTAATAACATACGTAAAACGTGTAAAGAAAATTATGTATGTCTTTTAATACATGTCTTTTTATTAAAGAGAGGTTTATAATGATTATAAATTCTAAATTTAAACCAAATTTAAATAATCGTATTAAAATTCAATTAATAATACTTAATAAATATATTTTATTAGCAAACGGTTGAAATTAAAATTTCTTTGTTATTATTATATTGTGTAATAATTGTAATTTACATTGTATGTTAAAAAAGACAGAAAAAATGAATGTTTAAATATTTATACTAATAACATATGAACATTTTAAAGACATTTTTGTAAAAATTATTTCACATATGTATATAATTTTTCTCGGACGTACATTCTGCCTATTCGAATTTTGCCGCTAAATATCATGTAACATTACGTAGTACCACGTGGGGTACTTCTCATCATGGCAACATCGCATACAGCGTTGCCTTTTTAAAGGTCATCTCACACCATCAAATTGCTCCACATTGCTCGGCGCCCGGCGACTGCGACTCGGCCATTTTCTTCTGGCGTTTCGACGAGTGCGGACGAGTCAGTAAAGGTGAGCCGTGAACACGTTCTCAGTAAGCATTTTTTCCCCTTTTTACATTGAATTATTACGTGGACTTCTTCTGGAACAATGAGTTTCGCGTTACAAATTTAATTAATCGGTTCGGCAATATAAGCGGGAGAGAAAAAATGAGCGAATCCGCCGAAAATGCTATATCGAACGCGGGCCACGTGGCGAAGCGTCTCACGCCGGAGGAGATCGATAGAATGCGGGCGCAGGATTCTCGCTTGGTGTCCGAGTTTCGCGCGAATCAGCTCGAGAGAGACGCGAAAAAGCACTGGGATTTGTTTTACAAGCGAAACGATACCAGATTCTTCAAAGATAGACACTGGACCACGCGGGAATTCGAGGAGTTGCTCGGTTTGGGCGGCAACGGGAATCAAAATGTCCTCCTCGAGGTGGGCTGCGGGGTCGGCAATTTCGTTTATCCCCTGATAGAAGACGGATTGAAATTTCGGCGAATATTCGCGTGCGATTTATCCACGAGGGCGATCGAGTTGCTCAAGGTTCGTGCAACACTCGCTGAATTGCAATTGCAAATTGCCGTGCCGCCGGTGCTTTAATGGTCCGTTTTCTTGTAGAGTCATACGTTATTCCACCCGGGAACAATAAAAGCTTTTCAAGCGGATGTTACGTTAGAAAATTGTTTCAACGAAATTGATTGTCCAGTCGATGTTGCAACTCTGATCTTTGCATTGTCGGCTATTCATCCTGATAAATTTCACAAGTATGTTAAATGAAAAGGTTACTGATTCTAATATCGTTAAATATATGTTGCTTCACACAAGATTCTAATCTGTTTAATTTGCGATTATTAATTATCTCGTATATTTTTTTTAATAGAGTTGCCCAAAATATATACAACGTCCTTGGTAGCGGGGGAATCTTGCTCTTTAGAGATTACGGATTGTACGATATGGCACAATTACGTTTCAAACCTGGGCACAAGATTAGCGAGAATCTCTATATGCGACAAGATGGAACCAGGTGATTCTATATATACTTTTCTTTTCGTTATCTGCTTAAATACAAGGTCATGATGCTTTTATAGTTCAGTTGATTTATAATGAAATAAACTTTTTGGATTCTGATTATACTAGATAAGACACAATGTTTTCTTGTCTGCGTAGAACGTATAGTAACGATAGTATGTTCTTCTAATTTTTCAGGAGTTATTATTTCTCTGTCGAACAAGTAGCATATCTATTTGAATCTATCGGTTTTCAAACATTGGATTGTGGCTACGTACAGAGACGTACAGTAAATTTAAAGGAAAATATTGATGTTCCGAGAATCTTTGTACAGGCAAAGTTCAAGAAATCTTGATTGCATAATAATGAAGTGGTAAGTTTATTTCGATGCTTCTCTATGTACGATATTATATTTATATTTGTTGTAAAACACATAAAACGCTTTAATGATTATTTTATTTAAAGTTTGAATTTTTGAAGAAGAAATTCTTTTTAATTTTTATATATCAGAATGTATGCATAATTATATCTTCAAAAGACTATTAATTTATGATTTTATTTGTTTACTTGAATGATGATTTCATGACCTATCAGATTTTTAATGATTGAGATGTCCTGCAGTGCTGACTCTTTCATTAATAAAATTATCTTATTTATATTTATTGAATTGGTTGTAACAATTTTTTTATTTTTTTTATTGCAGATTACTGCAATTCAGTAACATTTATGATAAATTGTATGAGGAAAATTTTAATTCTCAACGACTTAGCGATGTACAACAGAAATATATAAGTGGCTCAGTCGACATCCAAGGTATGCACTTTTTGTAGTGTAGTTATTGTAATTATATATTATTATATTTGTACATTAATCTTTTATAATGCGTGCGTATTATACAATTAAATGATGATTCCATAGTTCAGCTGAAATTACTTTGACGAAAGTTTAATATTATGGTCTTTCGCTCCTATCTGATATTATTTATATATTTATATATTTGTATATATTAAATGAATTGAGATTTAAATATCTAAAGACGACATTATTTTTATATTTTAGACATCTCGGATGATAAGTTGAGGAAACTGGAGTATTTTCTAAATATATGGTAATTATTCGTTTATAATGCTTGCGTATTATACAATTAAATGATGATTCCATAGTTCAGCTGAAATTACTTTGACGATAATTTAATATTATAGTCTTTCGCTCCTATCTGATATTATATATTTATATATATCTATTAAATAAATTAAGATTTAAATATCTAAATACAATACTATTTTGCATTTTAGACATCTTGGATGATAAGTTGAGGAAAAAGGAGTACCTTCTAAATATATGGTAAATTTATGTAAATTTAAAATTTTTTAAATATTATTTTTAATGTATATTCTTAATGTGATGTATATCTTTGAATATTTTGAAGATTAAGTCATGATATATATTTATAATTCGTCACTACCACTGAGCGAAAACTAAAAATTAATGCGTATATGAAGTTATATTAAAAATAGCTATAGCAAATAATTGTATTTCGTATACATTACAGAAAAAAGTTTGGATGTTGCATGGCTTCATGTAAGAAGATTGATTCGCAATCAGATCTCGAGTTCGACTTCGTTTTCATCACATGTTTTGATTTATAAAAGATCGATTAAAGAGTTATGAAAAAATGAGATGCTTGTTTGAGGAACTTTTTGAGGAACAATAAATTGTCACATATTGCTGAAGAAATGACGATTCTAAATATGGATAATACTAGCACAAATACAAAATAATATATATGGTAAATCTAATATTTATGTCGTATATATTTTTTACTTAAATGTATGTAATGATGATTTAATTAACACCATCTTTCGCATGAATCGTTGTGATTACGTTATTAGCTCTATCTGATGCACGACTTTATTATTAATGTATTATATTTAAAAAATTTATATCTTTATGAACCGTAAATAATTTTATTTTTAGCAGGTTTAATGTGCAGTATGGCGTGGATATTGTGGAAACATCAAACATTTTTATTAAGATCTTGAAGTATTTTTGTTTTAATTTTATAAATAAACTTTTTAATGCTATGTATTATTATGTATCTATATTAATCTCTGACACCTTTATCACAGCCTAATTCTGTATATTCCTATTTTTGTTAAATTCGTGTTTAAAATCAGATTTTCTATGCAAAGTTTATAAAATTGGTGCACTTTGTCACTTCCTATTTTTAATTAATATGGCAGAAATTAAAGCTAGTAAGTTAATTTCTAGAATATTATAGCAGCTTCCCGCAAAGCAATCTTTGATATGAAACACCATTACTTGCTTCAGTATAAAATTAATAAAGCGCCACATAAGGAAGTAGTCTTAATATTATAACTTACAAAACTAAATTCGAGTATATTATAAAGTAGAAAACTTTGAATAAAAGATATCTGAAAAGAGAATATTTTATAATTATTAACTTATTTCTATTCTTTTACGTACGCAAAAAATAATGATATCGAAAAATTTTAGAAAACGATGCAAAAATTTATATACGTTGTAAAGTTCAATTTTTTATCACTATAATTTGATATTAAATATTTTGATATTAAATACAAAAATTAATACGAAATCGGTGCAACCACATTATTACTTATTTCTACGATTTGCTGCAGTAAGTAAATTAACGCCATAACTTAATTAATTAACTGTTATCGTTATTACACTACATAGATACGAATTATATAGTATGAAGCAGCAAACACTGATCGCGCTACTAGTACTAATAAAACGCGTTTCGCAGAAGAGCTGTGCATATAACGATAGAGCTCTTCGTTCACCTCAGTATGGTGAAAGGATTAATAATTGTATGACTTCATTGCAGATATATTGAATTATGATGTCAGAATCGAGATAAATGAATTTTTTATATGTATTACCATAATTCGTAAATTATCCTAGAATTAATTAAAGCTCGAGTTTGTTGAAAGAGATGGTGATAAATAATATAAAAATAAATTAAGACTAAAATAAAATTAATGTTTTGAAAAATTTACGTTTTACGTATTTTTAAAATAACACAAGTATAAATTTATTTACAAATAATGTAAATTGTTAAACAAAATATACAATGCTATACAAAATTGCATTGATCACTTAATTATTAACGGATTATAACTAAAACTTGCGTATTTAATAATACAGTATATGTATATGTATTAGTGCACTTTTAACATTTATATTTATTATCAGTTTAATTAACTCTCTACCGGCAATGTGCGCAATTTGTTAAATGCAGTTAATTGTATTTGACACGTAAATTAATTGTTATCGCAATGTAGTTATATCACCACTCATTGTAAGTACCACACATTAACAATCCGTTAATAAAATATTATGAAAACGCATGAAATATCGATGATTATAACCTGGCGCTGAGAAATTTCAAAATGATACAATATATCAATAATAATCCAATTTGAAATGGGGACGGTATTTTACGACGCATATACACTAAAATTACATTATTACTTTTTCTTGTACTAGAATATAATGCATGCACTACTTTTTTAAGATTTATAGTAAGCCTTAATACTTAAACAATAATTATATTATTAAAATAGGTTTAAATATATTATTTATATTGGTATAAAATCGTTAGAAGTTTTTCGTTAGGTTATATATATTATTTACTATAGAAATTATATTTTTGTGTGATAAACTTTCGGATGTAATGAGTACTGTATATTAATTAATATTTTTCTTTCGAAATTCTCTTCCCTCTTTCTATTCTCATTTCATTTCTGAAATCTTTTTATCATTTTTAAGATTTTAATAATGGGCTATATTTTCACTTTTAATACCACTTGCAAGGCAATTGCATTATAAATTTACACAATTTTTTCTGAGCAAAGGAATATAAAATGTTAATTTTTAACCTATATATAAATATATATATACCTATATATATATATATATATATAAGGAATATGTATATATATATATATATATATTCCTTCGAAAGTAGTAAATATCAAAAATTTATCTCGAAATACAAGGAATAAATTATTGAAATTCTTTACGAAACCATTAATAATTACACATTCTAAATGTTAATTATATCAATATGATAGGATGCGCCTGTCATTTCGTTATATCATTTATTGATTTAAAATTTAATATCTTTTTACGATTTCGAATTGAGATTAAGGATAACTATCACTCTGGCGTTAAAATAAGATACCGTGCATATTATTGGAAGTGAGATTGTAAGTGCAACCATCGAAACATTTTTAAACCGTCGATATTTCATGCGTTTATTAATTAAATATAAAGTATAATAATATCGTGTTCCAATTAATTTTGCTTTGAAATACTGTCCGCAAAGGCGCCGTGCGCCGGGGAGCTAATCATTCTATTTTTACAATTTCTTTGCTTATAAGTATAATTTACGAAATAGTATAATTTATCACAATAAATTTATTTTATTTTTAATGGTAAAAAATTAATTAGTAGCAAAGGATGAAATCTATCGAAAGGTCGTAGCATGTCTTTCTTCATAATTGATTATTCGTAATTAATACGAAGTTACCTGTGTCCAAAACATTTCGTGTCCAAAAACATGAATCAGTTAAGAAAATATCAGGGAGAATTTAGTTGTGTAATATTCTGCCGTTATATAATAATGATATGAACGTTGCGCAAATCGTATATATGATGGTATACCTCAGTGACATTCTTTCGTCTCATATAAATATTTTGTTTTGCAAAGCGCGACAATAAAGGCGCGAAAACTATGCGGAGACGAGAAATGTGGGTAAAAAAATCAGAGAGATGAATGTTTTAACGGACTGAATTGTTAATGAGTTAGTTTCGTGTTTATTGGACTATAAAGACGTAGCACGGCGAAGGTGACGAGCCTAATATTAATCGTCATTTTATGCAAGTGCGTCATTTTTTGTTCGTTATAAACCGGACGAAATGTATGTAAAAACTGAAGTTTCAATAAAATGCAGTGCAGCCGATGCAGAAAGAGATAATTTAGTTCGGCTATCGGGGTCACGACACCGATCACTCTAATTTAGAAACTAATTATGCGGCGCCATCGAAAGAAATATCAAGAATTGCAATTTTTTTCAAGAAATTCGTAGGCTGACAAGTATCCTTGATCTTTTCTTTCAGGCGGAAACTTTTAACCCGTTCTAGGTCGAAACAGAATCCAAAATTAGGTATGACGTTCCTGAAAGTGATTCGCAATCAGCGGATGAAATATGAATACGAAATTCTTTTCATTTCTTATTATCAACGATCGGGAAATTCGACGCAACATGCTTCTTAAATGTGTCACGAATTCTAAGCTCGGATGCACGAGCAGGAAGTAATATTTGTTGCGTACATCTCGTAGCAACATTCCCTTTACATAAAATTGCGCATTCTTGAAAATGCTTTTACGTGAAACTGCGTCGTCCGTTTACGTTTATTTATATTTCGCGTTACTAATTAATTAACATAAATGTTTGCAAACAGAAGGTAGTCCGAGCGAACGGTTTGAAACTGAAACAAATTCGTACATTTTAATTAATTAATTAAACGCGTGCACGTCAACTGGATATTTAATTAGCTTTTGCAAATGTAAATATGAGCAACCGCATAGCAGAATTTACAATACTATAGTAAATATAGCCATGCAGCGTATGGAGACTGCCTCATTGGGATTTAAGGATTAATAATTTGTGGCGTCTAATAAAGCAATATTTAAAAACGGAAAAAAAATTCCATAAATTAATTTTGGAGATAAATTCGACGAAAATAAAAACATTTTTTTGTGCGAGGTTTATAAATCCTCTTTCTGACACATCCTTATTTCATCGGGCATAATTAAGAACCACTGGTACAATTTTTAAAAGCGTTCCAGAAATATTTGTCCGTCGCGGAAAAGATGGTCACGTCGCAAGGTGAACCAACTACCGTAATAAATTAACTTTATTCGGCCAATATTGTATATTCCATTTCAATTTTTCTATTCTATTTTTCCTACGTTTTTTTACCGCCATTTATTCCAAATGATTCGACGACGAAACCGGTATTAAAATAGAATCATATTTGAAACTCATCAGTTAAACTTTTCTTTGTGCTGAATAATTAACATGTATAATGATTTTATTTTTTCCTTTTTGCACAATACGATAATTAACAATTTTTTAATTAAATTATGTAATTACGTAAAATTGTTATTAATAAAAATATTTATAATAGAGTGCATAAGTGTCTAGTAGACTTTTAACATTTTAAATACATTATTCTTTATAATTTTATTAATTACAATGCATTCATAATTGTGATTTATGAGAAGCTTTGTCGTAATTAAGTCTAATATTTTATATGTCATGTAACACGCAAAAAACATTTGAAAAATAAAAGTACACAGATGTAAAAGATGAATATTAAAGTCCTACATATGTATCAAAATGTGTGCATGGTGCATGAAATTATAAATGAAATTTTACCCCGGAATCTGACGCGAATCGTAGATCATTTCAAGTGAGCTTAACTTGACCGCTGATGCACAATAATTAATTCGCACTTTAAGGTTCACCGAGCGCGTACCTAGGAAGCGAACACGGGCGCGAGCGGTAATAATTATGTCACAGTTATAAAACACTTTCCTTTGGCGGGTTGCCAAGGTCCCTTGCCTCACCCGGGTTTCCCTCTATCGAAGGTACGCAAGTGCATCGCGGAGTACGTGAACGCGATATACAAGGTAGATCAGATCATCGCGATAGCGGGCATCGGCGTCGATAGCGCACGGCCGCGAATTACATATACAGAAGATGTAAACAATACGTGCCATATTGTTTATAACAACCTCATGTGTAACCAGTCGCGCGAGGCGCACGCACACGTACGAACACACGCACCGCCCGCGCGATCTGCGTGCGTCCTCGTGCATTGATCAATCGGCACGAGTGTGACGCATGCAGAAATCGCTCCGGGTCGTCGGGTATATAAACCATCCGCCAAAAAGCAGAGGCATCACACTCAGTTACTGTTCCATCAGCTACTGATCTTCCAAAAGCTACCCAAATCAACCATGAAGTGCTTCGTGGTAAGTATTCCGATAGATCGTTATATCGTTTAATATTATTCGCACTGCACACTTGTTAAACCTTCGAACCAATTTGCCGGACAGGAAGCTACTGTTCCGACGAATCGCTTGAAAATTTCATGCTCTTCTGCATTTTGGGACGATCAATCGGGTTTGCATTCGCATACCGCATGAAATATTCCGATAGATTTTCAGATTAATTCACTCGCCGATCGGCGATACGCCGATTACAATCTAATTACCGCATTATCGCGATTATCTGTAAATCGATTCGGCTTGAACTGCATGTTCCGGTTTTGGCCTCAAGCCGCGCTTATACTGTAATATTCCAGTGTTACTCCGATAATTAATTAGTGGAGAATTTCCTCGACTTTAGAGAGATTTTCTTAGAGAATTTTTCCTCCTCCGAAAATTCGTTTTTGTAGTTGCAGCTATTTATTGAACATAAGCTATAAATAAACTTGAAATTTAAAATCTTGCTAAATATGTCTAAACTTTTTAGACTTGCAAATTGTATCTTTATTTTGGTCTGCATATCTGCAATCTTATTTCTCGCCCTATTTAGCATAGCTATATTTTCACGTTATTTAAATATATTGATACTATATATTTATATTATTTTATTTTCGAACACGCGAACATATTAGCGTGAGCATTATAGAATTATAAAATGTTGAGTATTATTAAGAATTAAATATATTATAAAATCCTATTAGGATATTAAGATTACAAAATAACTTTTCTCTTATATGTCACATTAATCGTATTATTAACAAGAAGTACAACAGCTTTAGATTATTTCGCACAAATTCGTAAGAGATACGATATTTCCTAACATTTCGTTTAGTAAATTAATTTTTCATTTAGTAAATTAATTTCTTTAGAAAATATACTCGTCTCAGTATTTATTGGTGTTAATTGAAACAAAAATGGCTTGCTTATTTATATACGAAAACTAAGTGGTAACATTTAAGTCCCACTTTTGCGCCACGAAATTCGATGATAAGCGTCGACCGCGGATTAATTCACGCGCACGTTTTACAGGCTATCCTCCTCTTGGCTCTCATCGCCATCGCCATGGCGGCGGAAAAGCCCGCTGAGCCCGAAAAGACCAAGGAGCCGCAGGTCGCCGATGCCGCCAGGGATAAGAGAGGACTCGCGTACGGACTTTCGCCGTACGCGTACCCGTACGCATACAACTCTTACCCACATTACCCGTACACATACGGGTCATACTCTGGATACTACCCCTACTACCGTAACTCATACGCTCACTACCCCACGTATTACAACCAATACCCTTACTACTACTAAGTTACACATCGACACATCGAAAGCTACGGTGACTCGGGATTAAGATGGGCACAAGATGAAAATCTCATGGAAAAACCTCATTACCTCATGGAAATCTCACGGAGAAGAAGTTCTGCTCTCGAGAATTGCAATCTAATCGATCCCGAAAAATTCCTGGTGCAAGTGTATTCGCATTTGGTTCTTTGACTGTCGATTCCTTTTTCCTATGCTTATTGTAATAATAAAATTGCACTACATTTAAAAGAGACGCGTTTTCTCTGTTTATTAATTCTATTTCCCTTCTTGTCATTTTCCCTCGAAACTTGTAATTTCCCAGATTTTAATTTCCGAAAATGATAATCGCGCAACAAGCTATTAAGCTTATATTGCATTATAATTTGCGGAAGTAATGTTGCAAGTGAAAAAGCGAAAAAAAAAGAAGGAAATAATTCATAATGATTTAATGCAATTGGTAATTTTCGGTTGGAATATTACGCGCAATTTGGAATAATGCTGCGCCCTTAAGCCGCCGAAAAAGTTTGTTAAAGGGCTCGCGTTTGTGCGCGCTTATTTTACATATGAGATGCATTGCTAGATAAACAGTCCGGCGGTAATTGCGGTGGATAATTAACAGGAAAGCATTGCGAATTTTAATGACTGCCAAAGCGCGTTAATTCGGATCCAATTTGTGTAACTGCCGAGCGCGCGCAGAGCCGTTGTAAATAAATTAATGGCAAAGGCCATTTTCCATAGTCAAATCCGGCCGGAGTTCATCGCCGCGTTGCATTTGCGGTTTCGCGTTTCGTTACGGGCGCTTAATGCAATGATCGATAGCGCTAGGACTTTCAGATGCGATGCAGGAGGATGTCGAGCGGAAGCGATTGGCGTTATTGGAGAGACCGAATCTCTGCGAAATGAGTTGAGGCTCGTAAAGCGCGTGCACCCGTATACGGGAGGCATTAGCGTCGTCGCGTTTCATCATTAGCCGTGAACATTGACATCAGTTTCACTAATGCGACACATGAATTTTGTCAGAGTATCAACGCCAACTAAGCTGACACAACTACTTTAGCATAATCAAATGCGACTTATAATAAGATTTACTTGTTATACTATTAATTTATTATTGCCGTACCATTAAGGAATATGATCTTTTTACACAGTCTAAATAAAAAATAATCTTCAACAATTGTCGATCGGCGCATGTTGTAAGAAACCCCCGCGAGAACTTGCATAATTTTGATTAAATAAAATACAAAATAGAAAAATAGAAAATTGATTTAATCTTTCGTTTATTGAAATTAATATTTTTCTAAAGATATATTTTCGATCTTATTACCAAATTAATTAAATAAATTATCGATTCGATAATTACATAAATTTAATTACAATAAAACTTCTTGTAAATTTATTGTTCAAAGTATATAGTAATTGATACAATATTAGAAATAATAGGTACATCTTGAGTATTAAGGCTTTATTGGATATTCGTGTACTGAGTGTTATTTATATATTAGAAATAATGTTTGATTGATTTATATAAAAGAATAAATTATATAGTTATAAAATGAAGTTTACTATCTTCGCTAAAATGACTAATTAGAAAGTCTGTGAACTTAGATATGTTCCAAAGCAATTTCCTGACAGAACTCTGAATATGAACAGCAACGTAGAAGCCAGAGATGATCCAATCAAAAACATCTTAAAGATCGAATGAAAAACGTGCAAAAGATCGTTCCTCGATATTAGCGTATCCACGATATATTTCATGGATCTACGTTGTTCGATACATAATTAAATCGCATTCCACTATCTACCTTCCAAATGTGTTATCTGTTTACGGATTCCGTTGCCGAAGAAGGTCGACGAGCGCGGCGTTATCCAATCGGCGATTTTTGTTTCGCGCGCGACATTAAGTCGCGCCCGCGTAACATGCGTGCAACAGGCGTCCGGAATACTTCATCCGGGGCGTCGGAACTGACACCGCGGTCCGATTTACGCGTAATCTCGGCGCATTACACAATATACCTGGTTACTGCGAACGCTTATTCCGTATTCCCTAAGGCCCGAAACTTCACCCGTTCCCCGGTGACTTTCACTGGGCGACCCGGGCGAGAGCGTGACCGGAATGTCACGCCGGAGTCGTTCGCTGCGTTTCGCGCGACATCCCCGCCATGACCTCGTCGGAAGTTCAAGACAACGCTCATTTCCTCTAACTAGTACATTTTTTTCATCTAGGGCATAACTTACGGACGGGAGCGAAGCGGATGAAAAAGTGATGAAATTTGATTTTTTTATATCTGCTTTCCTTTACTCGTACTTGCTTTATTATATGTATTGCATATGTATGTGCGTTCCGCTTCAGCTGATGAAGGCTTCTCTTCATCACGAACGAAATGCGACCCGCGTTTGTACCTTTTGTTGAAAACAGATATTGATTTTAAATGCCTCTTCTGTGACTTTTCGTAGTGATTAATAGGCCAATTTGACCTTCCCCGGATTTTTAGCTACGCTTCATTATTCTCTTTTTAGTTACATAGATTTATTAGTAGAGGTTTTCAAAATACATGAGATGCATACATAAGATGCATTTTATGTTAAATTCTGCTGAAGTATACGCGAGATTATTGATTCCATCACTAAGAGTTAATCCTTTGATTTAATTTGGATGTTTTTTTAAGTAGATATTATGCACCTATAATAAATGACAAATATTTTTTTATTTTATTGTACAATATATTTAAACTTACATTTATGACAATCACGTTATCGAGGATAACAGATTCGGTAAGCGGCTATGAAATTTCGAATTACAGGACCGCGCCGAATATACGACGTACTTTGCATCGATATGTATAACATCACGAATCCGTAACAGTATTGCTTAAGTTCGATCGATGAAAGCTCGTAAGAAAGTCTATTGTAATTCGTGAACGGTCGCGACCCGATTGTATTTATACATGTGCTGGTATGACCGTAGCTTAGTCGGCGCGGACTTGTCCATCCTTAAACAAATTAGTTTTCTTGAGTCGCTCAGTCTAATTCAATGTCGAGGCCCCGTGGGAAATAGCACAGTTTCTTGTTGCAAAAGACAGAAGAAGGATTGCCTCAGTGCAGTGTCAAGTGCGAGAAGGATTATATGAATTTGAAAATGCGGCTGCTTTTGGTACATAATAAAATTAACTACAGAACTTTCTTTCATGTGATTATCATGTTCTTTATCGGCATACATATGAAATTATTAAAAATGTAGACAATTTTGAGCTTTCAATTTTCATATAAAACGTCGAATTTCATTAATATATTTCATTTAAGAGAGCTGGGCAAATTAATTTATAATTAATTAGTAATTGATTGTATTTAAATGAAGGTTTATCTCTTTTCTGTACAATTATAATAAGCTTTTACTATTTTAAAACATTAATTAAAATATTAAAAATATATTAAAATGAAAAGTAACTTATACATTTTTTTTTTAATTTACTGCTACACTTCGCATTTTAACCAAAATATTTTTACTTATATCTTTAATTTTATATCATAGCGTTCAACTATCTTTGTACAAGAAATATAATTTACTCTCAGGTCATACATGTTCTCGCGCTGGTGCTTTCGTTGACCCAAGCTAAGCAGAAAGTCAAAGTGCAAAAGCCAGAAGTCACGAAGCTGGAGGTGGTGAACCTCGGCGAGGTACAAGTTAAATCCGACTTGAAGCAATCCAACGTTGAAGCAATTCAACGAAAACGAGACTCCGGATACGCCTACAACAAGCCGCATCGTGTCTCATCGAGTGCTCGGCTTCGCATACAAACGCATCCATCCAGAAGTCAAATTGCATTCAAGATCCCTGGTCAGTTGAGCAGACCGTTTATGAAATATGGACCACCGCAGACTCACTCGACTTCCGATCCGGCCGCGCACGGATATCATGCTGAGCAACATCAGAACAAATTGCAGTACGACGTCGGTCAACAGCAATCGATCGGTTTCGGTGGCACGGGACTGGCGGAACAGGAAGTACCGAGTCCGATTAGAAACGTCGATTTCACGGAGATGAATCCGATCGCCAGTCAAAATAACGTGCCGTTTGGTATGCACACCGCTAATTATTTACCGCCGCGAAATCAGCAGCTGCCGGCTTATTCCTCGACGAACAGTTTCGAGCCGCAGAGCTTTCCGAATCAGGGACAAATTCGCGGTACGAGCTCGCAGAATTTCGTACAGACACAGGTAAATCAAATTTCCGACGCCGCGGTCTTTCTGTCCGAGAACGCGCAGGCGATTCAGCAACTTTACGGCGCGCCCGCGAGTCATCAGGATTTCGCGCCCGGCAACGAACACTTTCATGGCATCGGTAATCAGATTCATAATCCAAGCGATCAGTTCGAGAGTACCTCGCAGAATCCTGAAGAATTCCGTGGCACGTTGCCGTCATACGCGTCGGGCACGCTCGGTCCTCGGGAGACTCTGGAGCAAATTCAGGCTCTAGAAAAAGATCGGCTGATCGTTCAGCTGCAGCAGGCCCTTGCTCAGGCTCAGAACAGCGTGGGAAGATACGCTCAGAATCAAGCAGGTTTCGTTCAGAGTCAAGAACTTCTGGCCTCTATAAGCCAGCAAGTGAACTCGCGTGTTCCCGCGACGCCGCAATCTGCCGCCTTCGCCTCCGGAAACACCGCCTTCAGTCAGTCTACCTTGCTACCAGGGACCACGGTCAATCCCTTGAGGCTTCCCGTTAACTACGGTATTCCGACCACTACGCAAACTCCGACTACAACAACGGTAGCGGCGGGAGTCTTCACCACGCAGCCTCCATCGCAATCGTCCGAGGGCGATAGCACTGCCCAAGTAGTATCGTCGCCATCTAACCAGCCTGGCTCTTCCGTGACTGGATCTCCCGCGGGAATTCCCGTTTACGGTGGATTCGTGCCGTCCTTTATCACGGGAACCAACTTCCCTCCGAGCTACAGCACCGGCATCCTCGCGTCCGGGTCCTTCAGGCCCGAAACGTCGCCCACCCATTTTGGGATACCGATTCCCACGGAACCGCCGCATCAGAAACCGGTGTCGGGATTGGCACCCTCGATCCCGGCGACGACAACGACGCCCCTCTCGCCCGTCCCGCCGCCGAGTCGACCGGGGATCGCTCTTACCCCGGCGGCAATCACGCCGGTGGCCCTGCCAATTCAACCGATACGACCTGTTGCTCCCCTCGCGACGCCGCTACACCCGATCGCCGCTCCCCTGCTGCCGGGGAATCCCGCCCAAGTGCATCCGGCGGGACCTGTGACGTCAACCAGCGTGCAACACACGTACGGACACGTGCAGACCGCGTTGCTCAATCCCCTTCTTTATAAACCGGTTAAAGCCGTCTATCCGGTGTACTACTACCCCGTGAACGTCGCCTATCAGCTGCAGAAGCCCGCCTCGCCGAGCTACCCGTGGAATTACGCGCCCTTGTACGCGACGCAGACGGCACCGGCGAAAATATGGAAATGAGGTGTTCCCGTTCCACGCGTAAACGGATGATCGCAAGCGTCGATCCGCGGTATTGTGGCTGACTGTCTATCCGCGTGGAAAAGAGAGAGGGCGAGATTGAAGAAGAAAGTCGCGCCGGCGAAGGAGAGTCACTGTCGCATTCGTGTGATTTTGATGCGCTAATGGCGACGCGCTACATCGTCCACTAAACTTTTTCACATAAACGATTTCATTTTCTTCCTTCAGTAAGAGAGTTTCAAACCGACAAAAAGAATTGTGCTCTGCAAATCAACCGTTTCAACTCCCCGTTAGGGAGTTCCATTGGTTTCTGTTGACATAAAACAGATCCGAATTGCATGTTGTATTTGTTATTAAAATTCTAACCAGATGCATGTGGGATTTAACTTAAATTTATAGTTTTTATTTCTACCAGAGATTTGTAGATTCTAAAAGATTATTATTTTTTTTGTTTAATCTGTCATGAAGAATTACGTAGAATGAAATTAAACAGTTTCACGCAATTGTATAATAACAGACACATTTTAACATTTGCAATTTCTTTACGGTCTTATATTTAATCGTACGTATTAAAATATGTATTATTACGCATGCAAATTCCAATAACATAACGTAATTCTAATTTATCAAAACCTACATTTGTATTATAAATTTTAGAAAACGAGGAGATTATTTGTCCTCTCTCTTTCTAAATTGTCATACTGCGCTTAATACACTCAGCATATTTAAGTTTCTCACCGCTGAAGATAACCACAATGATTGTTCAATATACGCCTCATATCCGCTGCACCATCTGTCATAGCGCATCCGCTGATTTCGAAATTCATCGTCGGGAAAGTGACATTATGCAGGTGATAATTAGCGCAGTTGTTTCATTGGAATTGGGATACTGTGGCAAGAATGTCAAAGCGAGTGTTTCTAAGCGTCACTCGTCGTTTCGAATTGTCGATCACGCATAAAAGAAACTTCGTCTTTCATACGAACGCGTTCGAGGTTATTTATAGAATAGGGATATTCGTTGATTTCTCTTAAGCAAAAGTGTTCCTTTTATTACTTTTTTTATCTTTGGATTGTATAAGCTAATGTATGTATGTGTGTATGTATGTGTTTGGTGCGTATTATATATATAACATACAATAATTATTATAAAAATAAATTAATTGCTTATCAATTTAATAACATCATATAAGTGATGATTGCGAAATCTCATGCGTGCTTCTTCTCCGAAACAAACTTATCCTCGAGCATATGTAAATACACGTGTTCTATTTATTGTGTTAAATAAATATTTTTGTTACTTTGGAAGCCGATTCTTCTTTGATGACTTTGATGTCGGCTCGTTTTTAATTTAATGCTTACAATTAATCTACTTTTATCTAATCTAATTTTCGATAAAATTTTGAATGCATCAACCTTGAATAGCGATATTAAGGAACTGCGCTAAAACGGCTGAATGCGGGCATCCAAGACGTGCGCATAACGTAAATCTAATTGCAGAGCGCAGTATGCACGTGGCGCATCTCATATCGCGATGGAAAGCTGAACCGAGGAAATGAATTACCGTTACTTCCGGCCCCGGGCGGACCTACACGAAGAAACTCTCACCCGTGTTAGCCGTAACTATCGGGCACGATCCTCATCGCCACGCCATTTCGATTCTCTGACCTCGAAAGTCGTTCGATAATTTCAGCCACGGTCAACGCAACGTCGGGTTATCCGAGCAATCCTAGGCATGCATAACGTATCGCGAGATCGTGGAATTCTCGAACGATTGCATAATCCTTCTTCTACCAGGAGAGAAGGAAAGACACGTGCCGCTGCTGTCAGGCCCGATTCGTCGCTCGGAATCGAGATCTTCATATAATCGAGGCGCATTCCTGTTCATTTAACGACCTGCTGACGCTTGCTAATTCCTTGCGATCCATTTGCGTTCTTCTTTCGTTAATGAATTCGCTAACTCTGCTCTTCGAATCGCAAAAATTTCTTAAACCAGGACAAAAAGATGAAAACATATTGCTTTGTATTATTAATCTATTTACGATGAAAGTGAAACATATACCTATATAATTTGGAAAAAGAGGTAATTAAATGTATGGATTTCAGAGAAAGTTAAAAAAGTTATTGAGTTCGCCCGGAAAAGATAAAAATCTGTGAAATATCTATTACAGGAGCAGTAAGCATAAAATTTAAGACGGTACGCTTTTGTAGATCATATTTTTTAATATGGTATGTGTATATATATTTATGTGTGTGTGTGTGTGTATGCGTACAGTCCACTGCATCTCATTTGCGTTATTTACTAGCCGGTATTCTCGAGGAAGTTTCTAAGCGAAACACGACTAAATCGTACCGTTACGAAAACCAGATTTCCATGGTAGTTTCCCGCAGAACGTAGTTTACTGCAGAGTGGTGTTTGAGGGGTCAAGCATGCACCGAGTCCGGAGAGACCATGGGGTCTCTTGAAAGCGCGGCTTGACCCTGAGAGACCAGCAGGCTCATCGCGTTTAAACCTGTTGTCAACTCACTTTCCGCAAGTGACCCATATTCCACCGTCCGGTTTCCGTTTTATTCCGCTGGTGCACTTTTGTCACTTTACTCTGAATTCGTACAGCATTTTTCAGACACGCTTTCTGGACCCTATATTTGAGAAATCCTATCCATGTAGCCTATATTCACCGCCACAGATATGTAAATTGCCTCTATTATATGCGAACTGGGCGTTTTTTTTGGCTCCAATACTTTTTTCAAATTATAATGGACAGTTGAATATTAACCGTTTGAAATAGTCGAATAGCGCGAGAAAGCGAGAGTTCCGGCAATGATCAGACTGGATCGGCAAGAAAGATGAGGAAGTAAGATGTAAAGTGATTTATAAACACATAAGAAAAAAGTGCGGGAAGCAGTGGGAAAAAGTTAGCGGCTGGGAAAGCGAAGGAACTGACGAATCTGAAAAAGGGAAGACAAATCTCAAATGACAGGAAAGTAAAAGATCAAAGTATTGCCAGGTAATGGATTTAAAGAATCATACGTTCTAATGAAAGAGTTAAATCGAGTGCAAGGAGCTGCTCGTGACGGTGCAATAAAATTATAATAAAATGATGAGAAAGCACGAAAAGCGAAAGCGATTTTAAGACATGTTTTATTCGAAATCACATGAAGCAGAATAATGATTCATCGATATCCGCGTATTTTCAAGTGGCGTTCTAATTTTAAATGGTTTTCTTGATAAATGATAGAATCAATTTTCTTTTTAAATTAATTTCTTTATCGGTGCATCAATATTATTTTCTCAATTTATTTATATCAATATTTATATATATATACATATATATAAATATTTATTTGAGTCAAAATCACAAATTAATAAGTTTTTAAATTTTTCGGGTTTTTCCGACTTTTAATATAAATTAAATAAATACAACATAACTACAAATATATTTTATATTTAAATTAAAAATTAAATTTGATTAACTAAATTAAATTCAAACGAAAAAGTTAAATTAAATTTGATTAAATCTAAGTAAATTAAATATAAACGAAAAGAACCATATATTACTAGCACAATTTCAGCATTTCTTTGCTCATCGAAAGGAATGGTGTTTGCGGGACATTGTCTTCAGTGCTTCGTTTTAGTGCGTGCCTTGCGCAATAATACACACGTGCACTATACTTAGCTCTTATCAAGATGTTAACGGCGTGACAGGTATATTATTCACAGCACACGAAAGCTGCGATAATATCTGGACGTTATTTAAGGATACTCTGTGTTACGCATATGTACAATAGATATCCACTGATTATTTATAGGCAAAATTCTCGATGCAGTTATCTACATCGCAAATTTTATTAGTAATTCCTGATCAACATCAATGACATACATATTTACATACATAAATATAAATGTTAATTGGCATGCACAAATACGTACAGTATATTTGGCCATTTTTTAATTTTCAGTATACGCGCGATAAGTTGAAATTAACATAAAAAAAAACAAGTAAATTACTAAATAATTTATTTATATAAAAATTATGCAGAAAATAGTATGGAAATATTAAATATATGTATGGTACATTTTAAATATAACTGTGCCAAAATTATAATTAATTAAGATCACTACGTCATCTCGTTATCCTTATTTGTCTTATCTTCTGTCTCTCTTTCTCGGAAGTAGACCGCGATGATTGTCTTAAGAATTCCTCTAATTCGCTGCCTTTTAAATTGGATGGCCGCAGGCAACGGGTCCCTTTCTTCATCTCTAGTGAAAGTAAAACGATCGAATGTTTTCGCTATAATTTAGCATGTTGGAACGAGTTAGATGTGTTGCTGCGAGTCTCTGAGAGAATGGTCACAATATACCTTCTTACGGCTGCATTCGTTCCTATATACATATACTGCGATATGTTTATCATACAAAGGCGCAAAAAACGAGGAACGAGATGTGGTAACTTTTTCATTCATTCCCATAAACGCATGCATTTTACTTTCAAACGTCAATCGGCTTTCAACGCGCGCTTTGCGATGGTATCTCATCTTTTTCTATGCGCGCACGCGGTCCGAGAACACTTGTCAGCGAGCGTCAACATCTTTCTCTTGCTAGTACATGCTACACTTTACGTAAGAGGCTGATGAACGAAGCTAACGTGCAAGCATAATACTCTCGGCGCTGTGTAAGATGTTTACCTTACACTCTCTTGCAACCGATATTAAAAGTAGAATTAAAGTTCTTCCCTATTTCTTTAGATCTAGAACACGGAAGGAAGTTTCTTGGATAAATGCCGCGCACGAATCTAAGATACTCTGAAATATTGTTTAAATTTTGCTTTATTTCGCTTAAAACGTCGAATTAACGTTTGCAATAAGTAGTGAGAATCAAATCGATTTTACTCTTTTTGTCGTTTCTCTTAGACACGCCTGGTTTTTGCATTTTACGGTACAAAAGCAGTCGATTTTCGATAGATCGATAGAGAAATTTAAAATTGAATAAAAATGGGTATACTAAAAATAAATTGAACGAGTGAACGCGCGAAAAGATGCTTTCTTCATTCAACAATTCGATTAATTTAATGTTTCTTATCAACATTTGTAAGTCGTGAAAACGGGAATTATGAACGTTTAAAAAAACACGCATTTTTGATTAATTTTAATGTATAAAAGAAACCAGAAATTATAAATGTCCGATGTATATTTGGACAAAAATACTGAAATTAAGGAATACTAGAAAAGTAGATTTCTAAAAATACATAAATAATTATGTATAATATAATTTTACCTTTCTCTCGTAAGCATAATTAATAGCAATAATTGCTAGGATTTACATGCGGAACGGTACGTGTCTCGATGAAATTTAAATGGATATTGTTGTTTAAATCACGACACGTGCTGTACTTTCCTCATGTTGGATTCGATGTCTCTCTCACTAATCCAAATCGAAAGTGAAGAATTCAAAATGAGCTGCCTTGTTGCGATTCGAACAATTACGTTTCCCTTGATGCCTTACGAGACAATACTTCCGCCTGTCTACAGTAATTAATACGCTACATAATTAATTACATCGGGAAATAGAATGAAATAAAATATGTCGAAAATAAGGTGGAATGGGGCAGCTCGTAGTGACTCTTATCACGTTGAAATTAGATCGCCGAGAACGTAATAATTAAAAACGGCTTAGCGTATCTTACTATGCCGGTTTACCGAGGTTCTCTTGATTCTAGGATACTAGGCGATATCGCTCATGGAAATATACAAGGAAGAAAACAAGAGCCTTTAATTGAAAATATCCTGAACAGAAAGTGCGGAAGGTGGTTGAACTTGTTGTACACTTTCTCGTAACGCTTTGCGAGCAGGGGGTGGCAAGAAACGAAGGGACAAATTTTTGATCTGTTACATGAGAAATGCGAATAAATCTTTTCGATGGGAATTCCTTGTTCACCGGTTAACACTCTTTGTCAGCGAATTTTAAGTCTCTCCTTTTTCCTCCCCTCGATCTCTCTCTCACATATAGATTATTTCCTCAGGAGAATATTGCTGTTTCTTCTGTTCGACGAAGGAAAAACTGACGGTCGATAAGGATTGAATTAGTTTGTTTCTCACCCACAGGTGGGAATTTGATTTGCAAAACACACGCGAGTACTCCCCGCGTCGCAGTTGACTACCATGTGTGCCAAACGGCGACGCGACGATGCGACGCAGCGCATGACACATCAGCGCGGGGAGACTTACCTTCACCTAGACCTTTCTTTCGCAGTACGCGAGAGGGGATCCATGTATAAAGGCTTTCTTCTTGCTAGCAATGGTACCAGAGACCACAATATCATTCAACCACTCGGCTGCCACTAGGTTATACGTGAGATAGATACGAGAGCAACCCCATGTCGACAAGCATGCAGTTTCTTGTAAGTATCACGTTCCTCACAAGTGTTTGCAAAAATTCACAGCTTTATTTTCTAATTTCTATCCGTATCACCGATCATTTTATATCTTCGTGTGTGTCTTGTGCATATTACATTCGCAAAATTGCTTCTTTTATACAAAGTGTTTAACAAAAGTGATGTTCAGTTTTATGTTGAATTTTTATTTTTAAGTGATTTCTAAAAAATAAAGTTTTTTTGCTTACGTTATTATTAATACATAGCGTAATAATTTATATAAATATATTATAATTCATAAAATATAATAATTTAAAGAACGAAAGTTTTTTTATTAAGATTCTTTTTAATACGATATAAGTATTGCATTTGTTTATTTAGTTATTTAACTTTCAACAGATATTATTCTTAAATGTTAATTAACCAATTATTTTATATTTATTTAAATTTGCAATTTTTTAGTACTATCTAGTTTTACCTGAAAATTAATAAATTAAATATATTACAATTACTAATACATACAGTACAATACAATTGCATTTATATGGTACATAAGACTCTCCCGTTAATTTGCAGAGAGTCTTATGTACCATATAAGTAGTTTACGATGTTTTTAATTTTAATTATAATTTTTGACATATGAGTGATGTATAAACAGGCTATAAGTTTAATTATTACACGAGAAAGAAAAAGATTTTAATTTTTATTTCTATTTTAATGTTTCTTGAGGAATGTATATTTAAATTGAATAAACTTATCATCTTAATAAAATTATTATTATAATAAATTTTCTTTATATAAGAGTTATAATTAACTAATTATAATAAATTTAATTATATATATATAGCTTCTTATAGTATATATAATATATATGTTTTAGCTTTTCTTAATAATTATTAATTATATATATTATCCATAATTGGGATGGAATTAATTAATTAACTATAATTGAGAGAGTATTTAAAATTGGTACATGCAGTATTTTATAAATTGTATGTCAAATTTTCAAGGCGCGTTTGTATTAATTACAATCCATTCAATTCACTATGATTAAATAATGATTAAAAAAATGCTCTGCCACAAATATTAACTAAATAACAACAATATACTAATTATTACGATGTAGTTATCATGTAACCGCTCATCTAATCATTATTAGATTACACATCACATTACTAATCGACTATCAACTTATAATATTGCATAATTATGCGCTTGATTATCCAATTAATTTTCGTATACTCTGCTGACTAATTAGAATTTACCTGCTTTTTGTTCAGTTAATATGATTATTTATGGCTTAACTTTAATTTTAACTCAGATAATTGGCTAACAGTACCACTTGTATTCCACTTTCACGCAAACCGATCAAGCCCACGAAAGTGGGTTACCCTAGAAAGTAATGTACGAAGAAGAACGATAACAACTGATCTGATCGCGTAGGTGTTTCTGGTGACTCTCGCCTGCGGGGTCTGCTGCATTGAAAATCTGCCGTCTCAGCTTCTATTGCAGCCGAAGGAAAAACGCGGCGTCGGCGACCACTCGGTGACTTTCCCGTCGGAATCTTCCTCCACGTATTCGGCTCCACTTCATTCGAGCTCCAGTTATGATCTAGGTGGATCATCTGGTGGCTTCTCCCTGGGGCACGGCTTTCTCAACTCGGGCGGCTCCGCCGGTCACGGGATCAGATATTCCTTAGTGCATTCCGGTGGCCTTGGATCTGGATATCAATCGCCTGGACTCAGCCATCAGAGTCCCTTGAATCATCAGAGTATTTCCTCGGGTGGACACTCGGCTCAGAGCACCTACTCCGTGCCCAACTTAGCGAGTCCCCATCTGGGAGGCGGCGGAAGTAGCAACGCACTTTTCACTCCAGCAGCGAAAACCGGTCCCGTTACCTTCGGTCCCGCCCACGGTGGCGGCGGCGGCGGCGGTAGCAGCAGCGGTGCCGCGAGCTCTTCCGGTTCTAGCTCGTACAGCGCGCCGATCTACACTTCCGGCGGTCACGGTTCCGGACTCTCGGCCTACAGCAACGGAGGGACATCTAGCCTCGGTCTTCAGATCGTACTGGGATCGCAGCACGGTCTGTCGTTGGGTTCCCCAGGCGCCTCGTCGAGCTACAATCTTCCCATCCACTCTGCATCCTCGAGTCCCTCGCATTCCGTGACGGGTGGTCTGATCATCGCCGGTTCGCACGGCAGTTCCTCCGGCTACAGCCTGCCAGCGTCCTCCGCATCCTCTCACGGCGTCTCCACCCTCGGTGGCTCTTCGGGTGCTTATCGAGGATCATCCACGTACAGTCTTCCGATTAGCTCTCACGGATCTCACGGAATCTCCTCTGGTGCCGCGTCGTCCAGTTATCCCGTTTCCACAGGATCCTCCAGCAGTCATTCCGGATTCTCGGGCGTGTCGTCCGGTGGAGGTTCCAGCTATAACGAGCTACCGATCGCTTCGGGATCTTACTCAAACTCCGGACCATCCAACGCCATCACGTACACTTCGGGCTCTTACTCGAACCCCGGACCATCCAACGCTATCTCGTACACGAATTACGTGCCGTCCCACTCGTCCCATTCTGGCAGCAGCTCCAGCTACTCCAGCCCCAGCGTCTCCTACGTGAGCCCCAGCCACGTGGGCTCCTCCGCTTCCGGTTACGTCAACGACGGTGCTAGCTACACCGTCAGCTCGAACTACGCGGCTTCCGCTTCCAGCCCGCCCGCCGTGACTTACACCGGAAGCAACACCTACACGCCCATGTATTACAGCTCGTCCCAGGGGACACCCGCGGATTCGCAAGGAGCTTACGCCAGCGTAAGTCCGAGATATTTCGGATTCGTTCCGAAATTTTACAACGTAGACTCGGGTGGCGCGGGCTATGACACGATCTCGTACTCGGTTCCAAACGGAAAGTATTAATTTATGTTTTATAAATCTTTCTACGTTCCGTCACATCGCCAGGATTCGATAGCAGCTTAGGATTATAATTACAAGATCTGCGTTTAGATCTTCTGACGAAAGCGACTCAAATGACGGTGATTATCCGTCGTAAATTTGAGATCGTCTAATCATCTAATCATATGCTGACTCGATCTTGCCATGAAGAGATAGAAGTAATATTTCCGAAGTAAGAGACTACGTATGTTGTTGAGAGAAATATTTATATTTCTTAAAAATATAGATAAATATTTATATTTAAATTTTCTACTGTACGATCGATCTAGAGAGAGAAATCTGTACTGTAATCACAAATACCTGTTATCTATATTTATATCATCGACATATTGTAGCATATCCCTTCCTGTTTTCCTCGTATCACTGATAATTGTGATTTTTGTTACATAGTTTTATATATTATTTTGTAATAAATGAGTTGATTTTCCAACGCACACCAGAAAACCCACTCTAAGTAATCTGAGTCTCCGAAACCGGTCGTGACACGCGGCACGCTTATTATCGATGATTATTATTAACGATTGGCAATTAATTTAGCGATATCTAAGCGTTAGGCCCGTAAATCTCGAATAACGTAAGAGCGCAAATGAGTTTCTCGAATCGCGAAGAATATAGGCCATTAAATTGCGCCTGCACATTACACATTGCGTGCGGCGTGCGTGTGATGCGCTACGCGCCAACGTTTCGCCTCTTAATGAAGATTAAACACACACGTGTTGATGAAGATGATCGAGGAGGAGATCGGAAAAGTGAAAGTGTATCGCGAAATCGACGAGCAAGATACGATTCTAAATCCTCAATTAACTCAATTCATAATTAAATCATGTAGAGCGTTGGTTTACTTTCGCGTCCGCGTTTTACAAGTCTATCCCCGCGGAATACTAGGTAATTGATTCGACACGCGCGATGGAGGGTAATACGCGTATCAAAAGACACTTGAATGGATCCTGACTGGGCATTATTGTCCGTCAGAATAATTGATGTATCTGGCAACGGCCGGTGCCTGGGCTTCTTTTGCTTTTACTTGCAGCGCTACCGTGAAAGTTATTGACCGCACGAACGGTATAACCGCGCATGAAACATAAATAAAAGCACAAGTCCACCCAACAGACAGAAACGCGATCGCTTTTACTTCAAGGCCGGGCCGCGGGGTCGGGGTGAGTAAGAGATACCTTTCTAAACCTTTATTTTATTTAGGAAAGTGATGATTGCCGGCGCCTCGACGGTAACGTTGACTGGCGAGATTTATCGGACGGGTTTAACGTAATGTATGTGGAAATTAATATGTATAGTTTCTTTGATGCTATATATATATATAGAAGATTATAAAATAATTAGTCTTGAAAGAGAAATTATGTAACATAATAAAATAATAATATATTATAAGTAATATAGATACTTTATCAACTCATATTATTTTTTACGCCGAAAGTGCTATATAAAATTCAATATATCTTTTAATTTGAAATAATAGATTACAAAATTTGGTTGTTAATATTAGTATCTAGTAAAGTAATTATAAAATAATTATCAGTATTTTTATTTTACAACTTACTACTTGGCTCATATTATTCCTATATTTTTATAAAGTAAAATATGTATATAAAATTATTTTTTGTAATAGACAATAATGCATTAAACTTATATACATTAAATATGTTTTCAATCATGTTACATGGCCATAGTTTAATTTTAATTTAAACTTTATATCAATAAATATACTATAACGCTTAATCAGATGATTAATGGATGGAATCGCGATTGATCAATCAGCAATTTGTACGACGAGGCGATCGGTTGTTTTCGAGTTTTTTTTTTGACTGTACAGTCAAAGAGATATTCGGCCGCCTACGTAAGAAAGCGGCTATAGTTAGTCGCTCCGATCGCGCGTTACTTCTTTCGCGCACCTGACCCAATTTCTGGTCGGTTCGTGTGCACTGAACACGTGTGCACGGACTCACGCACGCGAGGGGGCCGTACGACACGACGCGACACGAGAGAGCCGCACGCAGGCGGCTTCCAGGCTCCTGGGATTCCTCGGATGTGTAATAATCCTGCCGACGTTATACGACGCGCTCTACGTGCTGCCACCGATATCTCACCGATGTGTCTCGCAAATATAGAAAACGCAACGTTTCACTATTTTCTGACTGGTTTTGCGAGAGGCACGCTCGGGCTTCTCTTTCTCTCACGCCCGGCGCACGGCGGCGAGAGAGCGGGAAAAGTACCGCTCTTACTCTTCGCCAAGGCGTTCCTCCGGGCGGACTCCCGTCACGCATCTCTGACTTGATCTCGGACTCGCGAGTGTCCGTCCTGTCAGGCGACTCGGAGATTCACTTTCGTGACGTACCGGCCTGTAACGCGAGTCCTTTTCTTTTCCAGTGCAATTGAACGGAGTATATGCGAGAGGTAATGTAGCAGTTTGATGTAAAAGAACATTTTCGTTGCGGTAGAATTTCAGAGTTAAATGGACGGAGTTCGTAGTTAAGTAGATACAATGCTTAGAATTCGACGATGTATGATACAAGAATTTTCTTGAATTCACTCAAGATGTTAATTTTTATAAAATTGATTTCTAAAAATTAAATTGTGAAAAAAATATTATAAACGCATATTTTTAATTAATATTTAACGACTTTGGAAAATTAATTAAGTTTATATATTAATATTGTATTATATATCACGAAACTAATCGCAACTCTAATCGCAATTTCATTAAATTCGTGTTATTTAATAAACAATGAGTCGTATTTTATTGAAGATATATGTATATTCTGGGTACATGTTATAAGTGAAAAGTAACAAATGCTAAGTTACTCCACGGTACCTGTTTCTTATCTAAAGCGAGAGAAATCGATATAACGACAGCAAGCTTTATTTTTTTTCCGGATATCCGCGGTGCAATCGTCCATGTCGTTATCAAATGTGGATATGGTCCGCATGATAAGAATATTCCGTCGTTGAGAGACGGCGTACGGGTGAAAGTAAAGTAAATTGACGTTTCCAAAGGTACGAGAGCGTCGCCGCGAAAGGCGTTGTTTGAGCGAGATTGGAAAGGTCCTTCTCGAGGATGCCGGAGGGCGCTCCACTTCCTGGTTCATTCGAGCTCGTCGAGCAGCCATCGTCTTGTTCTCCGGCCGACTACCTTTGGCCGATCCAATCTGGACTTTCGCAAAAATGAAAATCATGCGTTGTCAAATATATTTCAGAGGCACTTTTCGCGGTCGTGTACCATCGACAGCTTAACTAATAATTACCTAATAATACAATAATAATCGTTGTCTCGCAGAATCTTGCGAGATGGACCGTCGCGCAAAATCTCGCTTCCTTATAATATCCGGCGGAAGATACGTGACGGTTTGATAGCTACCGGTGCGATATCAGCCCGTCACACTCGACATTTGATGGCGATCGGACAGCATTCTATACATTTTCATTGCACCGTCACGTCGCGTCGGGGCGTGCACTATCACTTCCACTTGCCTATACATATAAGAGCAGAGAAATGTTAAACTAGTTTCCGTGATTTTTCCGGTAGTCGGGTATAAAGGAGAAATTCAATGTCGGCCGATGTGTCATTAAAGGTGGAACCGTCGAGTCGGTCTGATCTGCAAAATTGCTGGTGCGGAAAGGTGGCGAATGAGACAGCGATTAAACGACGAAAGAAAGCATAGCTTTGTAGCTATCCGACGGTGACAAGTGAATTACAGCGAAGATGGAGCGGCTGGTTAGTAAATTTATTGATTAAATAAATTATTAATTAACAAATTCATTAATTAAATGAATAAGATTCTCCGTATTTTATTTAATACTATATAATTGTATTCAGCACTAACTGAATTTGATGTCTAATGCTTTTTGCACGATAATTGCAAATAGATACTTTAAGAAACTTTGTGTATTTTTTGAAACGGTTTTAAATTTGATATATATATAGTTTAATTTTGAAATTTTGACGAAACATATATTTTTATTTTAAACTTGAGAGCTTTTGCTTTATTTGGATATACATGTGTATACTTGGCAATTAATAATATGGTATTATAACAATTAATAACGTGATAAATTTAAATTATTGATTAATTAATTGATTCATTACAAATACAAATGTCTAATTACAGATACTGCTCTGCTTGCTGTCACCGGCAATTTTCGCCCGGCCGCACAAAACCAAGAATCCCAATGACGAGCCATTTCTACCGATACATCCGGTCTACCCCTACAGCCCGAAGCTAATCAAGCGAGGCGCTGAGACGGACGCGGTGAACTCCCAATTAATGACGGAGCTGTACGCGCCGAAAGTCGACGCCAAGGACACCTACAGCACCAGCTACCCCAGCACTTACCAAAGGGATTCTTACTACCCCGATTATGATCCGTATCTCACAAACGGCACGGCCTCGTCGTACGTCTATCCCGCGGTTCCCGCGTATTACGGCGGCGGCGGCGGCGGCGGCGGCGAGGCGTACGTCTACGCCAACGTGCCAGCGTATCCCGCCTATAATTCATATCCCGCCGCGTACGCGATGAATCCGGCGTCGTATCCAGTGCCGTCGTACCCGAACTATTACTATCAGCCGCCACCCTATTACTACCCTCATTACTTCAGCCACGCGCTGTACGCGCGACCGCCGCTACCACCGCCGCCGCCGCCGTCGCCGCCGCAGCCGTCGTTAGCCATCGAATATCACGAGGCGTCGCAAGTTCCCGCTGTCGCGGAGGACGGCAAACAGAACGCGGACAACGTGGGCGAGAGGCCGAAGGAGGACGAGACGAGCCTGCAGGAGGCGCCGGCGGCGGGCCAATTCGTGGAGGGCGGCAACTACATAGCCGCCAACTCGCGGGACCTCGACGTGCAATCCAGCACGTACAAGGTGGCCAGCCCGTACAACCAACTTACGCAGGACGTTCAGGTGAAGAACGCGCAGCCGATTTCCCTGCCGAAGCCGACGTACAGAGTCGTCAGCGTGAACGGGCAGTCGGTCAGTCCGGATTTCCCGCTGTCCGCCGCGTACGTCAAATCTCAGCAGATTGAGCAGATGACGAGCCAAACTCTGGCGGATCTACTGGCGCGGCAGCAGCAACACGACGGCAGCTCCTACGAGAGCGGAAAGGACACCGCGAGCGGTGCCGATGGCGGTGCCTCGTACGAGAACCAGAACGCGTACAGTTCGAACGCGCCCGCGTCGTACGTGAGCGTTCCGGGCGCGAAAGGCAAACCCGGTGTCACCTACGTGATCGACTCCGTCGGAGTCGCTAAGGTCAGCGGGGAACGAGCGAAGCAGCAGAGCTCGCCGTCTCAGAGGGCAGCCTCGAGTAAGAGTACAAGGTACTCGAACGCTCGAAAGCAGGCGTTACGGAATCACGCCCAAGCGTCGTACGCGTCGCCCGAAGGTGGTAATACAGCTACAGCTGTAACAGCTAGCAGTTACCGCGCCCGCGTATTGACCAGCGCACAACCGGCGGGTCAAGCTGACAAGTACGCCGGTTACGACGCGTCGCAGAGTTACGGCGGCACTTACAGTCAGTCCGGCAGCAAGCAGGAGCCGAATTACGGAGCCTATCAGAGCCAACCGGGCTCTTATCAGAGTGAGGGTTTTACCATCGTGCCTCAGACAACGCGATCGCACGTTTATCAGTACTCCGCCTACGCAGAAGCGGATCAGGCGCAGCAGCAGCAGCAGCCGCAGCAGCCGCAGCAAGATGCGGCCAATTTAAACAACGGCAATTTTGGAAGTAAACAATATAAAGGATAAAATACAACAAAACGCGATAAAGCTAATCTGGTGCTATTATATGTAAGATACTGTTTTTACATAAGACCTTGTTATTTGTTGTTGTTGAATTTTGACGCAGCTTTTTTCAGTTCTAGCGAATTAAGTAATTGTATAGTACATCTCAAATATCAAACATTATTTTTATATTTCTTATAATGTATTATATTTTTTTATAATATCAAACATTTTTTATGTTTCTTAATAATACATGTGATTATTTACGAAAATAAGTAAGTTAAAAATTTACGGTCATTTTTTTATATTAAATATTTTATTTACTTATACTTTACTCAAAGCCAAAATCATAATTAAAAATTTATATTTTAATTTTAAAACTATAAAATAAAATTCACTTATAACTTAAGATTTAATAATATTCATTCATCCTGTCATTGATCCATTTTTTTCTGGTTTGATATATCTACTAGATAAATAATAATACAAGCAGAAAAATATTTTATACAGTAACTAACTTTAATTCTGTAAAGTTGTAGTCAAATCTTTGAATCGCTTTAAATCACGAAGATTTAAAATTCAAGTTGATTATAGCTAAAAGCACTGCAAAATATAAGTATTTAAATGTTTTCCAATACAATATCTACGAGAACTAATAAATAATTTCACATTAATTAGGATATTACCTTTTATTAAATTTTATTATAAATTTTCTATGTTACAAAATTTTTATATTTATATGCAGCGTTATATGTTCTTGTGTCTAATGAGGAGATCATGCGAGGTCGAGCTAAATTAAGTACTGTTTCTTTCTTCAGCATTGCGAAGCAGAAGAAATGCGCTTCTACATTTCGTGTCTAAACTTTCACTCTCTAATTTACTAAATCAAACAAAATCTGTTCTTAAATTATTATCCGTCTAACATTATTGATGGCTGCTAGTCGAAATCTTAGAACTTGACAAGCCCAACAGGTATCGGAGGTTCCGAATGATTTACTTTGGCATTGACCATTTAATGGAAGGTTTGCTTATGGGTGTACAAGATCGCCACTTAATACGATTATTTATATCATCACACCGGCTTGGTACTTTCTTCCTTTCATACGAGCGGCGAATGTCGCTTTTATGTTACCGCGAAAATGCGAGTGGGAGATGCTAATCTCTTAATGTTTATGACGACGTGTGAGGAGAACGCGGTGTCCGTGTCCGTCTTGCAAAATCGCTTTGGCATTGCGTGGCGGGTTTTTTTTTGGGAATCAAAAAGTCACGATTGTCGCATCGAGCTCAGATCTGCTATGATCCAACAATGCGAATCTATTGTAGCTTTACGACCTATATTGTACGAGTCGATTTTAAATATGCGTTTTGTAGTCACCAATAATAAACGATTCTTTATGCTGCCTTTGACGTTTGCACTCCTTTCTCTTCTCGGTGTAAGTATCCCGAACCGGTTTCCCTTTTGTGTTTATTTTTGTACTTTACTTTCGTTCGATGAGCGACAGCTTCCTGTTTCTTTCTACCGTGTTCCTTTCAACGTAATTATATACACGTCATCACGAACGGCGATGTACGTGAAAATCTAACGGATTAAGACGCGGAAATTTATACGGACTAGGTAATTTTAAGGGTTTACCATATCATTAAGATAGTACGCCTTATGAGCCAAATAATTAATGCATGTGCAATATGGAGCTCTTATTTCCTATTTCCATGTATCAGCAATATTGCAGACTTGATGAGTTTTGTCAAGGCTTGTTTTTCAAAACGTGATTCATTTATTTATGTTATTAAACATTTATGTTTAAAATTATAAAGCTCATTTTAGATCATCTATAATAATTTGCTTTTAAATAAATAAAATACTGTACTTTTTACAATTATAATGTACAGTTTTATTTATGTGCGTATTTTAATATACATTTTTTAAATGCGTATTTTAATTTTTTAACTATTTATTATATTATATGGCATATGAAATTATAAATTTCGATTTGATATATATATATATATACATATATATATATATATATACATATATATATATATATATACAAATAATATAAATCAATATAAAATGAATAAATTATTAACTAATATAAATTATGATGAAGAGATAAATTTAAAGCCACACTAAAAATACACTTCTCACCACGAGAAGTTTTAGATAATCGTAGAAAGTTAATGTATGAAACAAGCCGATGTAAATTACGGACGCGTCGCGACGATGGACGAAGCGACTGCTTTATCTTGAAATTCTACGAGATTATCGGACGGCGCGCTGCATTTCTCTGCCGGCGATGAATTTTCCATCGCCCTCTCCCCTCCCCCCCCTTCATCTAATTAATCCCGTGCTCGCTAATTAATTTCATTATGGCCTTTCTGCGCGCCGTTGCTCCACGCGTCTTTTTAGCGCGGCGCTAAATGAACGTTAAAAATTCTCCGTCCCTCGTACGGTACCGTTTTAATGCGAATAACGGTGAAGTCGACCGAGTCACGGAAAGCTGGAAAGCGGAAGAGATCCGGATCACGGCAATGTCCGGTCGATCGACCGGATGAGGCGTGCCGGCCGCGATGGAAAGCGGAAGCGAGATCCCGCGCACGATCGGTCCGCTCGACGAACCGGTCCAGGTCCGGCACGTCGATAGACCGTGTGAATGAGATAAGAAATGTTCACCGGACTGTTTTCCTTCAAGTTTCACGAAATTACACTTCGCTCGTATATAGGTATCCGTTCATCCGTATCTTTCTTCAGTTCGCTCTCGTATATATTTCTTCTTTTGACGAGAATTTGCGAAAAAAAGAGTCTTATCTGGATGTGAAGAGCAACCGGGATATAAAATATTTCCTTCGATACGTTTTATTATGTACTTAAAGTCAAAAAACTAACGCCATAAATTTTTCTTATTTCCCGTAACAGCCGGATGTGTGGATAGAATTAATAACATTTGACAGAATTGCATGCTTCATGCGGAATGCAATAAGTCCTGACGCCAATCACGCGCGCGGATATCGCGGCAGATGAGTGAGAGCTGCGCGCCTCGCGCCGTTTTACTTTATTTCGTTCATTCCGCGCGCGCGCGCGCTCGTGTACACGCTGATGGTCTGAAATAAAATCGGATGGACCAAGCCTGTTACTTTCACGCGGCGGCCGACTCGATCTCGATCGATAATATATACACGGCGGCCCGAAAGTTCGAGTAAGACCCTCGCTGTTGTATAAAACGCTGAATAAACGAGGCTGTGCAGCTTTTGGCGACGATGCCACTGGTAGAAAGTCCCCCGTGCGCGCTATACGCGTGTGTAAGGACATCCATTATTGTAACCGTAGCGTTATTTTCTCTTTATGTTTATGAGCCGTCACGCGTCGTGCGAGCCGACAGACGAGCTGCCTGCATTATTCCGACGTCGGGGAACGTTACATCGAAAAAAAAATGTTATAACACACTGATTAATTTATGTAGAAAATGCGTTATTCTTTATTTGGCACTCTTCTGCAATTATGTGCTACTTGCTCTGTTTCCTCGACCCCGACGAATAGATTGCACGCGGTGCGATGTTTATTTTTGTCGCATTTTTTTAACGCGTCGGTTTTCTCTTCGGCAAGTTAATAAATCACCGTACATAATTCGCATTACCGTCTAATAAATTTAAGATTGTTACTACAATTCGGACTATGTAAAGTAGTTACAGAAGGGATATCTTAGAAAATCATACATATGTATAATAATAATAATAATAATAATCATACAAAAACTTGTTTAATGAATAAAATTATTTTAAACTCTTTTCTGCATATTGAAGAGAGAAGTAGGGCAACTTTTATTTTAGTTTCTGAGAAAATTTTTAGCAATGATAAAAATTATTTGTTCTAAATAGTTAATTGCAGCATCTTCGAGAGACTGCCAAGAAAAAGGAATATAGAGAAAAGCATGTTTCATTAATTAAAGATTTTCTAGCGTACCCACCGATTTCCCAGCCGCACTTTATGAGAGAGATACGCATGTAAATGACGATCGTTACTTGCAAATGATGTTCATATAATCGATCGAGCGAATTTCGAAAGCGGACGCGCTCTGCGGTCAACCCGAGTGAAATATAAAAAATTTAACGGATCCCGCAAAACGGCCAGGTAATCGGTAGGCGAACTAGGCGGTCGAGATCGAGAAAGCGATCGACCGGAAAGGTCGAATATTTGCATTTTTTGTTGTCGCCTCGTCGGAATATGAGAAATCGCGTTCCGATCGACGGCGCGTCGCCAATGTAACGAGTCTAGTTGACTTCCTCGTTTTTCTCCTCCCTTTTGCACGGAGGCGCCTCGGCCTCGGCGGCCGAGAAAGTCTTGTGTGTGACTCGAGGTTGTAGGTAATTCGTCTCAAGTGCGACCGATTGACGCAACAGCGGGCGATCGGTATATAAGGTTGTAATCCACACCCAAGACCACCGTAGAAAGTTTCGCGATCCTCCTCCTTCTTCTCCTCGTCCTCCTCCTCCTCGTCCTTCTCTTCCGCTTTGGCAGGTGGAATACACCCGGGAATGTCCGAGGAAAGGGTCTGCCTTTGTGCAACTCGATAGCGGAACGTTTCCATTTCTACAGAGAGAGGGAGGGAGAGAGAAAGAGAGAGAAAGAGAGAGGGAGAGAGAGAGAGAGAGAGAGCGACAAAGAGATTGCGAGTCATTACGAGACCTCCTTTCCATCCTCGCGATCCTTTCCCTTCCGTGACTCCCGACTGCATCGATCACCAACTCCTGCCAGGAATCTGTGCAAGAAAAGCTCCCCCTTCTCCTTCCGCTTCTCCAGACCAAAAGCCCTTTTCCCCATTGTCTACGACAGAATGGAGCGAGCGAGCGATGGGCTTTCCGTTTAGTAATTTTCAGGAACACCTTGCCACACGATCGTCGCGATAAGCAGTAGACCGCCAGGATGACTATTCGGTTAACCGTTATCGCTCAAACTCCATTGGATGGAACGGCAGGTAGATGAAAAATTTCACTGACATACAATTCGATTTTTTTTTATACATCATTCTATAGTACAATTCTGCGAGCTGTAGCTGAAATCATCTTCAATTACATCGTTTAATACGAGAATAATTTATTGTTAGATCTGATCTTGAAAATTAAGAGAAAAGTGACATGAACTTGAGTATCGTCATCGATCTTACAGAATGAAGTATCGTTCTAGATAGCAAATTCTACATGCGAGAGATTAGCTTGATTAATTACTCTGTAATTATACGTGTATTTGTTATAATTAATAGAGATTTTATCTGCATATCAAATATACATATATATATTTTACTAATATATATTACAGTTTAAATATCACATTAAAAGGATTTAGAATAGTGTGAATACCAAAAAATAGTGTGAGTTAAAAGTATCGATCGTACAAAAGTAAAAATTAGTCCATTAATTTATTATTAGCGTAATTATTTTTGATAATTCATTAAAGGCTATACAATATATATATATATACATATATATATATATATATATATATATGATAACTCATTAAAGGATATACAATATATATATATATATCTGTTTTATATAAATGCCAAAGATATATCACCGTCTTTGATATGATTAGATAACGAGATCGCGTGTCCAAATCTCACAGCTCAATCTCGCATGCAACTGTTAGACACGCAGTGGTGAGAATAATCCACTTTTCCACAAGTGCGTACGCCATTATGTCTTTCAATAATCGGAAACCGTCACTTCCTATGAGACCGCATCGATCATTCTCTCCATTGTTTCGCAGAAGACAACTGGCGCTTGTTTCTCATTATACACTTGAATTAATAAACGGTAGATAGTATCGAGAATTTTTAATGAATATTACATATCTAGGTAAGAACGAGCCACAACAATTTTTATTAAATTTCTATCAAACATTAATTAAAATTGTTTTAAAAATAACACTATATTATTATACTAAAAATTAACTTGTAATATCAACTTTTAACAACTTATAAATTTCGTTGAGTTTATATAATATGCCATTAAACAAAAACAAAAGGAAAAAATTATATTGTATTAAAAGATATCCTGAACGATTTTAATCGAATTTATGTGTACAAAATTATTTATTTCATATATCTTAATTAACGCTGTAAAAAGTTATCATTACATTTGTACATTCGATTTGTATTCTTATTATACGTGGAAATGTAAATAAGTAGTTGTAATTCAGAGTTGTACCATTTTATCTATTCTACATTCCAATTGCAAATTATAGTTAATAGTGTGAAATTGATTGAAACGCATCGGCTCGGCCAATTAACTGTTTAATGAACCGAATAATCGGGCATGATAGTTAGCGCGATTTTACGGCTTCGAAAAATCTGGGGGAAGGTTTACGTGAAGATTACGAGTGTCGATAGCGCCTAGTACGCCAGACACTTAACGCACTTTATTTCACGTCGAACGCAATCGGATAAGCCGACCACCGCGATCGTACAAATGACGTGCGTGGAATGGACGATAATGATTAAGTACGTGAGGCTCGTTTCTGATTTGATCATCTCGACGATATATCACGTTTCCCAGGAGATTGCGTTTTAATAACTGACTTTTTTCCGCCTGTTGATTTTCGCACTAACGACGCATCTTCGATGCGACTCTTTCTACGAAAAGATTAGTTTTCCGCCGTCCGTTTGATGGATGCAAAATAAATCGTTTCACGCGGAATATTCCCTTATCTATTAATCATACTTACTTAAAGTCATGATCTTTATTTTATGTGTCTTCGCACTGCGCTACATCGCGGTATAGTTTGTGCACTTTTTGTATTCGGATGTACGTGTATTTAACTCAATTTCACTTCAATCATTTTTTATCTAATCAATTTGAATCGAGAATTAATCTTGTTAGAAACTCGACTTATATTTTTCCGAGAATAAAGTCCATTTTAGGAGGTCTATTTTAAATCCTTTTAGATTTTAAAATATAGACTTTTATTTTATACATATCATATATTTTAATATACATTTATATGTGCTTTAAACATATATTACTTTTATTTTAATTAATTTTATATCGTATATGATCATATATTCTGATTTTTCAAATTCTTTTTATACGTACTACGTGAAATTATAAATAAAATTTTATCCTGAATTCTGTCTACAGAATTATTATACATTATTTAAAACAAATGTAATATAAGATTTTCTTTAAAAAAAGTAGTTGATGATATTATTTCTAAAGCAATTATCTTTGAAAAAAATTAAAGTTTGAAAAAGCTTGAAAACGATTTTTAATATTGTTATATAATATGTATATGAGATGTAGAGTTTCTTTGGGAGTCTTTCTTTGAATGATGAAATCCTGTCGCGTGCTCTGAAAAATTGAGGAAGTAATTTAACAAATATCTTCACTTTTACTCGTATCACGATGGTATTCTGCGTGGTCCACGACCGACACGGATTATCACACACGCTTTGATCAAGAAGTGAAGTGTAGCCCGACAGGAGATGTGCATCTGGGTAGGGGTAAAAGCTATATAAGAGAACGCACATCTGATTCGGTTTTATAGTAGAGCTAAGTCCTTTGTGTCGTGTCTGTATTTTTTTTTACATATTTGCAACATGGTAAGTATGGCCCCGCTATTTAGATGGTTCCACTTCAATACTTTAGTGGGATAATACCGCGCGCATTATATAACCGTCGTGGAAAAGAAAATGCATAACTTCGCCGTCAAAGCGGAGGGAAGAGAGTTTTGTAATAGAGTTTCATATTAATTCTATAAAAGGATCACACAAATAAAAAATATCGCGCGAAGAACTTGCTTTCAGAGAAATATATGAAACGGACTAGTTTTTGCAACAAAAAGAATTGGTTATCTCCGTCGTTGATGATATACGTTTTGCTTAATTGAAAAAAAATCTGGAGTGGAAAAAAAATATTCCAAAGTTCCGTTTATAAAAGCGCGCAGTTTTTTCTCGGTATGCGGCGCACTGTAATATGTGTCTGAAAATATTCATATGAAGATAATTAAAAAAAAAAAGAAGAGAAAGAAATGTACATCATACGTGCATGTGGCGATGTACACGTGTTCGGGGGAGGGAGCGGTCCGCCCCGCCGGTGGCGGGACAACCAATCTATATAAGACTGGTCCATGCCGGATGTTTGACCCAGAACTTCGCGTGCAGTGAAAGTGTGCCCGGTGCAAATATACGTTTTTGCCGGAAACGATAATGGTGAACGCGCAATATAATTAGCAGATAAAAACGCGTCATCGTTGATCGTTTTGTTATTAGATCGATTATTATTATGCATTTATTACGGATTATTAAATTTTTCCCGTTCTTCTTTGCATATCTACGAATCGATCACATTAAACTTTGAGAAACTATCTATTTGTAGTTGCATGGCAAATTCGATAAGAAGAAAATTTTTTAAGCAATTAATCCGGCGATTTTTATTAAATCATATTGAAATTTATTGAGTTCAACTTTCAACATAATTTCATGCCATCAGCATTTTTTCTCTAAACGTTTAAGTATAATAATATATTTTTCTCTAGATGCATCAAGAAAGCAATTAACCTTTTTATTTATGCGACAGATGCCAATCATGCTATTTATATTTTACACATGAAAGTCATTAGTCAATTTTATACTTGGCTTATAGATTATTGCAGGTTTATGCACAATTGGGTGGTGAATTAAAAGAAAAAAAGAGAATGAAAAAGCAGAATAAACATATGATTGACAGTAATTTTAACTTTCTCTTTCGATTACAGAAAGTCTATTTAATATTGGGTCTGCTGGTAACAGCGGCGTGTGCCGAGAAGAAAATTAATTTAGAGGACATAGAGAGAGATACTCTGAAGGCGGAGGGCAAAACTAAGGCCGAGAGCATCCAAACTGATGAGACGAAATATAACGCTAATCCCAATCAGCAGCAGTATCAAATACCAAGCCAATATAATACATTGGGTCATCCCGAATTGTACATTCCACCTCAGCGGCTTCAGGATATAAAATACAGCGTAAGACATCAATTAAACATTAAATTGTAATACGCGGAATTTCAAGTGCTTATTTTGAGAGAGAGAGAGAGAGAGAGAGAGAGAGAGTTTTTTGTATTGATATGAAAATTATTATAGGTGATAAATTTTGTAATACACTATCATATGTCTATAATATAGAAGATAAATAATATTAAGAAAGAATAGAGTTACAATTATAAAATAATAATATATTTAATTCTATCGATCAATAATGGAATTGCCTTCGTTTATTAACTCTTTTGTGTCCTTCGTTTTGTTATCGTTAGCAAGTGCCATCTGAAGAATACATTCAACCCAATCAATACGCCGTACACGAAGCACAATATAAGCAGCCGAGCCAAATTCTGCCGCAGCAAAATATTCCGCCGTTACAATATTACGGCGGATATCAACAGCAAGTGGAAATACCGGCTAAAGGCATCGCTCCTATTGCTTTCGAATCTCAGAAATTAAACTATCAACCGGAAATAGTGGTGGGCAATCACATCCAAAGTGTTCAACAGAAAGCAGTAACGGACAAATACACGAAAGCTATAATCAATAAAGGTAAAGACCGCATGAAATGCTTCTAATATGCTATTATTCTTTAAATTTATACTCAAGAATCTTTTAAATAGTAATATTAATATGAGAGTATACTTACTTATATAATTACGTTAAAAATTACGAAACTATAAATTAACAATGGAATAAAAAGTATTATTACGGTATTAAAATAATTAGAAAAATTTTTAAATATATAATAAGAATATAGAAGGTCAAAAAAAAAAGAAGATAAAATTATTTCATAGAAATACTCGTACAATTTTTTGAATAATTATTGAAAGGAAGAATATAAAATTTAATTCCGCTTTATAATTTTGCAGAACCTACTTACATTGATGTTCCGGTGGCACAATTGATTCCCTATTATTCCAATTTGAATATTAATCCCTTGGTTGGTCTAAAAGATGCCGGACTGGCACAACCTCCGTTACAATTTGCTAGCAACGCGGCCCAACAAATTCCCATACCTCTATATACCCCCGCGTATAATCAAAAACAATTGATCTCTTCCGTAAAATCACCTTACTCTACTATTGGGCAAGTAACGTTCACGACGAAGGTAAGTTAATTAACGTATATGCAACTTTCTTAAGATCGTATTTTCGTGCAAATGGTTATGTATTAGCAATAATGTCGCAATATTGTGATTTGATTAATGCGATGTAAGAGAGAAACGTTAAACTTTCTTCCTGCATAGTAAACAGATCATGAATATTTTAGCGTCAACCGGTTTGCACGTCGGTCCTTCGTCGTTTCCGCTTCATTCGCCGCACAATCGTGAATGTTTCAGGCGCCGAAAGGATCGACATATGTGATCCCAGATGCACCGAAAAAGAAGCTTAACTCAGCTCCCTTGCTGACGACACCGTTGTACGCCCAGCAGCCGCTGACGCAAGGAAAGACCCTGTTGCACACGCAAGCTTACATCACGCCCTCGCAACCGCAGTATGTGCAGCCATTAGTTTACACGCAGCCCGGCATAGTTTACAGCGATCCCGCTGCCGCTTACAGCGATCTTTACGCCCGTCTGCCGGCCTACATTCAGGATAATTACCTCCGCGGACAAATAAATCCGTATCAGCAGCAGCTGTACATCGCACCGGCAATCGGCCCCGAAGCGCCGAAGGAGATCTTGCAGGAGCAGATCAGCCAGGACCTGCCGCAAAATTATATCAAGGTTGGTGTGATGGAAACTGATCGAAATAGATTCCATAATTGATCTTTCACTCAGCGTGATTTACAGCTTGTGTAACTACGTTACGTTTATCAGAAATCGGTATTTTGTAATGGAAATGACAGTTTTACATAACTGTCGCTTTACTCACCGGGGTTATAATTAGAGATTTAAATTAGCCTCGTTAACGGAATGACATCGCTATCTAATTAGCATAGTTTAATTGCCTCTTTTGCCGCGCTACTATAATATGCCGTTCACGTGTTTTCTATTGGCATATTAATTTTATTTTAACAGATAGAAACGCGTTGATATTTTTTATAAAATAATTTAGTTTGGCTTTTGTGAAAGTATTATACAATCGTTCGGATTTACAAACACATAAGGAAAATATCACGTGCTTTTATCAATTTCTTTTACTTCTGTTGTAATTGAGACTTCTTTGTGTTTTAAAGTAAAAAAAAGTGTCTTATATAAAATCTTTTTTTGTTTCTTCATTGCAACGATATATTTGCAATATCTTCTCACTTGCCTAAGCGCTTTCTTCTAATTGTCTCATTCGACGCAACACAGAAACTGTATTAATTTTATTTAATATATGTTCTCTCGAGCAGGTGCCTGATGAGCCCAAAACTTATTTCGTACCTCCGCAATTCCCTTCGCATGACTTCAAAGCCGGCAGCACGCAACTGGAGCCTGTCCGAAGCTCCTTTGAAGACGAGCAAGCCTTGCCGGCGCAGGATCACTCCTTGCCCTCGGAGCCGAAGTCACTACTCGACACGTACATCCCGAGCAAAGTCATCGCCGCGCAGGACACCGCCAGGTGCGTATGACAGAGTGATTAATAAGACGTGTCAGAGAGTGCCTTATTACTGTAATTACTTGCCACAACGTCAGTATATCGTTTTAGGTACAGAGAGAGACCGATAAAGCTGGAAGGGGGTTTTCTCCCGTCGAAAGTGAACTTCGCGCTTAAGAAGCGCAAGTCCGAGTGACGTTGAGAATCGCCGTGAGTGGCATGACGATTGACGAATGTCATACATACACATGGGTCAGTAAAGTTTGAAAACTCAATTATTAGCCATTTTTACTAGCGACGACCGAGGCATACGCGGACATCGAGGATGAGCCATCTGAACCAGGAGGTCGGCGGCGTCATCGCATCTAGTCTTTCATCGACAACATCATGCAAAACCTTTTTTATACTTTTTCTCTTTTACATTTGTAAAGACGCGCCCAGTAAACGGCAAATACTTTGTTTACGATTTTTAAATAAAATTTAAAATGATAAACACGACTGGTAACACCTCTCCTCCAACTTGTAGAATAAGATTTTATGTACAAAAATATACGTAAAATTTATTAATTATATATACATACATTCTACTAATTTAAAAAATCATAACTTTACCTAAAATTAATTTTTTTATTTGAAAATAATTATTTCTAATAAATTATAAAATTATGTCTATCTTTTCTTTATTTTATTATTATAATTTCCTCTCTAAATATTATTTGAATTTTACAACGTAAAACATGTAAGAATGTTAAATATCTACAAATTTCTAATGATCGCAATGATACGTAACATTTAAAAAGGATTTCAATATTATAGAAAGGTAAATGCGCTAGAAGATATTTATCTTCTGTCATTAGTGGACGACAAGGTCACGGCTCTTATCTTCTTTCTACTATATTACGAAAGGAGTAATATATTTATATCTATTACACGACATTATTAGACAAGGTGTACGATTTGCACAACTGTGAGATTTTTATTAATCGTTGCATCGCGAGCAACGTGCACACGACAAAATTATTTGTCGGTCATCAGCATGTCCAATAAGCTCGCTATACGGGATTAGCTGATTAGCTCCGACGATGTGTGCCAGTATTTACGATAGTTTACGTTGTATATTCAGACAGACTCTACGTTGACGTTCGAGAGGTAGCGCACTGTGATGAAGGTACATTAAATGTACAAGAAACATATGCAAGTATTTACGCGAGCGCGATATATCACTTCGGAGAGTCCATACGAGAAAGCTGACGCTACGGAGATGAGCCCAACGGTGTAGGCGCGCGAAATTAACCGCTTGAAATTTCTGGCTGTTACTCTGTTATTAATGTCGCCGTACGCCGGACGCTTTCTTTTTCCGTAAATGTATAATTTATTAGAATCTTCCGCGCTGATATGCCGCGTTCCGCGTTATGTTCAAACGAAAGTGGAAGCGGCGCGCCTTTATACATCACGCTTTCATATGTCACACCTTGTATACTCATTAGGCATAATATGATTTTGTGAGTGACACGTGGAGTGACAATGAATTTTTCAACGAACGCTTAATTCCATCTCACGTGGAAATTATGAATTCTCCAGATTCGCGATTCGCTAGTAAACGATCTTTAGCATCTTATTCTCCGTGTGGTACTTTTTTCCGATATAGAAACTTCTGCCGGTTAGTTCGGTTAGTTATAGCGCGATACGCGCACGTTTAATTTGCGCAATACAAAAAGCATGAACGAGATCGCGTGATCGGTTTGTACGTCGATCTGTCAGACGGCGCTACGCTACTGGCAGATGTCTTCTCGTATCGAACGCGAATAGCGTTCGTCTCTCTGTGGTGAAACTATAATGATGGTGTCCTTCTCACACCAGGGAGCGAGGGCATATAAGGTGGGATGCTCTGGCCTCAGCTTCATCAGTACCAAACACACACGACAAGTCCGCCAAGCTAGCAGGTTTAAGGTCGGTCGTCATGAGTTTCGCTAGGATCTACGTGAGTACTTGAATCAAAGTTGCCTCGCCCTATTAAGCGTCCTATAGAATCCTCCTTTTCCTCAAATCTCTCTACCGTCTTATTAAGAGATGACACAATTAATATTATTATTCTAATTGTGGTAAAAACTGTTCGAAATTATATTTAATGGATGTGTCGTTTAAATATTTTGATTTGTCTATAATTCTTGTTATAATTTACAAAGTTGTCAAATTAAAATTTAGTTTGAATTTTCTATTAGTTGTTTTTATTGTTATATTTTTTCTTTACAAAGAGAGATATTCATTCGTTTATTATATTCTCTAAAATTGGCATTTTGGTGTACAAAAAATATATAATATACATTAAAAAAATAATACATATAAACTTTTTTCTTTTTTTATATTTATAATTTGTCTCTTATTTCTTAATTTTTTTATGTAATAAAACTAGTGAGATAAAAATAATTAAAAAAGATAATTTTCACACTGCATGATATTAACATTCTTCACTAATAATCCTATAATAACTTTCCTTTATAATTATAATAATAAAAGTAATTGTAGTAATTGCGATAAACATTACTGGCAAAGTTATACTGACATAGTAATTGCGAAGCTAACAGCCGCATGTTGACTATATCACATATTATTGGCAGGAATTGATCGCGCGTAAAATCTCGCGGTTGCAGATGTTCAACCTACATTCAATAATCCCTCCGAACTGAAATTTTAATCCCGAAAATGCCGTAGGAAATATTTTAACGGAAACGCGTCACCCGTGCCATTTTTCCGTGCGCAACAGTTTCAAAAAAATCTTTTTTCTCCCGATCGAATGAATCACGGTTGGTTTCCTGGACTCAACCGGATGTAATTGCGGTGAAAGTGCCGTGAATTTTTCTCCGATCGCGGTCCATACATGAAGAGCCAGTGATAAAGTGGCCGCGGCAGATGCTCTTGAGTAAGCCAGTGAAAGTCCGTAAAGAGGTGGACGAGCCACACGCATCTCATCTCCCGATTCGCAAGGAGCCTCGAACGTACTTTTCGGTATTAGATAACACGTGCGGCTTCGCGACGACGTAACGCGTCGTGGATGTCCGGTGAGATCCGCGGCGTGAAATTCGACATCTCCTCAATTGCGACACGCCGCTCGCGTTTTTTTTACATCTCCGCCAATTTTGCGTTTTGATTGACGAGCTGACGAACGGTCGCGGTCGCGGCCACTTTCGACGCGCTGCACGCGCGCATCTATTTTCATCACGTGTCACGTGCTGAATATTTATTGGGTCATTAATGCCAGAATTGTAATTTGGGAGCAGTCGGCATGTTTGCTTTAGGAAAGCGGAAAAAAAATTTGATCGCTTAGATTTAAATATATATCGTCATTTAAAGACTGCAGACATGATTTATATTCTAAACGTTTCTAAAAGGTTTGAAGAATTATTAAAAAAGAACGTAAATATTACTTCAATTATTTATCTTATTTGCATTATTTGAATTTGATGTTTAATTGATTTTCACTTTAAGGTACTTAAATCCAGTGTATGTTTTACGTTTCTGTATTAATTTTTTAATTTCTCTTATATCAAATTATTTTCATGCAACTTTATAAGTGTAATTTAGATCTGTCTACGATTCCTTTATTAATTTAAATTTAATTAATTAATATTTCATAAAACGACTGATTAAATAATTTGATAAATAGCTAGTTTTTAAAGTTATTAGTAAATTCTTTATGATACAATTTATTACAATTTCGTTCGAACTTTTATTGCTAAAATGGAAAGCAATATTTTCAGCCGTCGTATACCTACAGATTCCGACGTTTAAAGAAAGCGGTGAAAATCGTAAGTCCGCAACGAATAAAACTCGTTTTTAACGATGTTGACCGACACACTTGACTCTGACCCTACAAAAGTATCTTTCCATCTACTTCAGATCTACTTCCCTCCCAGGAATTAGGATCGCAATTATGTCCTCGTTATTTTCGTAATTACATGCATAACCGGATTATCGCGCTCCGTAGATACCTACATAAACATTATATCTGATTAATACATCCTTCTGGAAATATGTACATCTCATTACGGAGAAAATTCAATCCGGGATAATTCAACCGAACATTTCTTCGGTCGCGATCATCGTACATGCACGCACGCACGCCAAATCGGGGGAAGGGAAGTGAAAGCGAGATCGCCGTTGCCGGAGATCGATGGCCAACACATTGTTACCATCGCATCTGGTGCGATTTCTTACACGTGCCCCTGACTTTCAGATCGCCGCATTCCTATTGATGCTGCACGGGCTCTGCAATGCGGAGACTAGCGGAAGCAGAGAGATCAAGGTGAACGACTCGGGCAGCGTCGAGCGTCCTATTGCCGACGACGCTACCGATGCTCCAGACGCCGAGAGGGACGCCGAGGATATGCTACCGATTCTGCCGCCGATAATACTTCTGGACTTTGATAACGGCACGATCGAGAGTAACGCGACCGACGAGAAGTCGAAGCGCACCGTGAACAACGGCCTCGGTTACGGCTTCGACCGGAATTCCTTGCACGCCCCGCGAAAGTACAACTATTACTTTCCCGCGGGAAAGACCGGCACCACCGTGAGCATAGAGGAGTCCATCAGCCCGTTTCTTCCGAGGACGATAATTGAAAAGGTGCCGCCGAGCAATCAGAAGCCGTTCTCACTCGCAGATTTCGGACAGCAGGCGGCCCGCGGCTCCGCGGAATCGAGCTATCGGTATTACAATCCCACGACAAAGACACCGCCGGTGTTCGGGCTGCGAACGAAGCTGACGAAGACGTCCGATTCCGAGCTTTATCAAGGGTTCACGCCGATCGCGAGACCCGCCGGCGACGCGTACTCGAACGTGGACTACCAGGACGGCGCGTACACGTCCACGACGCCGCAATCATTGGTGTTCGGTCCCGAGGACGCGGCAGCGGGGGGGTCGGATTACGCCACCCCGAGTCCACAGAGTTACACGGCCTCCAGTTCAAGTCGATACACCTACGTCACTCCGAGTTCGCCGCCATACGTTCAAAGATACCAGGGGCAGAGTTCGCAGCACACGATAAACGTGCATCATGTGCAGAATTATTCCAGATCGAAGCCAGGCGCAGCGAAATCCTCGACGCCTAGTCCCCCTGAGGCAGCCGCTTTCCTGGAACAGACGAATCCTCATGACTACGCTCGACCGGAATCCTCAACTCCCGGTTCGGACGACGCATCCGGCTATCCGGAGAATCCCTTCCCCAATCTGCCCCGATACACGGTGGAGAATGGTATCAAATACGAGAACAAGATATTTTGGAAGTATCCAGACGGCAGAGTGTCCGACATGCCGCCTAGGACGTACGAGACTTACTCCGAGTACCCGTCGCTGGCCGCGTTACAGGCCGCCGCCAAGGGTCAGGACGCGTCGCAGATCTACGAATCCGCCACGGAGAGCAGCATGATGTCGCAGGGCCCGGTGCAGTTCCCGCTGGCGCCGGAATCCACCGGTTCGCGCACCCCGTTCATCTCGGCCAATTCCCTGTCCCGTCTGCAGCAGCAGCAGCAATCGTTTCGACTGGGCTATCAGAACTACATCGGTCAGAAGCAGGCGGTTTCGCAGCAGCTCAAAGCTGGTAGCGGAGTCTCGCCCACGTATGTCTCTTCGACGACTCTGTCGCCCAGGAACTCTCTCAAGCCAACCGGGAAGCATCAGAAGAATCGATACGAGGCGCTAAGACAGCCGATCTCGAAGTACATGGTGAACAGTCCAAATCCGGAATACATTGACGGCGTGGAGAGGAATGCGAAATCCACCAGACTCTTCGCTTCATCAGGTGAGCTAACACTTTATGCTTTATCGAAATACGTGGCGTAATCGGGGTGTATTACTTGAGAATTGTTTTCCAGCTGCAGGCAGCCAAAATTCGGCCAAGAAGACCAGCGCGGCTGGCGGCAAAAATCTGGACGGCTACTCGAATCTGCAGTACTCGGATTTGTTGAACTACAACCCGTCTATCTCGCAGTACATCAAGAATCCCTCGTCCATCCTCAACGTGCGGCCGACCTTCGTGCAAGCCGGGAACTCCCTGATACCCGTGATCATCCTACGAGTGGACGGGGTGCCGCCCATCCAACCCAAGCCCTCGCCGAACGTGAACTTGAAAGCCCTGCTGCAGCAATATCTCGTTCAATACGCCAGAAGTATCGAGGAATTGGCGCGACAGACCAATTACGATCTCGGCGACAGTCAGCCCCCGAAGGATCAGAGTTCGTTCTCCACCAGTCTGCGCGAACTGGCGCGATTGACATCGAACGGTGGCGCTCGAGATTTGATCGGCAATCCCACAGAATCCTATGTCGGCCAATCGAGTTACGAGACGAGCAATCTGGACCTCGAGAAAGATCTCCCAAGTGGAAAATATGGCGAGCGTACGGCGGCCCGGCCGAAAGTAAAGAGCGTGCAGATCATAGAGGAGGATCCAAGGCTTGCGAATCATAGGCTTTAGAACGAAATCGTGCGTAAACGATAGAGAACCGCGGAGATATCCCTTAACTTTTGCGTTCTATGAATTCGGTTTTTTTTTTTAAATATATACTGCATTCAGATGTACTGTAATATACATTCAGATTGATTTCAAGATTTATTCTATTAATCTATTAAATTTGTTAAACCTATTAAATTAATTTTATCTATTAAAGGTATAAAAAATTCGGAAATTAATAATTTCGAAGTTAATTGATAAAAATGAAAACTTGTAAGATAAAACTCACATTTTTATTTGCGTTTAAAGAATATTGAATTAATATAATACATTGTTAGACAAAGAACCGATAATACAATAGAACACTTAAGTTATGCCGAAACGATTGATCAACATGACATTAGCTACTGGCGACGATATTAAACCCGAAACACGAAAGTTTTTATATAGAAAGATATATTTTTTATTTTGCATTATTCTTTATTGTTAAGTATTAAATAATTGCAATGTATATTATCTGGCACTTCAGAAAATGAAAACGCTTCGTGCCATGAACCGATTTAAGAGAACGTCAACGAGATGATAATAATAATCGGGCGTTAGTGATATAATAGTATTTATAATGTGGGATTGTGCAATGTATTATAATGCATATACAAACGTACCTGTGCTACTGATTTGCTGAGAACACGCCAAGTTTGTTGGCATTAATAAATTTATTCGCCGTTCTCGGAAAAGCGGTAGTAAGCAAAGCATACTCGTTGCTTTGCGAATGTACCTAAAATCAGCCAAATTTCCACACTTCAGAAAGGTACCTTATAAAATCGTATAAATCGTAGTGTATAAGTTCTTATACTCAATTTAAGGTAATCACAACTTGTATGCTGCATTATTATAAGCTAATGAAATAAGAAACAAATTTTTATACAACGAAGATTTGTATTATTTGTGCCTCAAATTTCTATGTAAATCAGTTTTTAAAAAGATATAAATCTTTTCATTTTGTATTCTTTATTGAAAACTCTTGTTTATAGTGTTCCCTACAAATTAATTGTTCTATAAAATTTTTTGTGGCATATTTTACAAATAAGTTTTTTTTTCCTTTAAATGTATGGTAATACATTCATTTAAATAAAAATAGATGCATGTGAAAGTTAATCACAAGTAGGAAGCTATATAATAGTGGTTATATTCAATAAAATTATATATAAATTATATGTGAAATTAACCGCTAAGATATAGTTTTCTTTGATTTATTTTTAATTATGATTTTATAAGATATAGTTTTCTTTGATTTATTCTTTTTACTCAAAATTTTTGAAACGACTCGAATACGTTACCTATATAATACTAATAAAAGTTTTAAATAATCCACAAAATAAAACATATAAAATGTATTTCCAAGAATTAATCAATGTCTTTTTTATCAAATATTTCTTGACATTAAATCAATTCCATTTTCAATATTAAAATATTGTTCAATGTGTTCGGTCAGTTACGATAAAGAAATTACGTAGGATAAAATTACTTTTTAATCAATTTTATATAAATGTATTATGCTTTAATAAAATTTTATTTTAATGATTTTGATTATAAAGATATGCATTGCTAAAAATTAAAAAATAAAATCAATTTTCTTGAACATTTTTCTTAGGAAGGATCACTTCCATAGGCGATTATTAGAATTAGTCACACAAGCGATTAAAAGGCCAGTTCCAGGATATCCGTCATATTACATGAGCAACGTACGTATCATCTGATTACTGGAAAAAGCTGGTAAACGTACATTAGAAGCGTATATACTTATTAACTTTTCCCAATAATCATACCGTACGTATAAGTACGTTATACGTACGAGTAAAGTAAAAGTTTTTGCCTTAAAATTATTATCGATCCACGCACATTGAGCGGCCATCAGGCGCCATTTATGCGTTTACTCGATACAAACAAGGCTATAAACACATTTACTCGCGAATGCCGGTGTGCGCGCACGAGAGAAATATAATAATTCCAAATTATTAAATAAAAAAGATATTGCCGGCGCACGCGGGAGTGTCTGAAGATACGCATCGATGTCGACCGATGCCGTTGAACCGCAATTAACGCTAATTGTCTGGCAGGCGCGTAAAAAAAAAGAGCCCGCTCCAGCTCCATTGTTAATTCCACGTTTTCACAACGGACGGGCTCCGACGATATTATCTGCCGTTGCATCTACGGCAATTGCGGCACGGCAATTAGGCGCGGAGGCATTAAACTGCTGAACGCTCGGGCACGAGCGGCGCGGCGCGCGGCGCGACTCCGCACGCAGGCAGGGAGGAGATCGGCTCGTGTTCATTACACACGGACGTACACCTTCCACGGCGCGCATCGCATCGCGGGGAGGAGTTGGGCGCATCGGGCATAATGCGTGTGTTCTAGAGCGCGTAAAATTACGGCGGCAAAAGTACTGGCGGAGAGAGATATACCCGATCCGCGGCTCGGCGATCCGCCGATCCGTCGATCAAAAATGATGAGAGAACCGGAGGCTGCAAAACGCCGGAAGTGATATAAAACTCGAATCGTATAAACGCGGTTTCCAATAAGAGATAAAACAACGATATTCTAAAGAGAGATCTTTGAATTTCTCCTACTTATTTGTTTGTAACCGACCGCCACAGTCGTCTCGCCAGTCATAAATACCTTGCGATGCATTTCGAAAAATTGCGTTTGCCTCTCCCCTCACGTCACGGCACCGACGCGACCGATATCCCTCGGGTGAGGGATTTAAAATAAAGCGATTTCTGTTGAGACCATTTTGCTCGATTTTACATCTCTCTCTCTCTCTCTCTCTCTTTTTCTCTCTTCGTTTCTGTATAATTGCGATCATCGCTGCTCGAATTCCGTAGTGATGACGAGCGACCGCGTCCCATGATACCGCCGGACAATACTTCCTCAGGCGCAGTCGCGTGTCGCGAATGAAAGTATCCTCTGCGGCTGTGTGGTGCATAGGATAATATTTAGAACGATATTTTTCACTTGGCCGCCGGACTGTATAAAGAAAATCGCGTATCTACTATGTGGCTCAGTTCTCGCGTAGAAGCCCACCACGCGTGTTCCTTGAGATTACGAGACAAGGATACGGGAACGAATGATCGTAATCAATGTGTACGCGTAGTACAGTGTGGCGCAGAAATCCCCTTTTTGTTTAATGTTTGGTCTCTGGAGAAATCTTAAAAATTATTTCAATGAAAATGATTTTTTATTATGTAAGTACTTGGATCGGAGTACTTGTGCGAAAAAGTGCGAAGTTTATTTGTGCGGTGAGAGACAATTGTTTAATCATTTGTGTGGATAAATAAAAAAAGATTCGTATATTATTGATCTGGTATAAATTAATAATGCGCAATATTAAATACAATTGCATTATGATGCTTCCAAGTTGAGTGACATATTTCTATATATGTGAAACGGTGTGGGATTTTCTTTTAAGAGAATATGTGTATTCCAATATGTTGTATTTCTCTCTCTCTCTTTTTCTTTCTTTCTTATTATTAAAAAGATATATAGAGAAAGAAAGTACATATAAAAAAGTCTCTTCTTCAAGCAATTTAATTTTTTGTTCATAATATTTTTGTTATCCGTGGTCATATATTCTTTATAGATTTGACAGTAAAATTATATTACCAAATTTATAGAAAATAAATCAATATTAATAAATTTTCTAAAGAGCATTTTTCATATATTTCATATATCATGAATATGTACTTTTCTTTTCTCCGTTTGTATATCTGTATATACTTATTATGACTTATAATATTTAAATATATAGATATCATAGTCACATAGATATCATATTTTTTATGCTTTATATTTTTTATAATATACATAAGAACAATATTTTCTATAATTTTACTAAACTAAAGATAAATATAATGCTTTACACAAATAATATATAACAGAAAATTATTTACTATTTTATTTATTTTTATTTTACATTATTAAAAAAATGTAATTTTTTTTATTGTATTATTCCCTTATATTAATGTATATATTTTAAATTTAAAACTCTTTTTTATCATTATGCCAAAATTTAACCTTAAAATTGTATTTTATTATTACACAATTATATTTTTCAAATTATTTATATAAAAGTTGCTATCTAAAGTCTGTATTAAGCTAAAACCAATATTATGATAGAGAGAGAGTGCATTTATCCTATCGCGTGTGTTTTTATATGCATATTAAAATATGTGTGTTTGATATAACGATAAAGAATAGAATGGAAAATTATGCAAACGCTATAAATTATGGAAAAGTTACTTTGGCTACGTATCACTTTAAAAAATTTTTAAAATCTTGTCAACAAATTGCTTTTAAATAAAAAAATGCATATTAACGATGTTATATTTTGATCGACAACTTCGACCGACTTGTTTAACGATAGGCATAAAGAATAGTTCAAATTGGCTCTGTTTTCTCCGCAATTACTTTTCACCGACACTCTCTAAACGGATAGGCTGTACATTAGTTGCCCGGATTTCTGCATTTTACAAAGAAAAAGTCATTTATGTGATACAATTGCACTCCGAGGTTTGAAAATTCCTTTCTGCCGCTCAAAATCATTACATTAATGAGTGACACCAGTATGGCAGTCCGTTATTGTCAAATAATAATTCGAATGACCATGAATCAGTGAGAAAGTCCATGAAGATCTGCTTCCATGCACATCCAGTCCTTATTTCCATTGCACACGCTCGCATTTTACTTTTCCAGTCTGCTTTTCTTTTCTAGGTCATCTCCTTGACGAAACAGCAATTAACACTGCTTACATGTAGCGGCTATCCAAACTTTGCAATGCATATATGCTACTTTCTTCTTTATAACAAGACTTACGATCAAAACTATATGAAATGTATCTTTTAGATCTCATACCTTTATAATAACTCAATTTCTTCGATGTTTATCGCCAGTTTAATAATTTTATCGCACACGCACGTCTCGCATTAAAATTTTTATTTTTCATCGATCAATTAATGCAAGTTTTATAAAAATATATTTCATATAAAATTTTTTATTGTATTGCCTTACGTATATTCTTTTGATTAATTTTTACTTTGTACATTTTATTTTATATTTAATTCTATCAAGTAATTATATCAAGTAATTATATCAAGTAACATGACATTGCCATTTAAATTTATGATAATCATTTGATTGCTCAATAAAATTACTAATGATCTAAAAATTTCAATTGCAATTTAATCGGATTTCTCAACTTTCGTAGATGATATTGCTGTTCCTCAGCTGGCCGCGAGCAAGATGTACAGAAGACACTGTCTTAAAGGGCGAAGAGATCTACGATCAGCTGGCAACCGCCTCGGAGACCTTGGCGCACGCTGCAAAGCAGGTGAATGAAGACTCAAAGGACATCGAAAAACAGCTCTCGAGCACGTCGTCGTCAACGGTACACTATGAAAATTCCAACGGATTCATGCCTATGGTACCATCCGCCTCGTACGACGAACTCGACTCGTCACAGACCGGCGATCAGCAGCAGTCTGAAGAGAACAACGTGACGAATGCCGTAAGTGCTCAAGACAGTTCCGATACGAGGGAGAAACAGTTGGAAGAGGACTTAGCGTATTCCTCGGAAGCGAGGATCTTCTTGAGTCTGCCTGGATCACTGACGAATCGCAGGTCTTTCGATTTCCAGGACGGTAGGCTGAATGAGTTCGAGTTGCTGAAGGTGAACAACGACACCCCGGCGGTGGCCAATTATCGGGAATTTTACAAGAACGTGCACGACACGGTGAACACCGGCGAGACCAACGGCGAGTCCGGTAAACTCTCTTCGAGGCGTCCGAAAGGCGAGAGGGGGAGGAGGCTCGAAAATCACACCCGCAATTACGGCTGGCAGGCGCAACAGAGCAACAACGAGGATATCTATGCTCAATTCTACTCGTACAATGGCGCCCAGGATACGAAGAAAACTGTTTACGGGCCGGAGAAAGTAGCTGGTAATTATCAGCAGCAGAACACCGCGAATAATAACTACAATGGGCTGAACGCGGCCAAGCAGAATGTAGCAGCACCGGTGCCGTCCTCATCAAGGACGAATTACGAGGTCAACGAACTCGGGCATAGCGGAACTCACGGCGACGCGGCGGAATCGCCGAGGACTCGCCACAGATTCATGAAGCCGGTCGTGGTCGTCGAGCCGAACAACTACAAGGTGGACGTGAAGTTCAGCAGCCAGCTGCGGAACAGCGAGCCGAATGATGATGACAAAATTTTGAAAAATCTGCAGGAATCTTCCAGTTTGGAGAACTACGATGCTTATAACAATCACGACAGGCAACGTAGTTACCACCGCACGGAGGATTCCAAAGAACACTCGGACGAGAGCACGGATTACTCCGATTATATCGACCGGCCGAGACTGAGAACTCAAAAGATTCGGAGACGTCCCGATACCACCAGAAAACTCCCCAAGGAACATCGAGGCACGTTAAACTCCGCGGAGAGCGCGGAGGAGAGTAAGTATAGCTCCTCAAAACTGAAGTCGCAGCGGCACAGAGTGAAGGCGAATCCATGGCTGAACGATCCCAGCGTGGTGAATCAGCACGACGAGAGCGTCGAGGATATTCGACACGATTCCAGAGGCAGCGGCACGAAAACGAAGACTGTTCCATATGGATCCAGGTCGAAGAACACCAACACGTGGAATCAGATATCTCCGAATCTCGAGATCTCTCATTCTAACGGGATCGAGCTGGATCAGTTGGAGAAGCCGAAATACGTCGTTAATTTCGTGCCCGTGGCGAATTTCGATCACGCGACCGCGATAGGCGGTAGCCAGGGTTTCGACATGTCCAACGCGATGCTGCAGAATCTCGCCACCGTCGCGCCGATCGGCGCGTTCAGCACGACAGCGCCTATCTTGAACACACCTCAGTCCGTCCTCGCACAGAATCTGTTGTCGAAGAACCTAGTCTCCACGCCGGTGCCCGACATCATCGTCGGCCAGAACACCTTCCAAAATCCCGTTCACACGGTACTGCTTTCTCCGAACGGTCAAAATAAGATCGTGGATACGCTGAGAGCGACATACGTTCCGAGCACTATGACACCCGTGTTCGCCATCACGCCCGTTCACGGTGTGCAGGACAACAACGTGACGCCGCGAACGACCTACGCCATAGTGCCGCAGCCGACCATTCAGACGCACCCGGGTTTCCTGCAGACGCCGCTGCAGGCGACTCAGATCCAGGTGAATACCCACGGGCTGCAGGGTCAGAATTTGCTAAATCACGGTAACTTGCAGGTACAGAGCGTGCCGACAGCGCCCACGCTGCTGTCCAGCCAGGTGATGCCGGAGGGTAGGGCCAACTTGGAAACGCAGAGCAAGAAGAACGCGTATCCCACCTCCGGCGCGAACTTCCTCGCCACCGCGAGTCTGGCCGTCGGCCAGAACAACCCGAAGCAGGTGGCTAATGTTAACTCGTATTATGTGCAGGGCCAGAATGCGCGACTAATTCCAAATCAACAGAATTTGCAGGAGCTGCAAGCTCAAATGAACAAGCAGCTGGCGAAGGGCGGCAAACTGTCCAACATCGTGTTGCAGGCCGCTGACAGCTCGACTAGTCACTCGATTAATAATTTAAATATGCTCGGAGCAGCTGCAGTCGGAAACGCTCATTTGCCGAACGTAGGCGCGAAGAACGTGGAGATCGTGAATCCGAACATCAAGCCGAATCCTCTCAATGCTTACCAAGCGATGCACTATCCGACCGCTGTCCTGACGACGCCCATCCCGATCTTCAGCACGATCGCCTCGGCGACTCCGCATACCGCGGTCAACCTGCAGAATTACGTGAACTCTCTGACGGAGTCCGGAGCCAAGATCAAGCAGGTGGATCTCAGACCAGCGCAGAATCAGGAACGACCGATGTACAATCCCATTAATTTCGTTCCCAACGTTGACATTATCAAAAATCAGAACACTCTTAACAAGTTGCCGATCAACGAGCCTCTTCAGCCAGGCTTGAATCTGGTGCCCGCCATGCCGGGCGGAAACTTCTTCAAACCTGGGTTCTCGGGGCAAGGTGAGCTGATCATGAAGCCGAAGCTCGCGTCGGACTTGCAGCAGTACGCCGAGGAGATGTTCAAGGAGTCCCTGAAGACGATGTACAACTCGCAGAAGTGGAACAACGACAGGAAACCGGGGAATATTCAGAATAATCCCGAGGCGAGCGACATAGCGAAATTGAGGCTCGAGCTGCAAAAATTGAGGTCTTCCCTGTCGGAGTCGAAGTACAGAGACCTTCTCGAGGCGCATCAGAGCGAGAATAGCGTGCGCACGGCTGACTCGCCCAAAGGCGATAAAAAGAAAGTGGATCCGCTGCTGGCGACCTTGGAGCATCTGCTGAAGACGCGACCCGCGGGACCGATACATATCTATCATGGCGCCGTTAAACCCGGTCGCAAACCGAAGCTGGGCGGCGATGCGACCTTCGCCGCGAGTTCCAACTATGATTTCAGCGACAGCAGCCACTTGGAATTTCTCACGCCACCCAGACCGGATCCATTCTACTCAAAGGCTCCCTTTCACGACAAGCCGATGAAGAAACGACCAGGAGCGAGATTCAAGAACGGTCCGAGGAAACTGGTGAGGCCGAGCAGTTCACCGCTTAGATCCGTCGGCTCGCCGTTAGAAACGTCCTCTAGCAACGTGGAGGTGTACGTGGATGGTTATCGTAAGCCGCCTGTAAATTTCGATCCTGAAAACTTCGACTACGAGCCGAGACACCGTTCGCGATCGTACCGCAATTCGTATCCGACGTTCACCACGTCGAAGCCGGATGTCCTCGATAAGATCTTAAGGGAGATCAAGAATAACAAAAGCTACGACATCAATCATCCCAGGATGCACAATCTTCTTGGTATGTTGATGAAGAACAAACAGCTGCCGAACAGAGGCGCGCAGAACTATTTTCGCAACAAGGATCAGTTGAGGCATCTCGAGAGGGACAGACGTCGGCTGCAGCAGCAGTTCTACGCTGATACCTTAAGGGATTACATGCACAGATCCGACATTGAGTCGCAACCTGCTACGGCTGCCAACGGGAATGTCTATTCGGGGAATGGCGTGAATTCGTAATCAAAAGTACAAGCAAGACGTCGATCACGCGATGCGTTCGCTGGAGATTCGCGTGTAAAATCCGTTAAATAATGAATTGTAAATCGTAAATCCGCTCGTGAAAGTATTAGAATTAATTAGGTAGTAAGTACGTTTATCCCGTTTGCGATAACGGACGACCTTCCGTCCGCTTTGCGCATTAACGAATGCAGCATCACGCCAGCATCGAACCGCTGCGCTGTTCGCACTAAGCATTTAATTATAATAAGTAACGTTTTATACGGAAATTGTAAATCGTTAGTATCATATGCGCTCGCACGGAATGTTCGGGTCGAGGGGACAGCAAATTTTCATCGGTCATCATTGTAAGACGCTGACAAGTATTGTATGTACATATTAAGTTAAACAAGAAATACATACGCCTTGTAATTTGTACGGTCTGTATTTTATTTCGTGTTTTGTCACGCTTGCATTCTATTCATTTCCTCATCTCATCGAATTTCTCTTTTCTCTTTCATCTGTCTGATATAATCTGTGTCAAAGAACGCGATAAACAGTCGATGACCAAATACGCAATGAAAACTAGATAGATTTTTTCGAGGAAAAATGCAGAGAATTTTGTAAGAGATAAATATTATAGTAAGGTTTTACTTGACTACACAATATAATTACATATAATGACTACAAATATAATTATATTATTCTACTAATTAACTTAAACAAATTATTTTTTACTATTTATTTAAAATATCTTTAATCTTTAACTTGAGTAACAGCATTATGATAAATGTTTTTTTACAATAACATTTTTAAATTAGATAATTTTTTAAAATTAAAGCAAACATATAATGAGTGTATCTATTTTTACTGTTTACACAAAAAGTTGTTTTAGAAATTGTTGTTTTTTTAATAAAAATGCAATGATATCAAATGTTACATCAACGTTCAAAAGGAGATATTTTCGCGGTTGCATTAATATTTATAGCAGTTTTTTCAAGCTTTCCATGGAAAATTGGATCAGGATTTTAATCTTTGTTATAACACTAAACCAATAGAAATGTTTCAAGGAACTATTTCTTTTAAAAACTGAAAATTATTTGACTTATAAGATGAATTTATTAATGAAAGAATGACCAGTTAAAAATATTAAATAATTTAGTTTTTGAAAAATAAATATATTATTTCTAGTATATTTGTGTTATGACTAAATAAGATTTGAATATTTGAACACTGTTTATTTTGCGTGAAAAGTGTTAAGTAATATAAGAAGAACTTCTTTCAAAACTGAAAATAAAATTACTCGCGAAGACTACTATAACTAACTTCAATAAATTGTTTTCAATTAAAGCAATTATTTATATAAGTCATATATATCAGTTATATATTACAGAAAATATTAAAAATTGCTGCGTAAATATATATACATCAGCAGTATGGTGAAAATATATAACTGCATTCTTTCCACTTGATTGGCATAATAATTCAACCGTAACCCAGAAGGAAGAGGCGTTCACCTCACGGTATGTAACAATCATTAGCTTGAAGATTTACTCAATGGAGAGACTGAACACATAAATCCATTGAAGCATTTTTATTGTGCAACAGTCACTTTCTCGAAAAATAACCTGGGAATTAGACAGAAATTAGTTTGAGATCTACGTTAATTCACAAAACTATTATATTGGATATGCTCGCGCAAGTTTTCTCGGAATAGCGGCTAGTAAAGGAAATAATCATTCTTCTGGTAAATGGTACAGTTGTTATTACTTCTACAGAATATTCAATGAATATTGAAAATGTATATAATTATACAGAAATTTATTATTATTATTTTTATTTAAAATCTGCGTAGTAAGCATCTCAAAAATATATTCTGTTATACATTAATAATTCAATTTTTACAAATCAATTAAATGAAGAAATTGAATTCAATCACATCCGCAGATTTCACATTTGCGATAATCAGAATCGCTTGTCTAATAATTTCACGTTGCATTACAATTTGCATGATGATAACGTAAATAATATATTACAAAAAAGAGAGAAGTGTAAGTTAATAAAAAGATAGACCAATAGTTATGATTACGGCTTCACTGATCAGGGAGAAGCGAGGTGATTTGACTCGGTTTTTCTCGATACGCTTTTTACAAAGTTTAGGAAAGTCCAGCCCATTCTGCTGTCTCGCATCAGTAAACGCCGAATATAAAAGATGAGAGAATGTCGATCGCGGCTTAGTTAACGTCGAACTTTGGTTTCTGCTCGTACCGAACTGTACGAGTATCATGTTGGTACGTGTTTTTTTTTCTCCAGTTTCCCAATTATTTTAAATAATCTACGCTTACCGCTCACGTCGATCGTCCATGTGTATCGTAATATTGTAACAACAGTGTGATTTACTCACAAATGTGATTCGCTTAATTTCTTCGATACGTTACGCTGTGCAATGATATTTATTATTATTTGTGACATATATTAATAATACTATTAATATTCTCGATTTATGATTACGTTAAAAACGTTAAATTTTGCTGCCGCATTTTCTATATTATATTTTATTCATAATTCATATATGCATTACATACAATTTCCGTACATCAACGTGAACTTAGATTATTAAAATCCGCAGGATTTACATAAATTCGCGGGATTTAAATATAATCAAATTATTATGCAACATAATATTTATATTTTTAATTAACACATTTTCGTGTTGAAGGTAATTCGATATTTAAAACGCGTGTGCGCTGAATACATTCCAGATTGTAAACATCATTCTCTTTACGTCAGCGATATGTTCCGCCACGATAGTCGTGACTTCGACCGGCGCTTCCGTCACGTCAGCAACGTCTACCAAATCGAAACGCGTAGTTGTAGATCCCGGCCACAATATCCGTAATAATCAGGAGCAATCCCGAGGTACTCAAACTACGCCGAGGATCCCGTCGCCTCAGGATATTAACTCGAGATCATCGCCTCGTTATGGAAACGCCAAGGCGCCGGATACTCAGAGAGCGCCTTACATCAGCAGCGCGAACCACGGGCCCGGTACCTACGCGTATGGCAGCGTGCCAAAGCGGCCGCTTTCCACCCCCGTCATCCGTCAGATCGAGTCTCATCGGAGCAACCTGCTGGCACCGTATTTCGGCATACTGAATAATCCCGATGCGTACAAGGCTGCGAGGAGCGTCGAGAAACCGCTCGAGAGAGACGTGTCCAAATCGATCGTGTCGCAGTCGCTCCAGAAACTGCAGGGCATCTACTCGCCCGGCTACAACGCGTTCCATCAGAACAAGCCGATTGAATTGTCGAGCTTTTCCGACTTCGAGTATCCCTCGTTCGGCAGTATCGGCAAGCTTATCCCCCAGGGCGTTTCTTCGCCCACCGTACAGGCGCCGGTGTACAAAAGTATGAGTTATCCGCTCTCAAAACTTACCGATTTCTCGCACGTTTACGCGCCGAGCATTCCAACGGTGTCGGGCGTCGCTCCTCCGTTTTCGGAGAAAACGAGGCAGAAAGATGAAGCAATCGTAGACGTGAACGGTAAGAAGATCTCGGTCCCGGTCATTCAACTCACGAGCAATCTGGACTTCTCGGAAGTTCTGCCCGCCTTCGAGAGTCAGCCGTTCCTAAGTTCGCTAAGCGCGAACTATCCGATCGAATCGGACGTGGGATTTAAGTTTGGCAGCGGGTCGAAAGTCAACATGGCACTTCAGTCAAGCAACGTCTCGCCGTTTTCGTCGCCTCTGTCGAGTTTCCAAGGTCAAGTGGTGCCGATCCAGACGGCCAACGGTAGCCCGCAATTTCCGCAGTACAAAGGCGCCAGCATACAAGCTTACCCAATTGCGAGTAATATTCCTAAAGCGCAGGGCAATTACGAGTCCCTTTATAATCAACCGCACTTGCACTTTGACAAGGTACATAATGGCAATATGCAGCCTGTTAATGCAGGACAAAATAATATTCATCCTTCCGTCTCAACGCAAGACATTCTGAATGATGTAGAGCTTATCAATAAGAAAAATCCGGAGCCACATACACCCCAACCTGATGATGACGACGACGATGAAGATGATAGGGAAGATAAAAGTTCGTATTATTTTATAATTTGCGTGCTTATAATCGTAAAGAAAACTTAGTTAAGATATAAAATGGTACAAAAAAATGACAGATTTTTAATCTAAGATCATCTAAGATTTAAATTAAAAAAATATTAAAAAATAATTTATATCGATACGCTTGCAGACATTTTAATAATAATAAACTGATGATTTTACTGAATTTTAACTTAAGATAATAAAAAAAGATTTAAAATAAATATTTACACTAGAAATATTATCTCTAGGATACAAAAATCCGGATAAAGAGTACAGTTCTGAAGAGGACGATGTGGAGCGTCGACCAGGAAAGTCTTTCAAAGCGTCACCGACGGAAAGTGACTTTAAGCCTTCACCATCTTACCCTTTCAAAGAGTACGACGAGAGATTTGGAAAGCTTCTTGTTAGAGCGCAACATGATAATGACGATGATGACTTTGAAGATAAACCATCTTCCAGCTATAAGAATTATCCATCAGACGACGACGAAGAGGAAGAAGACTCATCGTCGGAGGACCGTGCAGAATACATTGAATCCTCAAAACCGTCGCGTGACTCGTACGAGGAAGAAGATGATGAGGAAGAGGAAGAAGAAAGCCGCAAGCAGGAGAAACGCAAGAAAGTCAATGAAGGCTTTCGCGAGGCACCTAAACGATCCAAATATTATCAAAAGGACTTTGAGCAGGAATTTGAAGAAGGTTACAAGGAAGAGCTACCGAAACAAGGTACGCGAAAGAACTGACAAATCATGTTACAGTATAAATGAAATTACATTTATAACAGTTTTATTGAAAATCTTACCATAAATGTTATGTTTATCATTAAACCACATTTCGTTTAATATATCAATCTCTGAAAATACTAATAACTTTAAAATAATAAACTCATAATTTTAAAACAATGTAATGTTACGCGAATGTAAAGTACGCAGGAAGAGATAAATAATTTTACCTATAGAGATTTTTACATTTAATTATATGTTTATTAATTGAAATGATAAATCAATAAGTTTAATGGAAATATTAATGGAAATTACTAAATTAATATGTTTAATGGGGATATTAATGAAAATTATTAAATTCATGTTTCTGCTTGCAGAATATGTGCACGTGAAAGAAGTGCCAGAAATAGACAGTAATAATAATCCAAGTCCCGCTTCTTTTTAATTTTACCTATAGAGATTTTTACATTTAATTATATGTTTATTAATTGAAATGATAAATCAATAAGTTTAATGGGAATATTAATGGAAATTACTAAATTAATATGTTTAATGGGGATATTAATGAAAATTATTAAATTCATGTTTCTGCTTGCAGAATATGTGCACGTGAAAGAAGTGCCAGAAATAGACAGTAATAATAATCCAAGTCCCGCTTCTAAGCGGCAACAAAAGCATAGCAATCAATCTCGCGTGAAGCACGGCCAATCCAAAGAGTCGAAGAGTCAAGAATCTCGCAATTCGCGAAAAAATTATAAAGTACCAAAGACGGATTACAGGGACAGCACAGCTTATGGCTCGGACATCTCCGCGAAAACGTCGCCCAAAGTGATCTACGAGGAGTTTTTCGGATACAAAAAACCCGAGACCGGAAAATATTCTAAGCACGCGAAAACCGGGAAGTCGCTCACCAAGAAATCGCCGAAGGAAGACGGTCACCACCTTCGTGCCGCTAAGTATTACAAATTCAAGAATCTCAAGACCGGCAGCGACGTCAGCTCCGAAGACAAGAAAGATCCGCATCCGCTTTCCATCGCGAGCAACACTTGGAAATTGAATAAAAACTCACCTGAGAAAAAGGTGATTCCCAGATCGAATGTGAGACAATTGTCAGATCCTGATGACGGGGCTTCTTTTTACGGGCCAAGTATAGAGAGCGGCCGAGCGCGTTCTATCACAAATGAAGAAATTTTTCGCGATCTGACAGGAATCTGAGCGATCGAAGTAATATTGTAATATACCAAATATTGAGTTAAGAAATATTGCGTATGCATATTCTCTGACCAAATTTTCTGGTGAAATCTTAAATATCGTATATGAGAAAATCTGTCTTTTTTTTTTCTTAAAAGAAACCAGGTATTACGCATATTTACATTTGTTACTGTTACGTTCTATTTTTATTATCTATTATATGATATTATAAAATAACAATATATGTATTATTTCCTTACATATTAAGCTTTTCGTTCTGTTTGCAATACTTACATATATATATATTCAAGTTATATATTGTAACGTTATACATATATGTTATTATAATGTTATAATATTAAAATATAGACCATTTATCAGAAATTATATTATAAATATATTTTAATTTTTTGACAAAGGTTACAAATTTATTTAAAAAAAATATGGTAATAATTTTTATAAAAAAGAAAACTCAAATTCTTTATATAGGGCAGAGCAGAGTTCTATCTGTCTACGAGAGACCACGGTATTGTTATCTTAGGTGTTAAGAGGTAGATGTCTCTACCATTCTCGGCGTACAGCGGTTTTTGTGAAAAGCATCGCAAAAACAAAAGCTTCTGGAATCCCTTATGTAGAGCTCTTTTTCAACGTTAGAATGATATAGATATCTATCTAAAGCTAGATAGCTCCCCGTCTCTCCTATAAAAATAAATTTCAAATAAAAATTCCCAAAAATATAATTTAATGTGTAATAAGAAATAAATTTAATAATGTTTAATAATGTTTAAGATAAATTTTTATTAATCAGAATAAAAATATACATATTTAAACAATTACCTTCGTTTTTTATCAGTTTAGCATATAATCACTGCACGTAATAATTAATTATATTATACCAACGATATTCATTTTTAGCAAATTTTATTATTCGATATTATAATATGTTATAATTTCATCTTTTAAGTATATTAATGTAATTTTGTTTTAATTTTGATAACTGTATAATTTATCTATGCCATTTGAATATAATATTACAATTAAATTTTAATATCATAGCATATTAATGGCATATTAATATCTCTCTCGAAAATTAATTTTTAATGTTAACCTATTTCATCGAAGAGAAATTAATATTTATTTTTTTCATATTTTATATTTTGTGACCAATTTTATAGAGCTATATAAGTGCGAAAGTAGACATATATAACGTATAAACAATATCTACTCATCAAGAAGGTCGAATGTCTTTTCAATATCTAACTAAATTTATTTAACGTCTACATTGAAGCGGAAGTACTTGGTACGTACTCACAACTGGTTAACTACTTCCTGAGTTCGAGGTCGAGATATGATCTTCGTCTATCGATTTCTAAGACGTAAGTGGCTTCGTGTGCAGTGATTGTATAGCACACGCCTTCCAGAAAATCGTCATTAGGCAATAATAAAGGCCTGTAATTCTGTTTGCGATACGTGGACTTTTACGGACACCTCTAATAGTTTTAATTAATTCTATGATTATCCCGGAGACGCTAGATCATTCTTCCTCGTATCACAAGTTGTATATATACTGGGGGTCCACCACTGGAGAATTCAGTATCATCCGCAATATATTTCTCGCAAGATGAAGACCATCGTAACGGTAACTGAAAGCTCAAGAGCATATTTTTATCTATATTTTAATGGATCCAAATTATAGAAATACAAAATTCAACGTAACACATTTTATATCCCATGTCGTGACACAAACGAGAAATTTTTATTTTTAAGTTAAATTATCGTGCAAGCGTTGGAAGAAATTTTAGGACTTTATAGAATCTAAAAAAGAAACGAGTGAACAACTTCCTGAAGTTCTAGCTTGTACTTTCATCGATAAGAATAATCAAGCGTTGACTTGCAGATCGCGCTTCTTCTCGCTGTTGTCTCCGCGGTGGAGCTGAAACCGGAATCAAAGAAGCATAAGCGCGGAGTAGCGTTTTTCGGATCGCCTGATTTCTTCGGGTTCGTGCCGGCCTTCGCTCCTTCGTCGTGGGCTCCCACGGGCTTCGCGGCTTCGGCCTGGAATCCACCGATCCACTCAGACGTAGCGCTCGCACAGATCCAAGCTCAAGCCACGCACAATGTGGCACTTCAGGTATGCACGCACACTTACTAGGCTATTTGCAATGTGTTACACCGCGCGCCCTACATATATCATACGCGAGATTGGAGGAATATACATTTCCTGTTAATTTACGTGACAGGCGTTGAAGGATCCGGCGCCCGGTACGCCCAGCATCGCGTACCCGCCCGAGGTTCTCAGAGCGATTCAGCAGGCAAAGGAGGCGAACAGCAATGTCGCGATGGGGCTGCACAAAGTTGCGGAGGCGAAGCAAGCCGCGCTGATCCAACAGAAAATTGCATTGGCAAAGGAGGCGGCGGCGCGGGAGGCTGCCGCGAGGTACACGAATAATTGACTCACTCCAATTTTCCATCATTATGTTCTTATCGCGCACCGCGACGTGACATCTCCATCGCACTCCCTTTTACGCCTTGTAATATTTCCACTTTGTGCAGGTCGCATGAAATTTCGCAGTACGCCGAGACCCAGGCTAAATCCAGCGCCCGACAGCTCGTGGCGCTGCAACAGAGATTAGCGACCCTAAAGGACGCTGTGGCAGCTGCACAGAGAGTAGCGGCGGCGAGGGAAGCCGCCGCAGCTGCGGCAATCCAAAGAAACGCGGCCAACACCGCCGCGGAATTGCGAAAGCTGGATGTTGATAAGCAAATTAGTCAGAGCGAACAGGAAGCTAAGGTAGTAATATAAAAATGTAATTTTTCTAAATATATTTCTCTATAAAATAAGATACTGTTGTTTCTGTTAATATTAGACACGGTATTTTCTTGTCTGAAAATTGTTGTTCATTATCAGTGTTATTTATTGCATAAACTGTTATAAGCTAACGTTAATTTATTCTTAATATTTATATATATTGTTCATCTAAATAGGAAAAGGACGTAATAGCTGCAAAAGAAAACGCAATAGCAGCTGCGGTCCAGCACGCGAGCTTACAGAAACCTATTCATCATCCTTGGGGTTGAAAATCATTTCGTGACGTTATACATATTTTGCGCATATCAATAATAACATATATTATACATATGGTGGTGGTGTGACATAAAAGGGCATTTGTAGTGTTATGAATATGATTTTGTAATTGTTACATGTAAAAATCATCGTTTCATCAATAAAAGTTATATACAGTTAATTTCGCGAGGTTTCCGTCAATTTTATTGTTTTCTTTGACGATTTGGCGCAGTCTTTTATATCCTGATCTTAGTATTTAAATGAAATCTTAAAAGTTTTTTGCACTTAAATATTTTGATTCTATATCACTTTGACAATTCATATCACAAGCGCTCACTACACGTGTTCAGGCGTTCTGAGATAGTGGTTCGTATTCATAAAAATTTTGCGCGTTCCAAAAATTGAAACAAAGTGTCGCAACCGATTATATAAAGAAAGAAGCAATAATGATGAAAATACCAAACTATTATATCTTGGAAAGTATCGCGTTCTTCTAATATCTGGATCATTAATTAACTAGGAATAGGCAATTTTCTTATGAAAATCTAAAGAAGCGTTTCTATTAATAAACGTGCATCTTGAAAAACGGGGACAAGAGAGAAATCCTTGTTTATATCACAATGGAAATATCTTTTTCTTTCATTAAAATAAATTGCCGTAAAATGGATTACCTAATACTCATGTCATTTTCATCGAAAGACATTATATATAATAATTATTATACATATATGTAGTATAAACTGTCTGATTACATGTTCAAAATTTTTATTAGAACTCAAAGCTTATATAATGCATTTAATAAATGTATGAATCAAATAAACTATACATAAATTATATTAAAATAATCAAACATGTATAATCAATATTATTTTAATCGTAGAACGTCTGCTTGATTACTGATTTACTCAAAAAAGGCGTTTGTAACTAGTGATTGTTTCACTCTTCAGTTCACGCTTCATACCGCAGATTTGCTTTTTAAATTTCCGATTCATTTTTATCGCCGAGATTGTCTCTCCTGGAGAAAGAGAGTGAAAGTTCCGGAAAAGCCTTCCAGGAGAATCGGCAGACAATGGGAAGTGAGGTCAGAACATCCAGCTGGGATGTGACGCCAAGATCAAGTGCCTGCAACCTGTATCCTGCCAAGTATCTGGGCGTAGTCATCAGCGCCAAATCTACGACTGTGCATTAACCCGGCGAACGTACCGAGATCCTTTCACTCGCCTCTTCCTTAGTCATCCTGGGTTTCCCCTGTCTCTCTCCCTCTCTCTCCCCCGCGTATCACCCGTCACCCTTACGCCGGTGCCGCTGCGAGTTCTATGAACCGTACCGACGCGGAAGAAAGTCGTTCGATCAAAGTCACTCTTTCTGCACTCCCTGGATTGCTGCGCCCACCACCCTTGTCCATTTGTAAGGACAATGGATCGCTTTTTCAAAGTTGTCGAAAAAACGGACGACCGCGCGCGGTCAAGTCCTTGGTGCAAATATGACCCGGCAATATTAATGATGGCTCGGAAGTGCAGAAAAAGAGACATGCAACAGCATACTAAACGGAAACACGATGGAATACGTCAGAGTGAAATTATTTATGTCTCATCATTAATACTGCCGGAATAGATTTGAAATTAGAAATTAATACTTCCGAATTATATGTACATTTGAAATTAGAAATTGTAACAATTAAAAAAAGGAATTATTTGTAACTACCAGATCTCATTGTATTTATATCAAAGTTTCTGTCGCAGGAAATCAATGTTAAGCGGTAAGAGATAAATTAATGCGCTTGAGAAATCAAAATGGCTTATTTAATAACGCGCGAAGAAAAGACAGAGAGTTAAAATGTATAAAATCTAAATAAATGCGCTTTATTCAGATACTTTGAATTACTATCGTGATGAATCATATTAAAAAGATATCCGAAAGTTATTAAAAAGATAGCCGATAATCAGTGCATAAACGCAATAAATGTTCTGTATAAAGCAGGATACAACAGGTGAACAGGTAAACATGTATAAATAGGTACACTTGTTTCATGCGAGACCGTGCGTGACACGCGATGCAGAGATATCGGCGTTCAATATGCAAACGTTTTCATATTTCTTAAATATAAATCACACCCTATTAAATATATGAGGGGTTATCTCGACGGATATATAATTTGAAATGAGTAAAATTAAAATTTTAATTCAAATGGCATGGAAAGCGTTATAGATTTCCCTTGTTTACTTCGAGCGAGTATTCATATGTGCTTGAGATCGGATGGTGCTGCAGGTGCTTGGGGAGGCCACGCGACTTTTAGGCATCAATGAACACGGCAGCCGCGATTATCGTTAAATTATCGCGGTCGATCATCCGTTCTGTACCGTCGCGTCACTGACGCGACGGTACAGAACGCAATTTTTCGACTCGCGCCGACGTTACAACAAGATCCACCTTTCACACCGAACCGGATAATGCTCTATTTGGTCGTGTCTTTTTCCGTCGCGCCTTTTTTCTCCACGGACTTCTCCTTCACCCAGTTTCATTTGCTTTCCTTTCTTATGCGCGCACACCGGCCACTCTCACTGTGAATCTAGCCTGTAACCTGATTTTTTTAATAACGCGTATTAGCGTACACGGTCAAGCGATACTCCATCGCGGCGCGATCACGGTTATTATAATGTCTGCAGTAAGTAAACGACGAGGGGCCGGCGTTACCCGCTTAAGAGACATATAATTCCTGCGCTCTCCTCGAATTCATATAATGATACTTATGATTTTACGTTGAAATATATACTTCTAGACTTCTTCCGTACGGCGAGATCAATCCGATAAAACCTATCCTTCACGTGCTGAAATTGCAACTGCCTCGTCGATTTCTTTAGATATATGTACAGAGTAATGCAATAAATTAACAGTAAATATACGCAGTGGCAAGTCCTTTCTGCCGCGAAAAAAAATCAACCTGAAATTATCAATTTTGTTATGCGCACAGGAACTAAATGTATCTTGAACGAGATTATAACATTACTCACACAGGATATTGGTTGACAGTTGCTTTCGTGCGATTACAGATTTGATATAGTTACGCTGCAATAACATATATTACAAAACGTATATTACCTTCGTAATCAGCTTCTGTGCGGACAGGAATAATTTCTCCTTCGTATTGCGAAATACGACGCTTCAAATGCATACGCACAGTGCACAGGGCACTTTATTGCAGAAAATCAGCGCGCACGCATAGATTATAATTTCCATTTCACTTCGCTACCGCAGCGGATAAACGTGCCGGATAAACATGAAAGAAGAATACGTTTAACGAAAAGGAAATCACTTTCATATATTTGCGAGCACGTGTAAGATGACGATCCGTCAAATACGGATGTTAAACGAGTTCTCTACGACCTCGATCGTATTATTATTTACTCCCATCATACCTGTAGTTCAACATATATTCTATTGTATTTTTTGGGTCAAGAAATCAATGAAATTTCCGATCGAATGCGTTAGATATAGAAAGTTGTAAAGTCGGATCATCTTTTGATACAAGCAACTATCAGCATTGTTAGATTATATTACTTTATGCTTATCAATCAAGTAACATTTTGTAAGAGAATTACAATTTATTATAATCCCGATCAATTTGCATTTTATTATGCTCAATTTTTTATTTTATTATTTATTTTATTATAACTTTTTTATTGCTTCAAATTCATAGCTTTTTAAACAAGTTCTTTCTTAACTTATACAGAAAAAAATTTAATTATGTTAGACAAAATCATTAAAATATGCACATATGATGATAATACAGAAAAAAATTTGGATATTCTGGCAACCAACTTGAACATCTAATATAATTCTTACATTAAGATTAGCTCTAATATTAATATTCATATTATTATTTATATGCTCCGATTTATTTTCAAATATATATTTGATCTAATTTTTAAATATTTTTATATATTTTAGCAAAACCATTTTTTTCCACATATATAAGAAACAACATTTTAATGATGTCATTTTTCTTTATACTATTATTAATCATCCCTTTGCGAAGATGAACCCTGAGAACATCAATGTTTCTACTTCATAATGTCATCTAATGTAATATTTATTATTCTTCTGTATCAATAACAAATATCATATATCATCATAAATGCAATGCCCCGACTGAGGATCGCTGCAGGTGATGCATCGCAATATCGCAACGTCACGATCGGGTGGAAAACACGTTCTCGGTTGACTAGACTCGCAGTCTCGATCTAGTAATTTCGAATTAGCAGGCTCGAACTAGACTTGTTTCCAATTTGTTAATATCAACGGATATAGGTGCGTACGTACGCAGTCCAGTTTCCACGAGAGACTATCAGCTATCCCCATCGGATAGGAGAGAGGGAGAAAGTGGATAAAAACGGACGGTCCATCAGAACCAATCCGCAGTATCCCATTCGTTGTCCCGTTCGTATCTCTCACGAGACGTGTTCTGAAAAATGCTCCATCTGTCCTCAGTAAGTAGACAAAAAATCGAACAGAGGGGTTCCGTGCCTCCGGAGGACCGTGACGGGAGTCGCGTGGGAATCGCGGAAGCGGAGATTCACGGCGCCCGACTCGGATTCGCGAGCGAGTTCCGGCTTTACGGCGAACAATGGCAATGGAAAGTGATCGCCGATATTTCTATACTTTCCGTGCGCGACACACCGGTAGCGGGTCTCATAGATTCCGGATATTCTTCGTGCGGCGCAAGAGTGATGATATCGAGTTCGACGCGTCGCCAGCGGCACTTTTCTCAGAGAAAAGAAAGGGCACTTTAACGAATGTCCTTCTAAGTGTCCGCTCACGAATAAGATATTTCTTGCGTTTCACTATTTTGCTCACACATTTATATCATCGAGCTAAGTAATTGAGAGCTTCGACGATAAGGGGAAGGGAAGTGAAACTTAAATTTAGATTGCTCAGAATTTAATATTTAAATTAGAATTAATATTTAAATTATGAATTGTTTTATTATACAATAATAAGGAATAATCTATTAATAAAGATTTAATCATAAAAAAATTTTAGAAGATTTATTTCTTTGACTTCCACTTTTATATATTTTTATTACAATTTTATAAAAAGACATTATTTTATATACTTTTAGAGATAAACTAAACTTTGAATAAAAACAAATTTTTACAATTTATTTAATACTTTTATCTTTATGTTTCTTTGCTATAATAATTTGCGAAAAATTGTTATATTAAAAATTGAGATTGTAATTAAAGTAAATGTTATTAATTATGTATCAGATGTTTATACAGGTAGCTGTATGCTTATTAATTAAAACAACATTTGCCAGTTTGTCCAGTGATGCTGGATGGCATGGGTAAGTAAAAGCAAAATAAGGAGGATTTGATAGTCATATTTGTTACTTCTTAATGTTGTACGTTAAGAATTATCTATTGTGTTGCAACTTCTAATTACTGCTCTAATTTTAACAGAATATCTAATTTCGGAGCTACGAATTACGGTTCCAATGGCCAGAACTTAAATATTCATCAGGATCTTTCTTCCTATGGATCATATTCCTCCTTCGGAAACGGTGGCAATCTTCACATAGATTTAGAGCAAGGATTTAAGGGCAATAATGTCCAACATACAATCGCTGAAGCTGTGCCGATCAGTGAGCACGTGGAAGTCACAAAGCCAGTGCCAGTGCCAGTTATAAAAAATATTGGTAAGATTTTGCAAAAATATATATACAGCACCAATTAAAATAAAATTAAATCATAACAAAATAAAGAGCAAACAGTGGATTGTTCGAAATTACAGAAAATGATAATTTAAAATTTAACTTATAATAATAATTAATTCATATTATAGTACCTAAGAAATACAAAAATATTACTTTTGAATCCATAGGTATAATGCAAAACGTTCGCTCATATTGAATACAAATTTTTCAAAATACAAAGTAAAATTTTAAAATAAAGAAACATATTAAAATATTATCGGTTTGTACATTATTGATGGCTAGCGACTTAAATGAAGAATAATTATGTAAGACAAAATATTATGTAAGAACAAAATAGAAAAACGTATTGTATTCATCAAATACGTTAATCATACATTTCGTATCATCTGTGAAAGCAGATTCGCGAAAATAATATTAATGAAAAAATTCTTATCTGATCGATCGAAGTAGTATTCATGAAAAAATTTTTATCCGACTAATCGACACGCGTGGATTTGCGAAAAGCTAAATTTTCATCGGAATGTTAAAAAGTACGTTATGAAACCTTGATCACATTAAGTTTCATACCTCGTACTGTACTTTCCATTTTTTTAAATTAAATATTATGTTAGCACAAGTTCTCTTTTGGCATACATTATCGAATTATACATTTTCTTTTTTTCCAATTTCGGACTATCTATATTTAATTGTAATTAATATACATATATAAATATTACCTAGATAATTCAATATCAAAATTCTTTTTTATTATAAAACATTAATTTAAATATTATATTACAGCATAAATTGCAATCAATGTCATTATATGATGGTAAATATATTAAAAAATTAATTTTATTTCATAGAAAATAGAGTGTGATCTTTCTTGTTTTACCTTTTTTATTATTTTGCAATACATTTTATATCGTTACAATGACTAAAATTAACATTTTATATCTTTTTAATTTCCCTAGGCTTTAATTTTCGATAGAATAAAGTTGAAATTTTCATTATAGTTTATATAAGAATGAGAGATTTTAGTTTATCTCTCCTTCAATAACTTCGATGCTCAAGAGACTAGATATACAGCGGAGAAAAGAAAACACAAAGTAAATTATCACGTTTTTTTGAAAACTATAGGAATCCCAGTGGCACAGCCTATGACGATACCCGTGCCTCATCCTATGGCGGTAGGTGTTGCTCAACCCTATCCCGTCCACGTGCCGGTCGTCCAGCCGATCCCCGTACCGGTCGTGAAAACCATCGCAATTCCAGTCGAGAAGAAGATCCCGTATCCGGTGGAGAAAATCATACCGGTGCCCGTGGAAAAGCGGGTGCCAATAACTATCGAGAAGCATGTGCCCGTTCCAGTGGAGAAGCTATATCCGATTCACATACCGATCTACAAGCATGTTTTCCATCGAAGGAAATTTAAAAAACGCGGTCGCAGGAGGATGTATTCCTATTGAGGAAAGTTACGCTATAATTAGTTATCATTATTGGACGAGATTCCAGCGAATGACACGAATGACTGTTGATTCGTGAAACGTCTTCTCGCGAAACCGGATGACATTAGCGATATAGTAAACTCGTCTTTCTTAAGTCTCGTCGGCAGGTTTCGTTGTTATTGCTATTTGTCAATAACGTATAGTAAAAGGACAATATCTTTCGCTTGTTTTTTTTTAGTAGCATCGTTGCTACTTGCAATTATATTTGTTGACATTGCATTGTTGCCAAATAATAATCTTATTTAATAAAGAAATCCTTTCGTTTTATGTAATATTATTTATCTGTTATCTCCGTTTGTGAGATAAAATGTAACAAAATGATGATAACAATAATAATAAATTAATAAGAGCTCAAAGAATACTGTATAATTAATTAGATTATATTTTTTAAAAATTAATATTGATTCCAATTTAATTACTTGCGCTTTAATATTTTTTATTTTTTTACTCATCATGGTTACTTTTTGAGAGAACAGATTAAATTAAATCTTAAATTATTATTTTTGATTGATAACTTCAAACTAATTTCTCAAAAACTTCGTACATTAATTTTTTATTATTGTATAATTAAGAAGAATAAGAAACATAATTCCTGAGTGAGCTGATTCATGCCATTCTGATTTGTAAAATTTTCCTATAAATTTTCAGAAACCTAATAGTTTGATCTTGGCAGGATATTCTTTGAGAGAAAAAATAATAAGATTTAATATTTTAAAAGATTAGAACAGAAGAGAATCTTTATATTACTTTGCCAAAATTGTTATATATATGAACATGCATAATTTTCAAAATAATGATTAAATAATGATAATTAATTTTATTAGATCAGATCAAAATTAATTAATCCATTTTTATTTGCGTATGGGTTTTTATCAATTTATGATTATTATATTGTTATCATTAGATTGTACATTTAAGAATCTATTTACTAATAAAATTTAATTTTTACAATAATAGAAACATATTTAAATAATAAATTTTTGTATACGTTTTAAATTATTTAAACCTTATGTTGTAATTTGCTTGTCTATACAAATACTTATTTTATTTTATTACAAAATTAAATCTGAAAGTTATTATTATATAAAAACAAATTATTTATATATGTTATACAAATATTTAAAAACAACAAATGTAAATAGCTCAATAATTAATTCTGTAATTATTATGCAAATATTTTTATGCATTCTCAGTTTTAAACGTATAGAAAGGATAAAAAAGATGTACAACTATTCGCAAATCTTGATAATTAAATTTGTATTGTATATTACGTATATGAACTATATGTTTGTAGTTATGTACATATGTATGTAGTGTAATTTGAGTTACAGTGAACCTTCACTTCCTTTCATTTCCGTACAATTCCCACGGACATGTTACCGCGTACGAGATCGCAATACAATAATATAAAAATTAATGATCAAAGCATTAGCGATCGCGCAGATCACTTCCCGGAAACTTTTACAATATATCTTTACTTATGTCTTTAAACTACTCGTTTGATTTATTATTGTATAAATTATAATTTTGGATTCATCGGAAGTGGTCATAGCTCAGTAAACTAGCAATTTTATTCCTCTTCCGATCTCGAGGGAGCCGACGATAAAAGTATTCATTTTATGCTTTTATTTTTATTATCCTTTCATAGTTAATTCTTAACAATTTACAAAAATTAAACATTCACCCGATAATTAGTCGCCTCTGGTTGTCTCTAACTATATAATATCTATTATCAATTATGTTTAAAGTATGAAACAGACGAGTTAATCATCATTTTGAAAATTATGCATAATGATATCATTATGTAATAATAATCACTTTTGGCAAAGTGATATAAAAATTTTTCTCTTATCCTATTCTATACAAAAATTAAATTACATTATTTTTTCTCTTAAAAGAGAATCCTGCTAAGATCCTGCTAGACTTGAAAGTTTATTGGAAAATTCCACGAATCAGGAACGGCACGGATCAGTTCAGTTAGAGGCTATGTTTTCTTATCAATTATCATAATAATAAAAAAATTTTATAAATTTATATAATAAATTTCGTGACATTTCTTTCTCTTTCTCCAACACTTCTTTCTCTCTCTCTTATCTTGTTTTATTTAAAAAAATTAAATTCCGTTATTTCTTCCTTCAAAAGAAAATCTTATCCTGATTGAATCCTGCTGGCTTTTGAAAGTCTATAGGAAAGTTCCACGAATCAACTAGGAACGGCACGGATCAGCTCATTCACGGGCTACCTTTTCTTACTAATTATCGTAATAATAAAAAATTAGTGCACGAAGTAGGTATATCGTCCACATATTCGTTATGCTCTCTTCACACATAGTGTGAAGTTTACGTGCGTGCATTAAAATTACCTTTTCGCATTTTGTAATTAAGTCGCTATTTGTCACATAAGATGGTTATCAGTTTTGCTAGAAATAATGAAGCTACAAAGGTGAAAGGATGAATAAAAAGCGTGTAGATTATATTAACTCCTTTTTGTTATATCAAATGTAATCAGATTTTTTAATATTTTTTTATATAAGAAATTTTTATTATATAAAAGCATAACATGCAAATTGAAAATTTTACGTAATGGGATAGTTTTTATGAAAACATTTTTGAATTTTTGCTCTATTATTCATTTTACTAAATGTAATACACTTTAATAATAATAATTAAACAGTAATCAGATTAGTCTGCTTGTCAAAGTCAATGTGCATGTTTAAACAGTCAGAATAAATATATGTTCCGGTAATAGCGGAAGACATCCTTTATGGTGTCTTAACAACGTGATAAAAAGCGATAATAAAAACGATCGGTTTAAAACGTGGAATTAGGGTGGTTAAATGAACCATGGAGATTGACGGATCTCGCGCTTCTGACGAACGACGTGCAAATTTAGCGACTTCTCCGTACGTATAAAACGTCAGTGCGACGGTGGAGTGGTAAGGCACTACACCCAGGTGAACGTGGAAATCCTCGTTTGTAGACGCTCACCCGTAGAACGGAATAGGAAATGTCCGATTCGTTGTCAATGTGAAGGCCGCGAGGATACGGTCAATTATTTTCACGCGCGCGCCGAGTAGACGCTGCAGCGAAACAATTGCATCGGGCGGGTACAATTCGCCGCAGTGCAAAGTGAGACGAAATCACATCGTCTACAGTGAAAGGCCCCGCGGTATATTAAGACGAGAAATGGCCGAAGATGTATCAGTCGTTCGAGAGACTTGCGCTACAAGCTACACTTGAAGCGCACTAATAGAAACAACACGTGGGAGGATGAGTGGACTCGTAAGTAACTGAGTAAATTACTGACTTGCGGATAACGCATTTTAATATGTGACAAGTTGAAAGTCATCTGATTAAAGCTGGACTACAAATCTATTTTAGACATTCCTTATCAGGATCGCATTAATCTTGTCATACGTTCAATTAATTCGTAATTTTTTTGCTTTAACAATCTCAGCACAGATAATATTCTCAATCTATCTAATGTACCTGTAAGTCGCGCGGAGATTAAATTAATTCGAAAACAAGATAACAAACTTTTTCACTCTCGTACACATTGTCACATGACGGCTGATTTTTTGCAAGTTACTATCGCACTTTCCATTCTTTTTTAATTTACAGGTGCTGCTTTCTCTGATATCCTTGGCCGCGGCTACGCCGGTCGTAATCCTGGACCAAGATGGAGGGCACTACATGATGCAGCCATTTTTATTTAGCGGCCACTTCGCGATCGATCGATCCGATCAGGAAATCTCCAGTACTTCCGGCAGCGGCGATTACGGGGGTAGCTATGGAGGTAGTTACGGAGGTGGCTATGGGGGTGGTGACGTCGGGGGCGGTCATGGAGGCGGCGGTTTCGAAGGCAGTTCCGGCGGGCATCTAGAGTCCGGCGGTGGTCTCGACGGCGGTCATCAGGATTACTCTTCCGGCGGTGGATTCGACGGTGGCCACGGCGGTGACGACGGTGGCCACGGAGTCTCGCTGGACGGCGGGCATAATTATGTTCACAGTGTTCCCATCTCCGAGCATGTTGAAGTGACAAAGCCCGTGGCCGTGCCAGTCTACAAACACATTGGTAACGTACACCTTCTCCGAACTACGAGCTATACTTGAAAGTCATGGATCAAGCGTTACAACGCTATAAAAAAAGTCGTCTTTCTGCTAATAATTATGGAAAATGAGTTTTGAGTCCATAATTATTATTACTATTGATTATTTATACGTCAACGGTTAAAAATTAATGATTTGTTACTATTTTTAAGTACATATAAAATCAAGAAATAAAAATTTTAGTATATTAAGATAAATTTTTCAGTCAATTATCTTCTGGTACTATGTACACAAAAAACTTGGTACATTGGTATTATTCTCTATGTCAGCATAAATTCTAATAATTTAAAAAATTCCAAATACTCTTTAATTACTTGCTTTGTCATTTATAATTTAGAGACCTACTCTTATCTCTCTCTTTCTCGAATCATCTTCTTTCAGGTGTACCGGTCCCGAAATCGGTGCCAATAGCCGTGCCGCATCCGGTAGCAATTGGCGTTCCGCAACCTTACCCCGTTCACATCCCCGTGCCGAAGCACATCCCTATACAAGTCGTGAAGACGGTGGCGATCCCGGTGGAGAAGAAGGTGCCTTACCCCGTGGAGAAGCACATACCGGTACCCGTCGAGAAGCCGGTTCCCATCACAATCGAGAAACACATCCCCGTCCCGGTCGTAAAGCCGTATCCCATCAGAATTCCCGTTTACAAGACCATTTATCATCACGCGAAGAAGCATCACCATTAGAGCGTGCCCGCGGTGCGGAGGATCTTCACGAATAGGGAAGAGCGCGATACTCGCAGTCTAGAAGTGACCCTTAGCAATCCACATCTCTTTCAACAGGCAATGAGCAAATTTTATCGATCGAAGCACGTCGAGATATTATCTATCGATCGAGAGCGAGAGGATGCATATTAATTCTGGCAAAGATATCTTCCGTCTCACATCCGCGAGGAATCCATTACGATTATTTTTATTATCCATTACCATTATTTTTCAGCCCCCCCTTTTTTCTAGTTGGCTGGAAAATAAGTATGTTATCTCTAAAAAGTGTAACGTACGGATAAATAATTTACCGAGTGCTCGGATTGCTCAGGGTTAATTCATTATGACTGCTAGCCGTTTATTCGAAACTTATACGATGGTATAACTTCGCGGAGGAAATTGTGTATAAGGACCTCGCTTGACTTGAACCAAACTGACTGACACGTTTACCCGTCCTAATCCTCATAGCGTTCCTCGCCACCAATAAGGAGAAAGTTCACGAAAAACAATCCATGCTCGCTCCATTGGTTGAACGCTCTTCGACATCGACTTAATTATTATTTTTTGTATATACGCGCGTTTGTAAGCGTCGGCGCAACCGACGCATTGTTGAACCACTTTTTTAAATATTTTGTTGTTTCCGTTGCGTTTTTTTGAATAAAATGCTTATAAAACTATACAACTCTCCTTGTTCTTATTCGGTGAAAGTCTGTCGTCGTGACGTTTTTTACTATCTCACGTACGTCAGAAAGTGCTGCGATGAATTAAGATAAGAGCTCGGGTATAAATATAATTAAGGACTGTTTGCTTCTATTGCTTGTGATAATGCTAAGCTACCGGATTTGAAATCCAGTATTACAGCGGTATTTACGTATAATGTATGGTTAAGACAAATATTTGTCTTAATTAATTAGTATTTGATCGTATTCAAATTTACTTACATATATACTTATTTTAATTTGGTAAGCACGCGTTCAAACATAGAAATTATATATAATAACTCTAATTTACATTTTTATATTACTTTTTAAATATAATTACTGTATAAATATATCAACTTTTTATTATTTATTTTTTTTAATAATTAAGTGTGTATTATTTTTCTTTCAAGCTATTAAAAGTTGTTATAATTTCAATGTTATTAACTCGCGAGTAATATATGAGATCTAATCTTTTGCTATAAAATTCAATTATTTTTCCAATGAAGATAACTCGTGGCAAATTTGCGTCGATAACGCTAATATAATAGTAGTCAAACAAGCATCGATTACAGTCCGTATGCGTTCCACTGCAGGTCGCAGAGCGCGAGAAGTGTTCGTGACAGGCTTTCACTGATTTTCGATAAAATCACAGGAATTTCATGGAAAGTGGACGTTAGACAGATTGACTTGCTCGCGATGCACGCGGATCATCGTGGTCGCATGCAACAAATCATCCATGACATCGGCAGCATCGTTGTAGTTAACAAGATGAATCGACCGATCCTTGATGTCGTTACAAAAAAGTAACCGAGAAAACGGCAAGAAGTGACTCACAAATAAGTATTCACGTTTGCAAAATGCAAAAAAATTTTTTAAAGAAATATGAAAGTAATATTGAAAGATTGCAGTGCCTCGATATTTTAACATTACACTCTTAACAACGCGTTTTGCAAAAATGCTGCGTTGCATTTAATTTTCATTATTGTCTCTCTGTAATAATATAAAATTGTCCGAGGCTCCGGAAAAAAAATATTGAAAAAAAGCTTTTGCTAATTAATTTTGCGTAATATTAAATAAAGGGGAAGATTTTTTTAAAAAATTTATTCTAAGCACGTATGAGATTTTAAAACAAGAAAAGCACGATTAAGATTTTAAGACGAGAAAAAAATCTACATACTCTGGTCAGTGAGAAAATGAGATATTACCATAATTGCGGATGGAGTCGCAAGTATTAGACGTTATGCAACATTTGCGCGTAATGGTGACTGCAAACGATTAGTTCCTCAATCGAGCGAGCAGGTGCATCCACGGTGGGGTCATTTCAAAGAATAGTGGGGTTGCTTGTACCTCCAGTGCGGGCGGTATATAAAGTGACGACGTAAAAGAATCTGTCGCGAGAGTATACCATCTATTCATTGACGATAGAGATACCTTAGCTAAGGAATGAAAAAAATTGTACGTAAAGGCTCATCTCGGTGAGGTAATAAAATGTAAACAATCTCGTGTTTTGACAGTCATTAACTATTTGGACTTATGTGGACTCAGAAAATGCGCGTTTCGTGCAACTTGTGCGACGGCTGATTTCTTATTAAGTTAGAGACCAGCAATCCAGCGGAGATGAATCACGTTTTTTTGCACTTTCGCTGATGTTTCATGTTTAAGATTGTGCTGTTGGGAGTCGTCGTTTGCTCCTACAGTTCCGATTGGAGCTTTGGAAATCATGGCGGTGGTGGACTTACGCTGGGAGAAATTTCCTTAGACCATCATGACTTGGGGGCGTTTACCCTGGGAGGAACAGGTTTGATTATTTGTTTGTGGCATGTTAGTTACGATTATCTTTGAAATAAGTTTGCTAATGCATATACTGTGCCAACGATAACGATATAGCCGGGGATCGTGATAATTATAATATACGACTGCAGCTTTATCGCGTTAAGTGTCTCGTTGTGTCTGATAGATAAATGCTGACAAATAGTTTTAAATTTTAGAAAGCCATTCCTTAGATTTGTTGAAAGGTCATTTGCCAATAAAAATTAGTGATTGGCACTTGGGCATCGGCGGTCTTCACGGAGCCAATATCATTCCTATTATTCAACATATCGGTAATATGAAATGCATGAGTTTTATTACTGTAACTGTTAATAATGAATATTATTTCGCTTAATATTTGGATATTGCTACGTTAAATAAAAGTAACTTTTTTTACATATAATGTACGTCTATAAAAAAATGGTATAATCAAATTAATTTCTGCGATGATGCAGGGATACCGACGGTCCAACAAATCCCGATCAGCGTATCGCATCCGGTGGTGGAGACGGTCCCGCAGCCTTATCCTGTTGCCGTGCTAGTACCGAAGCCTGTACCATTTCAGGTGATTGCGCGATAGATTATCTTCATTTTTACAGTAAAATCATTCCCTTTGCTGAAAGCAGCCTCTTGTCTGTACAGGTGGAAAAGCAGGTATTCAAAACTGTGGAGAAGAAGGTACCGACGCCCGTCGAGAAAATAATTCCGGTTAAAATCGAGAAGCCGGTGCCGTTTCATGTGGTGAAATACATACCCGTACCGGTCGAAAAGCCGATTCCGATCAAGATTCCTGTCTACAAGACCATCGTGCACAAAGTCAAGCATTGATTCCTCGCGTTACGAAAATATAATCCCTCTTTGTTGTTGATTTACTTTGTTTAATTAAAAATATATACACGGTGCGAGAATATATTTCGCAATACTACAGCACTGTTGAACAATTATTTATTAAAACGTTTGCATTAATGGACTAAAAAACTTGTTTTATTTTCTTACCTGTTTTGTTTTCTTCAACTAGCTGCTATTTACTGTTAGACTTTTACTGTGAAAAATTATTTTTTATACAAATTATTTATTATTTTATATAATTATTATCATGAAAATTTTGTTCTCACAAGGTTCACATTTGACAACTACATTCAACGTACGGAAATATTTATATGATAGATATTTATTATTCAGTTTGCTACATTAGTCAATGGTGCTTGTCAATTATTAAATGTGATTTGTCAAAAAGATGTTATAAATGTGTTAGTCATTTTGTGAAAAGTGAAATCGATGAACAAAAATGCGAAACTCTAATTTAAATGCAGTCACGATAATACAAAATTCACCATTCGAAATCTCATGGTAAATTGAAGCAAGTTATTAACGAATAACAATCCAGAATCCTATTCGTTATTTTTATGATCGTGTTTAGCTGGTCGTGAATTTTCCGGATACTCAGAGAGAGAGAGAGAGAGAGGTAGGCTTATATATACCTAAGTATAAAACTATGTTATAAAAACGCTAATTTGCTAAATGGTTCGCCGCATGCTAACGAACGCAGTTGCGATTAGTCTAGTTACTAGTACTAGTATAGTACGGTAATAAGCGACACACAAAGTTTCACCGTTCGAACAATTCTTGTAGGATGTTCGGTTTATACGATCGCTAAACGCGTACGGTTCGAAAAAGTTGCTTGATTGGTTTGATTTAATGTGAAAATGAAGTGGCGAGAACGGAAACTCGAGATTTATTGCTTTTCGCGCAACAGGCTGTAAATGTTTCTGCGTCTTGTTGAACTGACGTTTTCCGTTCAAGTCATTTTGAAGTATCTTATAATGGCCGGATATATAGTTCTCATAAAAAAAGAATATTTTCATAAAAATTATCTGTCTACTCTGAAACATGAAATTCAACGAATAATTAATGTAAAGCAGTTAAGAGAATTATGTAGATAAGAAATCGGCTTTTAATGTCTCAGATGCTCATAATGCTCACTGCTCTCAAACGTTAGTAAAATCGTCCAAAAAAAATATCATATTGCACGTTGCATTTCACTTTCTACCTCTCCTTATATTTTCTTAGTAATTTTACTTAAATTTATACAATAAATAATTTCGCGCGATAGTTTATGTTTTTGCAAAAGCAAGGCGGAAATAACAGTGCATCTCGAGCGGGAAAAACCAACATGGCGAAAGTGAAATGCAAATTCTTCCATTCCTTTAAGGTAACTGGAGGTGAAAAGAGACCGGCGCGACGCCGCGAAAGAGAATACGCTTTAATTACGAGACACCCCAACAAAGCGGAGATAGACGACGTGAAGCTAAGGCAAATTTTAAATTGTAAAAAATTATGTAACAACAATGCCTTCTTCCTGTACGCGTGAAAGAACACAAAACGACAGTGGAGAACATAAACGCACGGCGGCGCGGTGGTTGAAAGTAACGGCGAAAGGGAAGACTTGTCGATTTCGTCTTTCTCCGACCGCGATGGTGGTGGTCTTGGCCGTAAAAGGAGGAAGAGTAATCTCTCGCGACACGTAACGAAAAACGTCATAGCGTTTCGACGCCGGGGAAATATTCGAAAATGACTGCGGTCACGTATATCATTCCATTTCCGAGTATCGGCATCTCAGATTAACCCGTTAAACGATCCTAATCGTTTCGTATACTTTAATGATACGCAAATTCTGAGAAGCAAAAAGGAGCCACGTGAACGGAAAGAAGCTATACGATCCTAGTTTACTTCGTTCCATTTGGAATGGAATGTGCTGTGATTATTCTATAAATATAACCTTGCGGTTGCATTATTTTAAAGTGCGCTACATGCGGTTTGTAAAACATGATATAATTATGGTTGCTATGAGGAGACGCAAGAAGAAATCGACTCCCTTCAATTATGGGAAAGCACCGATCGATTGGGTACATTTGTAGACACATACATTACGCCGAGTAAGTAACCTCGGGCTAGTACAAATCAGGAAGGCGCGCTTTAATATACAATCACCAGCGGGGGGCGGCTCCTCTTTTTGCGGCGGTGCGACTGTGGTGATTGTCGGCGGAGCAAATCGACTTTGAACTTCACTTTCGCTGTAAGCCTTTTTTCCTCCCGTCGCGAACTTCCTTTGCTCGCTTCCTTTTTCCACATTACCGGCGGATTCGTTGACTTATGCTCGTTATTTAAATGCGTACCGCCGTATCGAAGAAGAATTACGAACCCACGGTAATGTTCTCTTCCTCTCTGTTTCTCTCTCTTTCTCTCTGTCATTATGAGAAATCTTCTGGTGCATTACCTGTCCATTCAGGAGGAATCTTCAGTTAAACTTCCATCGTATGTATCCGTATCTCAATTTTTTCTGTTAAATTATTTATTAAACAATTTTTTTCACAAGGAATTTTACATTATATTATATATATAATGTTACACATGTACTATTTCTGTATTATATATTTTATTGTTAATTTATGATATCTCTAACAAAAGCTTTTTTATAATTTGTAAACTTCAGGTAGATTTCAAACATTTCAAATATCTAATTATATACTCTATTTCTTATACATCATTCTCCGTCGCAAAAATTTTCGGACTAATAGATTAATATTATATAAACGTCTATTACGTAATGGATATAGAAAGATTTCACATTATATTCTTATTGTTTGAAACAAAACTGAAAGACGTAACACGGAAATTAATTGATTTAAACGACGTAATTTATGTCATGTTTAAGAAGCATGACCGAATTCATACTTTCTCCAATGTCAGAGGTTGTTGGTCAGAGCATGTTCGTTGCGCCATTAGTGCATACCGAAGAATAATTGCAATCGAATTGGACCTAAACTCCCGTGAGTGACAGAACGTGAGTGAACATCGTGAGTTTCTGCGACCGTCTAGGTTCGTCTAATTTTCCACGAGAGCGAATTAGCGGTATCGCTCTACCGTGGACATTAATTGAGATGGTCTTCGCTCCAAAGTCGCGCTTCTCGGAGTTTCTCCACGCATTAGAAACACGTTTCCTATCGTGGATAATGAGCATTTCCTACCGCATGAATAATTAACCGCGAAATAGAATTTAAAAAATAACCGTATAAAAACTAGAACATTATAAAATTCCTAATTAATTTCATTATAATTTGTTTTTGGAACAGTTTCTAATTATAATTTAATTTTTTATTAAAGATTTTCTTTGCGAAATATTGCATATATAATTCGAACGCGTTTATCATGTAGAAATTAAAGAGATATATGATATAAATAATTGCACAAGAGCATAATTAAATTATTAAAATATAAATATTTTTAAAAACATTTTTTTACACAATTTTGTGCCTTTTTTTCACTGCAGCTTTCAATCACTTACACTTCCAATAGTTTAGGAAAAGAATAAAATTGTCTTGATTAGATTACGGATTCATATGCATAAATTTGTAAATTTGTTCAACCTGGATGTGCCGAGAACTCTTCATTTAATATTGCGGATGTAACAAACTCGGCTTACTGTATATCAGATTTTTTATCTATTAGCGGATATTGAATACTTTCGAGTATCGAATCACTAATCCATTTTTTAGAATGATTTACGCCGCCTTTCACAGTCGAATGTCTTTCAATCGGTGTTCCGGCCGGAACCCTTTCACGGGGCGTTGTGTTTCGTACTTTCATTCTGTACGTATCAAAAAATGTATCGTCTTGTTCGAGCAGGAGTACGCTTTTGCGTTCACTTCCTAGTCGGGTCTAAAAACTACATACAGAGGGAACTACCTCGCTGCGTGACTGCCGGGAGGTTTGCATTTATGTAAGTAAACGGAAATCAAATTCGTATGTCCATTGGGCACTCCTTTCTTGTGTTCATCGAGCCGTTCATCGGTGTGGTAAAAATATTTCTGGCGAGTCATTCTGATCGAGAAATTTTGTGCCTCGAGAAAATCAGTAATTATTTCGAGTAACGAACAGAGACATTTCGCCGTTTGCTCGTAAACTTTGGACCCGTCATACGTTGGCCAGCACAGTCATTTAGCGTAATTTAATTTATGCATCCCGCTGGTATGTCGGAAAGTCTCGGAGATTGTACATATGTACCTTCACTTCCGGTAAATGGGACTATAATGCGCGTTTTACATGTGCCTCGTAAGTATCCTCGTAATATTCCTTCCACGGATCTTTGCACGATCTGTCTGCCGTATTCTCTTAGACAGTTGAATTAAACCCACGATGATCGTGAAATGCTTACTTAACTTAATGATCACGTCTCTCAAGTAATAGCTCTCATTACTATTCAGTATCGAACAATAAAATTGGAATATCGTGACTATTTTTAAACTACGTTTCATCATATGAGACAAATTAATATTGCTACATTTAAAACTTTGCGATTAAAAATACTTGTTATTTTTTTATAGAAAATGTATTTTCGAGTATAAAACATCAAGGAAAAAATAAATTAAAATTTTTTTAATAAGCCGATTTTTAACAATATTAATAATATAATTTAATCTAAATCTGAATGTCAAATTTTCGATAATAATGCTTATTTTAAATGATTTCTGATCTATTTTTACGTAAAATTTAAAAAAATGTAAAATTATTTTCAATTTTATGTATTGTATATTTTTAATATACAATTTTAATATACAATATCATATGTGTTAATTTTAAATATAAATATATTCTAAAATGTTCTAAATTTCTAATATTCTAAAATTCTAATAATCTAATATTCTAAAATTCTTTAAATGTTCTTGTATTACACTTAGCGATAGTGTCTCTTATCAATCGAGTTTATTATTCTATATTCTGATTCAAATTGTAGATTGTCTAAAGTGAGATAATATCTTACCTATTGTAAGAAAATAAATACAAATGAAAGTAATGGGTAACACGTTGACTGCACGCTTAATTCTTAATTCCGCGAAAAAGAGTAGTTTTTTATAAAATGGCGCAACCAAGTCACGAATTGCTATCATCTACACTTTCTCTGTTCTAAACGTTTTATAATATATACATACATAATTATAGTGTGATTTTCACGCAAAAAGTACATAGCGTAATAGATCAGTAACACATCCAAAGGAAAAAGGTAGTTCTCATGTGTATGTATAATCCTTTTATATGTATTTATCTTGTCAGTAGAGTATAGTCCTTTCTGATGTGATGAATATTCTCGCACGATGCTAAATGCAACGTGATATATCCTGGGAAGAATTGGACTCTATCGCAGGATTTTAGTGAAAGGTGGTGGGATCGAAGTCGGTATATAAAGTCGACCTTTGCAGGACATAGTCATTCAACGCTTGATTTCTCGTGTCCACATCATAAGCTCCACAAAATCATATCAACATGAATAAAATAGTAAGATTTAGACATTTGCTTGCATATCGTGCGATAAATGTGTGCTTAATGTGTGCTTAAATAGTGTTAATTGATATAAAAGAAGTGACAATTTTAGAAGACTAATGAACTCTACTTATATATTGTGCAATAATATGCTTAATACAGTATATACATTAGAATTGAAATGATTAGAAATTAAATTATTAAAACTTAAATAGTTACCGCTATAATAATTTATAACACTTTTATATTTAATTAATTTTATATTTAATTTTTAACCAAATTTCTACAATGTAATTATATTAGCGTCTTGTAATTGAAATAAATAGTATCATTGCTTTAATAAATTGAAAAATATTATGAAACAAGAAGTATAAGTCATATAAAATTGCAGGTTTTCTTGTTAAGTTTCATTTTGTTTGGCAACGTGGTGTTGGCTAGTGATTTTGCCGAGGACCACGGTGGTTCATCATCATATGAAGAGAAAACAAAAACTGTGGAAATTCCAATTATTAAAAAATATGGTAAGCTGTTAGTTCGATATTTATTTCTAATCAATGTCGTCTATCATTGTTTAAAAAAAATTTGCTAAGGATACATGCGTATATAATTGCATAAGTGCAATTGCATAATTGCGTAATTGCTTTGTTCCAGCCATACCTATTCCGCATCCTGTACCTGTCCAAGTGCCCAAGGAAATTAAAATACCAGTGCCTCAGCCTTATAAGGTGCCAATTGAAATCCCTCACCCATATCCAGTGGAAGTCATTAAGCACGTCGAGATACCTATTGAGAAGCCAGAGCCTTTTATTATCGAAAAGCATGTAAGTATAATTCTCGCGATTTAAAATTATCTTATTTATTATAATATCTTATTTATATTTTATTTAAATCAGTGCGGAGGAAATTTCTGACCTTATAATTATTGCTGAATTAAAGTAAACGCTTTTAATGCGTCCTATTAATGCATCCTTTGACATATTTATTTTATCCTTCACGATTATTGGAAAATTTCAAATTGACTGTATCACGAAACACACAAATGTTATATATACGTAACCATATTTCTTTTATAGGTTCCTTATGTCGTGGAGAAGCCATATCCCGTCTACGTGGAGAAGAAGTTCCCCGTGCCAGTGGCGAAACCATATCCCGTTCATGTACCGATCTACAAACACGTGGTCCATTATACGTCGTCTAAGGGTAAAGAGTGGCATTAGACTTCGCGGATATTATGTATTAGCTTATAATATCGTTCCGACATCAAGAAATCCATCATATGGAACAATTCCTCTCGATTTCAGCCAGTCTGTTGAATGCGTTAATGCAAATTTTCTGTGAAATCTCAAGAACTTTTTTTACTTGAATTTATTTTGTGAGTTATAAATATAAATTGTCTCTTGAGATTTATATGTTGACTGAAATGAGAACGAAATATTAGATTCTATAACGCGTACGTTATAGAGTCTATCGATGCCAGGTTTTACCATGGCAAACTTTCCTATAGATAATTTTGTTACATGTTTTTTTATGTGCGTTGTTAAGTTTTTATTAATATAATTTTTTAATACTTGTTAATAAACGTTGTCAATTTTTAGTGTTTTGTCATTAATTCAAACATTAATTTTGAATTGAATATTAAGCGAAACTAATTAAATGTGCACCTCCATGCATACGATTCATATTTTTTATACTGTATTTAAAAGAACAAAGTAAGATATTCTGTTCCAAGCATAAAATTCAAATTAATTAATTTTTAAAATACAATTTCATTTTAAATCAATTTATTTGTATATTATTGCATTATATTTAACAACTTTATTATTTCAATCATAAAATAACAGTGTATAATTGCTTTTTAATATTGAATAGTTGATAAAAATAGCCGCATTATCATATTCGCTCTCTTGCCCGACATACGGTGAATTTCCGTGCAAAATACATGCATGAAAAATATGTAATCTACTGTTTCGTTTCCTCGTCGACTGCTTGATTAGGATCGCCTAGAAAGAAACTGGCTGCCAAGAGGGAGGCTCGCGCGCGATCTCAATTCGCCGTAATAAGCGTGGCTCGCGCGCGCGTTCTTACATTGACGTGCGAAACCACTTTTACTTGGGATGCACTTTCACTGTTCCGCTCGGCGATAGCATCGCGCACGATTCAAATCTTCAGATCGGAATCCCCTCTCGCTGTCGCACGCGCGACCACACCCTCGGCGTTGGTGCCTTTCATAAATCGTTACCGCCACAGGCGTCGATCATCCGCGTCGATCTGGCTCGGCCACGCTGTAACGTCTTTAGCCGTCGACCACTCGCGACATTGTATTCTGCGATTTGTGGTCCGTTGCCACAAAAAAGTACCAAATACTTTTCTTTGTTTCTTATATAAAATAGTTATTGGAGCAACGCGATTTTATTATAAAGTGGCGTCTATAATGAGACTTAAGTTTTAAGAAGATTGACCAATCATAGTCGATTATTCATCGCACGTGAAAAGAATAATCGATTGTGATTGATTAATTTTCTTAAATCAATTAAGTCCTAAATGTCATTGTATAAGACGCCGCATAACAGAATAAAATGCTTTAAAAGATTTACCTCTGTTAATATAATAACAGACAAAGTTAAAAAGAAACAGAATTTACATTTTTAGTTTTTTTTAAATTAGCTTGCGTATGTACGTGACTTATTGCGAGTTATATAATTTTACTAGGTCAAAACTCTGAATTAAGTTTTATCAAAAGAAGAAAATTAAATTATGCTTGTAAATAGAGTCCATTCAGCGAAATAAGATGTATTTCCCACAGCATTATTCTGCCGGTTGCGTGAATATCGGCATTTCGGCATTGCAATTGCAACCATGCAATGTTTATTCACAGATTGTTGAACAAGTAAACTAGGCCATTATCACATTTATGTTGATCTTTGTCTCACGCCGATACACGCAACTCTCGGCTACGAGCGTGAAAGAAAACGGCGCGTCCGAGGAGCGGATTGCGTGCAGCAGCGCCGGAGAGACTCTCTCCGCAAATCTGAGAATCACTTTATCACCTGATTCATCACGGGAAAAATAACCCGTTGAAAGCAACGAGAGGCGACAAGGAAAAATGATGAAGCGTGCAGATTGTCATTACGCAGTGCCACTTGCCCCTTTTATCTTCGCAGCAGTAAGCGCTGAAGATAGCGTAACGACTCCCGATACATCTAAACTCCGCTGAAGTCATTTACCCTGACTTTAGTTTATGATTCCCTAGAATCTAGAAGCTCTATATATATATATATATATATATATATATATATATATATAATAACCATAGTAAACAGATGGAAAGTTTTATATGCAATGATCGTAGAATTTTTTGCCAATTTTAATAATGATCACTCTCTCTTTATCGTATCTTTGAGTTTTGTGGCTTATTCAAAGTAGAAGAAAATTATCTCTTCTCGACTTTTACTATAAAAATTTTTGTAATAAAATTGTACAAAGATTTTATTAATAATAATACTGACTTTGAGAATAATGATTAAAAATTATTGTACTTTCTATATGAAAAATGTGTAATTTAAAATGAAGCGACAAACGCGTAATGTTCTCAGTACATAATGTAAATGATGCGTGCAAGCTCTACTAATTAACATTATTACATATTATCTACTTGTTAACAATTCCAATGGACAGTTTTTATCTTATCTCGAAATTTCACATAATGAAAAGTTATTTTTACATCTCCTTATTTAAAAAAAAAATTACGCTTAAATATCGTTTCTAAAATAATATACTTAAAAAAAGTTATCTTATTGTTAATTGTTATAAAAAATCGATTTTAATTTTGCCGAAGAGAAGGATTTGTCACTACCAACATGCGTAAAAGTTTGATTTACCGTATATATTTAATTTTACAATCTTAATTATCAATATAATTACACGGACACGTCAATTAATGTATACGCGATAGTTTTCGAAAACTTCCGTTCATAAAATTTATAGTATTTAAGATTAGAAGTAATGATATTAATTAAAAAGGATTACTTGTTCGTATCTTTACGTTCTACGGTGGGCGCTATCACGACATATTCGTAACTTTCGAAGACTTCCGTTCATCAAATTTATATTATTCAAGATTAGAGGCGACGATGTTAATTAGAAAGTATTACTTGGTCGCATCTTTACGTTCTACGTCGTTACGGTGGATGTCACTGTCACGACACGTTCATATATATGCAAGCATAATAATATCTTGAGCTTGACGAGATAATTAATGCGCGGACGAATAGCTTGTCACCTACCCATAAATCCTGGGTATAGGTATACCGCAAATTATATACCTAACAAAGAGTTTTGGCAATTTTCCTCTTGCTTTCTTGTGTCGCAAGGTGTTGATGAACGTCAGGAAGATTCGGGGTCAGAATCACACTCTCGGCGTAGAATCGTTATATCCGTGCGGACAGATGCAATTGGCATTTGCACGTGCAAGCGTGCACCTGAATATAGACAGATATAGCGCTAGAGTCAACGTAATGAGGAGAAGGGAGAAAGTAGCGCCGGTATATAAAGAGTTGGCCGTGACTTTGAAAGCATCGTAGAGTCTGTTGCGCGTTTCCACGGACGGGTATCGCAGAATCGATTGTCTCGACCGATCGTCTTTGTCTTTGTGCAACTTTACAAACCATGAGGTTCTTTGTAAGTACTTATTCCATCATCAAACCGAATATTATACCGTGCGTTTGGCAATTTAAGCTTTATGTATCGTTGCGTTACATTTTTAGAGGAGTAATTTGTCCTATTTATAATCATTTCTATGATCGTATTATTTATTTACATAAAATCAAATTACTTATAAATTTGCAATTAATAATTGTAAAAGTATATTGGTTTAGAATATAATATAATTGTCATTTTTTATATGATTTACTAAAATTATAAAATAATAAACTTTTTGTTATCCAGATATGTTTTTGTAGATATATATTTCGTGCATTTCTCGAAAGTTATAGGTATGACAACAGCCAAATAATTTAATTACAACTTGGTTTTCACAAACGTTAGGCAACCATTAATTTTTTTATAAAGAGGGAAAGTGGAAAAACAAATCTTACTTTTCTCACGAAGGGCAATTAAGTCGGTAAACGAGACAAGGTTGCAATTAGTTATTTCTTACGAAACTACTCTGCGTGACACCATTCCGTATATGGTTTGCTAAAACGATTAGAAAATACGAGTGATCTGCGCGTTCGACTGGATACAGTTATCTCGTGAAACTGTTCAGAAGAAGAGTTTACTATCGCGACGAGAAAGCGGTTACGAATAATCACGGCGACACTCTACTTCGGATCTCGGTGACTTAAATGACTCACTTACATTTGTACTAGGTGCTTGCCACAATGGTGGCCGTAGTGTGGGCCTACGAGGAGGAGCACGGTAGTAGTACAACCTATCACGAAACGTCCAAGCCAGTGGAGATACCGATCTACAAGAAATACGCGATACCAATTCCGCATCCGGTTGCCGTCCCGGTTCCTCAGCAAATTAAGATTCCAATCCCTCAGCCCTACCAGGTCCAAGTCGCAGTTCCGCATCCGGTGCCCGTGGAAGTTATTAAACATATCGAGATACCTATAGAGAAGCCGGAACCGTATGTCGTGGAGAAAAAGGTTCGTATTAATAAATATCTTTGTTAGAAGATAATATGAAATTGTAATAAATCGTCTATGGAGGGAAACGTGTTAGACACGTATTTAGTATAACATGAATTTTAATTTTGTGTGACATTATAAAGTTATTGCTATTTTTACATACATCATTTATATATTTAAATTATATTGTTTGTATTTAAGATGCTGATTTAATATATCTGACGTATAATATCAACATTTTAAGAGAGACTGATAATTAAAGGATATTTTATATTTCTAATAATAAATAGTACTAAACTTTGTGAATGTCTCTATTGCATTACAGGTACCATATGTCGTCGAGAAGCCGTACCCAGTGACAGTGGAGAAGCACTTTCCAGTGCCAATACCTAAACCGTACCCAGTTCACGTGCCGGTGTACAAGCACGTTTTCCATCATAAGGGTGGACATGGACATGGACATGGACATGGACACGGCTGGAAGAAGCATCATCATTGATTCATAAATTTGGGGCGATTCTCTCTTAAGTATCTTTATGCCAAAAATAGCGACAAGCGTTACACGAACAATATTTATAACGCCGTAAACGTTGTGATGTTTGTACATAGTTTGTTGTATTATCAATATAACATTTATATTTGTTATATTTAAATAAATATGTTTCTTCTTATACATGCACTGGTTATTATTCTTTAAATAGTTTAGACCAATAATGTGTTAGAAATAATATTATTTAAATATAGGATCATAGAAAAATTAATTGTATAGACATTTAATTCGTGCAACTAAATTATATAATATTAATCTCTATTTATATCTTTGATAAAAATAATTGAATTAAACTTTTTGAATAATGTAATGAACAAAATAGCTTTAAAAAAAAAAACATTATGTATAGTAGAAATATATATAAAATAAAATTATAAAAATACCAATATTTCAAAAATATTATAAAAATATATGTAATTTTGTATAATTAAATATATTATATATACGTGTGTGGTTACAGTTTACTAGTAATTTTTTTTGTTAAAAAAGTCTTCCTTGTATACTAATTTCATTGAAAATTCATGAACTCCGAGATTTCAACGCTCCCGGCGACACGAGGTTGCGCGCAATAAATACTTCAGGCGCTCCCGATTTTTTGCCAAAACGCAAAATGCATCCGTAATTATTATAAATTATGTACGTCACTGTTACCCTACGGGCGGCACTTCGGGCGATATTTCGCGATACAGTGTCCGGGTTGTACGGCAGACTGGCGTGTCCACCACCGTGGATAAACGGCAACGAATAATGTCAACGACGCAACGTGTCGCCATGTGTCCCGAGGTGGTCACTCACTCACGTCGTCGTAGAATTTATTCAGGAAATACCGGGGCGCGTACTATTGCATCATGGATCTGGCGACCGCTTTTTACGCCGCTTAAGGGAATCACATTCGACTTCAACAAGAAACTTGCCCTGTCTAAGTGGAGCAAAAGTTTATAAAACCGAGGACTGCGAGCGACGCGTTTCTAGTTTGGTCCAGTACACCCGATCTATTGGTCGTCGTGCACATCAACGAAAACTGAAGGAAAATCATGTTCAGGCTACTGGTAAGCATACCGACGTAGCGCTGCTTGATGGATTAAAAATTGAAATCTCTTTCATTTTTATACGTTCTCAGATTGCCAGTAAATTAAAAAAAATTAATTGCAGCTCCCCCAGAGAGCTCAACTCAATTTCTGGATTTCATTTAATATTTTTTAATTATCAAGTAAAATATTTTTGCTTAACATATATATAATACAATACTTACAAACAAAGTCTATTCTTCACAAGATAAAAAATAATTATTATATTTTAAATTACATTTTAAATATATTAAATACACACAGACTATGCTTGGTTTTGTACCGATCTTTCAGCGAGTTCTCTTTTACGTCATTCATGATAATTTGATTCTGAATAATCGGTCTATATATATAGTATGACCTATTTAATTATTATTCTTAGATACCATGCCTGTTGTGGCTGTCAACGGTGCGTTCCGAGACCGGGATGCATATGGACATGCCGGTCGCGCCGATGATGGACAAAACGTCGGACGCCTCGATGCTGAAGGCAAAGAGGGATTCCATCCATCAACCTTGCGAACCGCTCTACCCGCACGCCCCCGCCTACTCACCGCCACCGGTCTACTTTAAGCCCCTGGTTCAACCGACCTACCTGAAGAAGGAGCTGGGCATAGCGCAATCCTTAGCTCACCTGCAGTACGTCCAGCAGCCGCACGCCTATCCAGCCGTGGTGCAGAAGCCGACCATCACGTACGTGAAGCCGGCGGCGCCCGCGGTGAACTATCACGCGTTGCAGCATCAGTACATCAAGCCGGTGATGCCCGTCTACCAGAGCCCCTTGCTGCAGTCCTACGCGCCCATCTACCAGAAGCCGCTGCACTACGCGCCCATGTACCAGAGCCCCGCGTATCACGACGCGATGCCGAGGGTCTTCTTCAAGAAGTACGACGCGCCCGTCGCTCAGCTCTATCAGAAACCGTTGGTCCACGCGCCCGGTGTACAGTACGCGACGCCGAAAGTGGTGCACGTGCAGGCGCCGCAGGTGTCCTACGTGAAACCTGTGGTTCACGCGCCGCCGCCTGTGTACGCCCCGTCGCCGGTTCACGATTCCATTATAGTCAAGCCTCATTGTGAGTAGATGATCGTCCGAGCGAATGATCGATGTTGATACGTCGAGTTCCGCAGAATGAAAGAATTTCTAAACGCGCTGAAAATTAAATGATCGACTGGCGATTTCACGTTGGCTCACATTGATCTGTATTTTGTAAACTAAAAATATAGACCTTTTATATATATAATGCAAAAAAATTGTAAGATTGTATGTAAAATTGTATGAGAGTAATTAAATATTCTATTATGTAGTGATTCGGATCATGAAATGCTACGAGCTATTAAAATAGAAGAAAGCGAATTGTCAGAACTGGCATAAATTTGATCTGAAGTGTATAGAATTATTTTTCTCTTTTTTATTTTTTAATACTTTCATAAATTTTACGATAAATTTTTCTTTAACCTGACAGAACTTTTAGTTCGTAATAAAAACAAAATTGATTCATTTACACTGAGCGTAAATTATAATTTATAATCTGAAGTGAAAATAAAAAATTGGGCATATATTTATATTATTAATTAATATTAATTAAGAATATAAATGTATAATAGATGTAAGAATAATTATTATTAATTTCAAAGAAAATTGCATGACGCCAGTGACGACTCTTTCTTTCTTATAACACGCTGTAAGGAAACATTAAAAATATTAAAAACAATAAGTCCATGATAATATTATTTATAAAAATATTTTTATGTATAGTATGTATTTTTATGTTATCTCTTTTGATTGCGGGCATGTAAAAATTTCTGAATAAACTAGCTATATAAAATGTTTATATCTCTAAAATGTGATTTACCTGAACATTTAACACAATAATATTTTATACTAAATAATTTAATTATTTCTATTTCTGCCACAGTGTAAGAGAACTACATCATCAATTCTTGAATTAATCTCGTCGGTCTATTGTTTGTTATTATTTATGCCTACTTGTGTATTCTCCCCGTGCGTATTGCAAAACAATACTATAATTTATGAAGCAGTTTCGAAGCATCGTAATTCAAGTAAAAGACGGATCAAGTAAAAAGAAACTAGCGTTTCATCAGAATAGCTATTATTATGACCAATCTTATATCAAGACATAAATCTGTAATCAGACAAAAGCATTGTATGATATAATCAAAGAATTAAAAGCGGAAAGTTATGGTATAATCATACAATACTTTTGCATATAGATTTTTATATAATTGTTCACTTTGGCTTCTTCGCGACTGTCTCTCTCTTTCTCTTCAAAAATTGAATATATTTTCAACAAAATTGATACGATAGAAAAAAAAATATTTTAAATTATTAAATTAAAGAAGATATAAAAAAGTATTATATACATTTAATTATACGCATTTTTATTGAAATTTGTGCTTTATTTCGTTAATATACACACATATTTTATCAAAAATTCTTCATGCTCTAATTAGCTTTTGCCTGTGAATTTTATTACTAAAACACAAATGTTGCTAAATCGAAAATAGCTGAGGCAAAATTAACGGCATAAATAAGTCCATACTGAAGTAAATCCAGATATTAAATTGCATCCTGTATAATTTAGAGCTAATAGTGTATTATCCGATACACATAAAGCTGAAATAATGAAATTAGAAATATCCTGTGAAACGTTAAGAAAGAGAGGCTTTGAAATATCACGTATTTTGCTGCTTTGACGTTATTTAAAATCTCATATTTTTAAATCTCAAGATTTTGCGTGAACAATTATCTTGCTTCTTAAGTAATTTTAATTAATTTTTAATAGAAGGATGACTATCATGTTTTAAAACGTAAATCTTTATTCTGAGTATCCTGATACACTCTTGATAAGATTCAAGTAGAGACTATAAACGCCAAACGACCTTAGTGCCGAAACTTTCCAACCGTGAAATATCGCTACTCTTTCAAACTTTCATCTAGAGAAGCAATTATGCATAGAAATTTCATAAGCGTACAATTACGTTACGAAGTTGCGGACATCTTCCGCTTATCTAGATTGCGTCTCTCGAAATCTTAATTCTTCAAGCCATGAAATCCCAACTACCATGAAACCTCTTCAATTGTTCTCGGGAATTGAATCGCATCATTAAACATTACACATCACAATTACAGAGTTTAAATCGCGGTTATAAAATACAAATATACAATTATTCGTAATTTTTAAATTTGAGTTAACAAGGCATTTAGTTATATATAGGTGGAGGGATCATGTATAAAAATTTGCACGAAGGAAGAAATGGGACTGCTTGTACGACAGTTACATACATCTTTGTCGCGGACCATCGGAGGACCATTCTTCCCGTTTTGTCGCGCCCGAAATCGATTGCATAAAATCGATATAATACTTACTAGAATTAACAGCGGGCCGCCGCGGTGAGCTTTCCATCTATTCCCGAGAATTTCGAAGAATCGCGCGATTTCGTCATCTCACTTACGTGCAACGCCGTGCTCGGCCGTAGTTGCATAACTCGGCAATGAAACGGCGAACTATCTCGGTGTTTTGAAATGGCCTACACATGCACGTTCGCGGGCGTAACCGGCCGGTTTTCCCATACCTACATATCCACGCGAATCCACGCCATGGAGCACGAATTGTAAACATCCGTCCATGGTGCATAATATTCACATAAAATTTGCGCAACGTTACGCGGCTACCGTTGTATAAAATAGGCGTCCATGGGAAGATGCTTTCAGTATAGCCGACCGAAGCCGTTCGAGAAGTGAATTCATTATGAGTTACTATGTAAGTGAACGTCAAAGAATTTATTGAGGAAGCAGTGAGAAAGATATAAAGAAAGAATTTAATTTTTGTAATGCATTTTTCATTCATAGTTCAATTGTGACTGTGCTTAAAAGAATTGTATGCAATTTGCCACCATATCGCGCGAGAGTTGTCGCGACAAATAATCGAAAAGATAGACCAATTAAATTAAAAATGCTCTAATATTTTTTTATATAAGCTCCATGACGAATTATTGCTTGAAATTGTGTTGTTATTTAATATTCAACGTTATTTAATATTCAACTCGGCTCGAAAGAGAATCGTGCGAATTAAAGAGTCATCGATATACATTCGCGAAATTAACGTAAAAAATTGAAACAACTTACTTTTTCGTCAGAGAGTGATTTAAATTTACTGTGTTCCAGTTGTTTCTCCCTTTATTGATAGTCGCCGTTTGCGAGGCGGGTATAATAACGGATCACTCGCATCACACCCATGGCGTTTATCACGGTTACGGTGCTACCAGTTATCAAAACGTGCAGCTCGAGAATCACGATGCTCTAGTGGTACCCGCAAACTATGGGGATCCCGCGGAGCTTCACGAGACTTTGGCGCACCATCATCACGAGCATGTCATTCCAGTCGTGGAGGACCACAATGACATAGATCACATCGTGTCCCATTCAGGTAAATTCGAATAATGTGAATTCGCAATAAATCAACCACATGCTCGTAAAAAATGTCGATTCACATTTCATACAAATGCAATTTGTGCAACGAGATGGAAATGCCTGAGAAAGAAGATATATAATATTAATAATTTTAAACATTATTATAATTTGATATGATTTAAAGAGAGTATGTTTTTTAGAAATTATTTGTGATATTATTTCGAAATGTGAGTGCAATACATATCATAATTATGTTTTGTATGAACAAATAAAGAATATACCAACTTATTTGTTTCAGCTCCATATGAAGAATTTACCAACGCTGAATTAAAATCTGACTTACTCGAGCACGTTTTCGATCATGACCATTACGCTCTTCATCTATAAAAATAGTTTAGAAAATATTGTATTCAATAATTAAAATTCAATCCTTTTTTATGTGATCAATTTGAACAATTCAAAATTAATTGAAAAGTTCTGAGGCTTAAATGTACTTAACAGGTTTGTTGGATTGCCTAATAAATTAATATATGTTTTGTATAATACTTTTTTTTTGTTACTTGTAGCATAATTCTTACCGCATCGTAGTTTTTATCGACGTTCAAATATGTACGCTCTTGTGAAGACGATTACTCGCAATAGAACGGAAATAATTGCGAATGCGATTTGCGTAATTTTTTTTTATTTTGTCCTTTATATCCAATATAGACATATATATGTATAGGATGATATAATAATTTATGTAAATAACATTATGTTATAATGAAAACAACAACGTGGTAATCATTATACTAGGCTCTCGTTTGAAGTTTTAATTTACAATCCTATGTGACCATTCATGTTAAGGGCCGTGGTAAGAGGCGCTTTCCTTCGATCTCGTAAATTTACGGCCGCAGGCCCGTAAATCACGCTTGGTCTCAAGATTCTCAAACGCTCTATAATACTCTAGTCATTATCAGCAGTCACGTGAATTATCGGCTAGGTCCGACTGCGAGAGCGTCTCTCTCTCAACTTAAGGTATGTATGTATGGTCTAGGAATCATCACGAGTAACAGAGAAAGTTTCTCTCGGCATTAGGCATCGATTCACGAATACAGACAACAGTCTCTCTCTCACACACATACACACATACACGCGCGCTCACACACGCATACACGTTTATCGCTCTGATAGACTTCGACAATAGCGTTAACAATCGAAAAATATTCACTTCGACGAATCGCGCGGTGCATTGCACCGTTTTTCACATCGGCTACGACATCGTGATATATGTTTTTTTTTGTATAAGTATATATATATATATTAAATATTAATAAATATATATATATATTTAATACTTGACTAGATCATTTTAGTTGTATTGACTCCCTCGTTATAGTCTAGGTACTCAAAGACTATGGAGACATAAAATGTCTGCTTATAAAAAAATACTTGGCTGAATGAATTATTATAGAAACGTTAATGTAGTTGCTCATTTTTTTTTCTCTTTCTCACAATAACGCGACATTTGTCGGCAAGATACGAGAACGACAGCTAATAAAATTTGATCCCAATTTCAAGTATAATTAACGACAGTAGTAAATTGTCTGAAAACAGTTCCACTCCTTCGTAACGTGTTTCTCGCTACGAAGAAAATTTGCGGAGAAACTCGGCTGGCACTCATCACACGTAGAATTCAGCCAGCATCTTAGCAGGCTCGTAGTCCATGTCCTCATTGTTGTACATATCCATGATCTGGAAAAGTCGTTTGTATGACTGAACCAATTATTTTGAGGAAAATGGACTTTAAAATAAAAGTATTTAAAATAAAAGAATTTAAATGAAATAAAAATTAAAATTAAATTTTTATGTCAATTAATTTACTCTCTGTAATTTAAAAATTTTTAACTTTATAAAAGAAACATAACTTCATACATTTACTTCATATTAACAGAAAATTTCTACCATATTGTTGTACATCGATAGTTTTTAATATTTTTTTATATTCTATGTAATAGAATACATTCTGTAATTTATAAAAATAACAAATATACGATAAAAATGATTGCAAGTATTTATAGTAGGGACAAAATTAATTAAATAGACGATTTTAAAATCGGAGTTGTCTTACAATTAAATCAAATTGAAATTCTAAAAAAGCTTTTATGATCAGGTGATTTCGATGAATATGGCATTGAAAAGCTCAGTTTTCAAAATTCAAAACTCAGTTCTGAAAGATAATTTTACGTGTAAGAGTAATTATGTTAACAAATAATCGCTTAAAAAAATTATCCACATTAAAGCAATATCAGTATTAAATATAACATATATTCAATACATCTTTTAAAGACTCTTACATAAAGTAAATGGGAGAAGACATGTGTAAATAAAAAATTCTTGAAAAAAATCTGTAATTCTAATCTATAATTTCAGATAATCCAAATATTTTAATACTTCAAATTTGCTGAGTCTTGCTTATCTCGGATTAAATTTTCCGTTGCAATATATTATCCGTAATTTATTATTTATTTCGTTATACAATATAAAATACACCAAATAATAGGACAAATGAAATAAAAAATATTTTAAGAAGACAAATTTATTAAGAAATAATACGAAATTATTAAATAAAGTGCAAAAATTACAAAATAAGAGAAAAACATAATAACCAAAATTAAATTTAACATTCAATAAATAAAATTCTACTTAATTGTAAAATAGAAATGTACAATAAATTAAATCTAACAATTTTATCAAATTCGCTATATATATGTATATCACATCAATATTAATTTTATTAAAATAAATATATAAATATAAAATATATCTTTATAATTTTTTAGCAATCTTTTCAATGGAATGTTAAATTGCTTACGATTATAAGTCGTGTATTAATGTATGATTCTCTGTGTGCAATAAATGTGCAAAGCTATACGATCGGGAAAACCTCTAGCCTAGCGAGAGTCTGTTGCCTTACCGCATTCATGTCCTTCTGCAACTCTTCCAATTGCTTCTCGTGAATCTTTTTGAGTTTTTCCTTCTCCCGGTTCTGTATCATCTGCCCGATCTTGCGCTCCTCCATAAACTTCTTCGTGTTGTTCTGCTGCTTCTCTCTGAGCCTGCCCTCCTTGATCCCGCGCGTCTTCAAGGTCTTGTCGTTCATCACCTCCCTCGCGCTCTCTACCGACAGCCTCGCCTGCCGCGCGGTCATCTCTTTCATCTCGCGATCGTGACGCAAGGTCAGCTGTTTCTGTTGCGCCAGCTGCGCGGCCATACACAATTTGCACAGCTGCGCTTGCCGCTCCTCCAGATGCCCGCGGACCAGATCGCGTTCCTCCCGGCGCTGCCTGTCGGCGAGACGCGACCACTGGGTCGTCTGTTCGGAAACTGCGCGACGAACGATCGGGTCCCTCGAAAGTTCCGCTTTGCTATAAATTTCGTCAATCTTATAAAGTTTGGTTGTTCTCTCCTACTTTATTTAAAAAAAATATAATTATAAATATTTTGCTTATCTTAGTCATTAATCGTTTTCTCAATTAAAAAAGTGAGTAATTTTTTCAATTTACTAATTACACAAATAATTTTATTAGAATTAATCAAATAAAGAAAATAATGAAATAAATTTATATCGTATAAAAATAACTAACTTTTTCCCCTTAAAAATCTTCTCTATTGCAACGCAATGTTGCTTCTGGACAGCCAGTTTCTCCTTGTGATGCCTCTTTTTCAAAGACTCCAATTCTTTTTGCTGTTTCCGTAAAACTTTTTGATAACCCTTTTCTTGTCTCAGACTCTCCAGAGTGATTGGATCGAATTTCATTTCTTCTGTAAAAGTAAAACAAATATAGATTCGTTGTTCACAGTTGGCAATTTTCGTATCTCGTAACTTACCTCTTGGTTTCGCTGCCTCTTGGTGATGAGGTAACACATTGTTTCTGCTGTCCATATTGTTCTTGCTATCACTCTCTTCGATCCCCAGACCCCGCATTTTATTTTGCGCCATACTTTCCGCTTTTCTGTGTGCTCGTGGCGCCGTCAAGGCGTCCATAAGATCTAAAAAGACGATGAAAAAAACGTTGAGTATGACTAATTAATATCATTGATATATATTTTATTTAAAATGGATTTCTTGTATATAAAACATATACCTATTAATTAAATAATGACATTAAGCAGATCGAAAAAAAAACAAGACATTTATACAATTAAACAATTAATTTTAACAGAGTTAGCAAGAAACAATTTTGATTAAAATTATATAATTATATGAATACAAAGGTAAATGGTACAAATTTATTGCAGCTAAGACATGGCCTGCACATGTCTCGAATATAATATGTCGTACCTTGAAAACCATCTGGCACATAAATTTTTATGTCAATATTACAAAACAGCATAGGCAAAGACATAGAAAAGTTGGCCTCGGTTCGCAACGCGATGTGCCGATATCCGGCCTGCAAACCGTCCAAAGGAACGATCCTCTGCCCTAGCAGTTTGCCGTTCGACTCATCGTACACCGCGAATCTCAGAGCGGCCAAATCGGGGAGGACGACTTTCCTAAAGAGAAAGGGCTCTTCATTGTAAACGGGGTTCAGACCGTTGGCGGGAACCACCCTTGTGCGAAATTCCTTGCGTATCGTGTCGGTTGTTAGGCCATACATTTCGACTTCAACGTACGTTCCGACTTTCTTGTCGGATAAAAACTGGCCAGCTATTACCTGTTAATGTAATAATAAATCAATAATAAATATGAATAACAAAACTTTTTGTAAATCGGTTTTTGTAAATCCTAAATTAATACGTACAGAAAGCTGTTAATGTACAATGCATTTTGTGTTCCTATTATTTTTTACAATCGCGACTTATATACAATTTTATTGTTATTACTCGTAAAAAAGCAATTTTTACAACTAAAATATAATAATTTTGTACAAAAGAATGACACAATAATAGTATAATATCATTGAAGATAACGAATAAGTCTTTAAATATGTAAAAAAATTTCATGAAATAAATAAAAATAATAAATGCTTACTAAAATGTTAACTGTTAATAATCTGTTAATATAATTATATATATAAATTTGATTTGAGAAAAATTGAATTTTAAAAGTATCACAAATTTGATAAAGTAACAATAAAAACAAAAATGATGTATATAAAAGTCACGTAGATCGTATTATGCAAATTGTTCAATTTTTTTTAGATAAGAAAAAACATTTTAGAAAGCGATATCGCGAGTGACCTGGATTGCCATTCAGGAAAAAGAAACGTACCTGAACGCTGCACTGTGTGGCGATCACTCCGTCCACGGGGCTCTCGGCGAAAGGATCGAAGCTCCTATCAGCGCGTCTCATGAAATCCGGCTTCAATAAATAGCCCGAAGATCCGTTGTACTCGAACTTGCCTTGATTCAATTGCATGGGCAGATCCGCGGTTTGAAAGTTCAGCGACACCATTTGGCAGCCAGCGTTCCAGAAGACCTGTTTCGCGACGATCGATCATTGAGAGACTTTTCTTCGTGTTCCCCGTGGCGCAAATTGCGCTCTACGAGCTATACGTGCTTTACCTGCGGCATATAGTTGGAAGAGTCGGCTCGTGTGCCTTTCGGATAGATCCGGCTCATCTGCCGCTTGTTATAATTTACAAATTCAATGGCAAGTTCGGAGGATTTCAAATAGGCCAAACCGGCCGTTTCCGAGAAGGAAGACATATTGTGATGAATGTTCTTTTCTGGAATAGTCATTTTTCCTCTCTTAATCGCAATTCATCGATTAATAATAACCATCAGTCACAATTTCTAACCGGCGCTCGTTGAACGTAGAATAATTATAACGATGAATAAAATATAAAATTTTCTATTAAAGAATTAGCAAAAATTTCACCTACCTTCGGCCTCCTCGAAACTGGCGAACTTTATTGGTTGCGCATAGTTGACCATGGAGGACAGCCACGGGTGCACGTTGAGAGTACTTCCGATATAATTCTGAGCCACTACCAACTCCATGCTTTCTCCAAGGCCCACCGAACCAGTGACAGATTGCTGTTGTTGAATGCTCGGCGACGTTATGGATTCAGAATTGTCCTCCTGCGGACAAGCCGAGATATCGCCGTTTTTTTTTACCGAAAGATAGGTACTTCGTTCGTTTAATTCGGTTAAGATGAAAGAGGCGCTATCATGCTCAATCCGAGGGTCACAATGGCTGTTACTTTTACCGATTGCTGTTCCACGACGGCGATCGTCGGCGGCGCGCTGGCGTCTTCCTTGATCTCGTCCTCGATTACGAATTGACCTTGCTTGAAGAGCTCCAATTCCTGCTTCTCGACTTCTGGCCTTAGGCGCTTGTTCTTAATGATAATCTTGCGTTTCAGCATGTTGGGCGACGGCAGCGGTACTCCTGGCTCCAACTGTTTTAATAATGTTTTAATCATGAGCGCACTTAAAGTCACGAAAGAGCCTCCTTTGCGTAATAGATTTATTGAATTCGATACAACAGATTCCGTAAAGGAATCGAAGAAAACAAAAGCGCATAAAATTTTGCTTACATTTTTATATTATGTATAATCGATATTACGAATAAAATTTATTGTAATTATATGTTATTAACAACTAAAAATATTTATGAACATCATCTTTACCTATCATTTAAAAATTGTTGGGAAAAAATTGATAAGGAGATATTTTTTTTTTTACAACCTTGTTAATTAATACGCGTAAGAACTTACAGGATATTCTTTGAGGGGTTCCTTCAACAATAGATCGCCCAAAATTTCATCGCAGTACTTGGCCAGTTTGTATTGTTGCTTCTTGCTACAATGATTTTCGAAGCTGAGAATTAGCGGATATTCTGATGTAACAAAGGCCGTGTCTCTGACTGCGTATATAACGTCCTTGAATAGAATGTCGGTGCACATGGCTTTGCCGTGGGTGATTATTGGCTCCTCGTCTTCCCCTTTGCCGTCCCAACAATCCAATTCAACGCACCTTTAAATTTGGATTGAAATAAAAAAAACTAAAACCTAATAGTTATCGGTTATTCGCTATTTTATGAATAAATCCCACGATGTATATTTATTTATAATTAATGTTGATAATTATCTCGTATCCGCATATTAATAAATTCAAATTAATTAAAATATCACGAGAATCTTATTAAATATGTATAACTATTTAACTATTATAATATGTATAACTATTTAAACCAACGTGAAAAGCGAATAAAAAATATGTTACTGATCCTTAAAACTTGTAACTATATGTAGTAATTTATTATAAAACATAAGCTGGACTGCTTTATTATTCTAAAATAAAGATAGATCGGTACATCTCAATGTAATATTATATATTCATCCATATAGATATTTGATAATCTGGCACAATCAATATAGCTATAAATGCACCGGATATTGAAAGCCGCTGCAGTCGCACAAGCCGGGAATAATCGTCGCATTCCATATTACTCCATATTTTACGTAGCAGCATATTGCTTACCTGCATCCAGCTAGTAGAACTTGTCTGTACATTTCGACGCTGCTCTTCCCGCCGAATTGACGGCCGCTCAGGTATGTGTTGTGGCTCGAATTGATGTAATAATGCGCAAGAGGTTGGTCCATATCCATGTAAACGTCTAATCTGTCGAGGAAAACTGGCGCGTTCTCGTCGGATATCAGGTACCTTATGAAACCGTCCTTCGTCATTGTTTCTGAAAGCACGCAATTATGTATTAAAAGAAAGCTTGTTTTAAAGCTACAAGTTCAAGCCGGTTCATTAATTCTTCAGTCGCGGCCGAAGCTAAACGACACTTAGTCGATTGAGTCGAACGAGCCGACTCAATTTTGCAGGCTCATTAAAGTTTACCCCGTCTTTGATATCTCTTTGACATCCTAATGTCTCAAGTATATAAAGAGGCACAAATGAAATATCCACAAAAGAATCGATATCTCGTGCCTCAGAGACGCGAACGGTCAGGTCTAATTTTAGAGTCAGGTTCGAGAGAATTGTCGGAGGGAGACGTTTCGAGGATACATGATTTGTTTATCAAGCTCTTACTTTCATTACGCGCAGCTTCGTTCTGCTCGTAATCATTGATAATCTCCAACGCACGTTTCTTGTCGTAGAATGGGTAGAGGATTTCATTCAGGGTCGGGTCCCTTTGCTTTCCATTAAGGAAGGTGATTAGTTGTTCCAAGTTAATTGTATCGGCCTTACCCTGCGTTCTAAAATTTTTAAGGTACATTTGTTTTAATTAAATCGGTCGCGTTAATTATCGCAAGATGACAATGTCTGTCTGTGTTGCGCTAAAATAAATCCAAACCGTAAAGTAATATAAAAAATGTAATAACAAAATATATATATACATATATATAAACATGTATAAAATATATACAACTTCCCATAGATATTTTTTTAGTTACTACTGTTGTGTGTAAATAGATACAAGATAATTAAAATTCAAATTATTAATCTCGCTAAGAGAAAAATATTATTTTTTCCTTATACAAGAAAATATACAAGGAGAGAATTTTTTAAATTTACCTTGAAAATCATATTAATCGTAGGACAACATAGTATTTCGACAAATTTTATTGTACACTACAATAAATTTGTTGTAATATATAGTAAAAAATATAGTGAAAATCACATAAAATTCGTCGAAATATTATGTTGTTCTATGATTAACATGATTTTCAGGGTAAATTTTAAAATAAAATTCTCTCCGTGTATGTATTTAATACATTATTCTAAATATATGTATTTAATAAATTCTTTAAGTTTAAATTTTTCCAAAAAAGTACTCACATGGACTGAAATAATTCCTCTATATCGTTCCTCGGGCATATTTTGTGATAAAGCGCGTAGAATGCGTCGAAGGTGAAATCGTCGGGTTCTATCACGTCGTTCTAAAACATAAACAAAAAGTCTTTGCAATACTTCCGCGAGGTATAAAAATGTTATCGATGATTTATTCTGATAGTCCATTAAGATACCTTTCCGCTAGGTAGGCCTAATTCAGAGAGACACTGGTAAACGAGCTTCTCTGTTTTACCAGACGCGAAAGTTCTCGCGACCACTTTCACTGGAACTTTTCCATTAGGATCCACCAACATTCTAAGCCGCATCCAACTAAAATTATGCAAAAAAAACTCGCTGTTTTATTCACGATTCTATTACTTCTTTAGAAATAAGAGAATCACGCGCGGTTTGGTATAAAATATGTATTTTTGTCAACTTTCAGAACGAGGTACTATAAATTTTTATTAAGTCTTCGATCTATGAAATCTAATGTAATCTCATTAAAAAACAAGAGATAGAATAATTCAATAAAATAATATAAATGTCGAAAGGAAAGGAAATTTGAGAGCTCAATAATTTCCGCTGATTAAATTACAGAGTTGCTTATTAGCTTATTGCGAATCGAATATCCTTTTGCGTCGGAACGGAATTAGAGAAACGCGAAGCTACATACGTCCGTCGTACGGAACACATTTATGGCTAATTATTTCACAGGGGTAAACAGTACTGTTTACAGACGCGTTAGTGCAAGCGTATATAAATGCATTGGCAAACTCACTGTTTCTTCAGACATGTAAGCGGGCAAACGTTATTCGCTTTGACGTTGTGCGTAATCGATCGAACGCCGTCCAACCATACCTGTGACGACACATACAAATAAAGTACCATCAGATTGTTCTTTTTATGGAACAAATGGAGAGAATACATTAAGCCCGTCGCGAGGTATGGAGATATTAATCTGAAGGTAGTATTATAAGGTAATCTTATCGGTCGTTACATAGCGACGTATCGTTACGTTTGTAAATAGATAAACTATTTATACCCGGGGAAGGGGAATTTTTTTGCTGCGCCTCGACAAAAGTTTTGTTACTATATTTTTGTTGGTATATTTTTTTTTGCATATTCGATATAGAAACGACTAAGTCTTAACTTTCTTAAATGTCATTGATTCTCAGTGGCATTGAAATACAAAAGAAAATAATAAGCTTCGTGGAAAGAGCAGGTAAATGCCGATTATTATCTTAAACGCAAAATGGTAATTAAGCATGTCAGTGATATCGAATTGTTGAGTTGTGCAATAACAATCCAGCGCTATATGCGGTACGCGATAAGGGATCTTTTGTACATCGTGTATAACACGATATACAGAACCGTGTGTGGCATATTCACGCTATATTTCCTTGCCGCTACGGTAGAAACTATAATAGCGATAAATTCACTGGAAAATGACACAGAAACACGGAAACGAGTAAAAGAACAGTATATAAAGGAGATTGATCGAGAAATTCAGCATAATCGCGATTACATGTTGCGTATCGCAGGAGTTATTACGAGAAAGAAAACTATTAACAATTAATGATAGCGTATCGCAATCTAATATCGTTAGTATAATGACACTTACACCACTTATATCGGCGTTAAACTATGGGAGAACAACAATTTCATCAACGATAGTGATCCCGCGCGCTATATCGGTATCATATCAGCCCCGCTAATAATAGTTTACTTGACCGATAAATCGAATGGCATGTCGATGCCGCGTTTCCGCCGTTATCACGATTAGTTTGCCGGCACATGTGTTACCTTGGCTGTGGCAGGATCCGGACACACGACGTGCTGATAGTTGATATTGGTGTAATCGACGCCAGAACAGATGGTCAGACTTTTCTCGTCCAATTGTTCGCCATGCTTGCTGAGCAGCTTGTCAAGTAACTTGGGATCCTGCATAAAATGCGTCGTATTAGATATCAGACGCGTTACCGTTTCTTTTTCTTCTTCTTCTTCTTCTTCTCCTCCTTCCCTTTTTATTTCATTCTTTTCTTTTTTTATCAATTTGATCGGCAAGCTTTTTTTCAGCAAGTCCGTGATTATTGTAATTTTTAGCAAACCTTTGATCACATTTCGAAGGGACAGAACAATTATTTTACCTTAGGAACGCCTCCGGCTCTGATGTCGCTCACTTGACACAGCTCTATAACGTCGCCGTCCTGCAAGGAGGAGAGACAGGATAAAAATAACCTGGTATATATTCAGGACTCTTGTAAGAAAAGGTAGTCCGAGGCACTTCACGTTCCCCTTTGTTCGAGACGCACGAAAGGGCGCGCGTACAGAAGGGGGTAAACAAAAAAAAGAAATCCTCACCTTCCCCTCGCTCTGCCAGTAGATAAAGAAACCGTACTCGTCGACTTTAAACTGGCAATTCAGCTCGATTTCAGTGTTATCCTTCTCCTCCGCCCAGCGATCGAAGACGCAGCCGGTGCGGAGTGCTTCCGGCACCTCGATCTGCCAGTTGAACTCAAACCTCTTCGTCATCTCCGCGTCGCTCTATCAACTTCCGGCCAAAGTCAGCCTAGATGCGGCGTCTTCCGATTTCTGTCAACAAGGATCAGCGCGTCACGTCGTTAAAAGCATCCTCATCGAGCGTCTCATCCGCCGCATCTCGCCGTCAAATCGAGTCGAATCGAGTGTCTGCTTTACGTCCGGGAGGAGCTTTGAAGTTCGACATTTATACCTCGCACACTCGTTCGTAAATTGTTCCGACGAATCAGAATTGCATGGCGGTATGCACAACCGAGTTTGTATGCAGCGAAACGTAAATCTCGGAGAGTTTATATTTTGTATGTATACCTCTGTAAGCTTGACGTCTAGTCGGTGAGCACAGTTTACGATGCGGAGGTACAAACTTTTACAAAACGATAATTGTTGAAGGCACGCGCATGATATGTAACACGTATAGTTAAGCCTTAAGAAATTACCGTCATTAATTGTATATGATGAGCTGATTGCTAAAACACGCAGTAAACGCCGATACTCAGGTGGACTTCGTTCTGGACACGCAATCTGCCTGTTTAGAACTCGTTTGACCGGGTATTTAGTTAGTTAATTATTAGCCGCGGCCTGTATGGCCCCGGCCGATAAGTGACACACATGAACGCAATACCTCAATGGAGCCTTCTGAACCTTAATCGGGCATTAACCCCTTTGTAAAATAAAGCGTCAAGGTTTCTTGACCTATAACCTATCGGCCTGCGACACGCAAGCGAATCCCAATATTAAAATCATTTTTGGGAATTTCGCGAAAAAAAAAAAAGAAAATTTCGATAAATAATACGCGTAATCGACAAAATCTTGATTATGTTTACTTTACGTTTAACTGTATCATTGTATTACAAAGAGAAAGTTATTCTTAACTGTATTTTGTACAACGTTCGTAATTACAAAGTTCGATTTTGCTTCAAAATTCGTAGTATGCAGGAACTGTTTTAAAAATTATTATTAAAGAAACAAAGAAAAGTGCACAAACCATTACTGCTTCTGTTATCTTTCAACAGCACTCGTTATCATTGAAGTGACCAATGCTGTTTTTTTCCATTTCTCTTGTATTTTTTTTACAGACAAATATATTACGTATCTTAACATTTTAAATTGAATATATTATTGAGAATATATTTTTTCCTTTACGAAATTGCGCATAACTTTAAACGCAATTCGGCGATCTCTCTTTTTCTTAGAAGATAAAAATAAAAATTTTTATTTTACAATGACGTTGAATTTTTTAATGTCCTGCCGTCACATAAATGCGTGCGTCAAAACTCTTATCTACATATTTCACGCATATTTCATCTTTCTATCTTTATACACAACTTTCCTGTTATTTTTATTTAGTATTTCTTTTCGACAACACATAAAAAGTTTGAAAGAAGTACATTCACTTTCTTCTCGTTTCTTTTCGGAATATTTATAATTTTTATTTTTGAGTCTCTCGAGAGAATTTTGTCGACAAAAGTTAGAAGATTGGAATTAGAATAGAATACGTTACAATGTGTGAATAGCTTCAACACTCGCATGGAAAATTGTAAAAAAACTGGCATTGAGAAAAGACGTCATCGGAGACTTTGTTATATAGAAGCTATAGTTCGAAGGAAATGGCCAAGTTCCTTTTTTTTACATACAATGTAACGTCACGGAACGCTTTCTGATGATATAAATAAATATCTTTTGTGTATCATGACGTGCAGCGCGCGCTATAGTTAACGCCATGTAAGTTTCGAAGGGTACACAAATATCGTTGCTTAAAAATTTATAAATACACAAAAATAAATCTTTCTCTTTCTTTTATCTGACGTTACACTACATGCAATATTTGGGGAGTGTGGATACAATATGAAATATACGTTATTTAAGAGCCGAGTATTACATTTGTATTACGGGACGTTTCTCCACTTGAGGCTTTTGGATTTTGGATAATCGATAGTTCGTCACGCTACAGAGAGCCTTTTAGCATCGTTGCACCGATTAACCTTTATGACAGCCTGCACTATGTAGGACGAAGGCACATACACTTAAATGTTGCCGAGTGAAAATATAGTCATATCGCGCGGAAGGTTATGTTATTATTTATTATTACTACGGTGTAATCGTAAAATTGTAAGAGATACTCACAATGTTAAGAGCGTGTCGTCTGGGTCGACTTGCTCATTTTAACTCTCGCGGTTGTGCACCTGCAACAAAATATTTAATAAACCGTAATGCAAATGTTAATAATTGAAAACTGTTTTCCGCGGTATTCTCAATGAAAAATGTGTTTGGAGAGCAAATGCAGCGGAGAGATCGTCAGACTTATTACCCGTCGGGGGATATATTTTCTTTACACTTAAGCCCTTCTCTCAAACTATCGAGCTGAAAGGACATCCAATTAAAAATTACAGACTCCATTTATTTCTCGCATAGTTATTCCGCCTTGCGCCACCTCATCCTATCCTATTAACCGCCGTGTTAATTATATCCACGGGCAGACACGTGCTTTTCTGAAATAACTTTTTACTCTTCGATTAAGTGACTCAATCGATATCTCCGTATAATTACGGCAGGCTTACGTAACACGTTACGTATGTGCAATACTTAAGTGAGGTGTATAAAATCCAGATAGCAACCTTTGGGTCATTAAGCCTATTCATTCAGTGACGTATCCCAATTGTGACACAATGGATAAGCACTTCTTCATTATCCGTGACTTAAAAAAAAAGGTAATGCATTGACGACAGTTATTTTAACTGTATAATTGTAACGTGTTGGATACACTAACAAGTACAAGTAGTTTTTGCTCCTTAAAGTTTTCTTATATTTTTTTTGAGATAATAAAAATGTAAACGAATACAAAACGTATTGATTACAAAGCCCCTTCTGGGTCACGTTACTGACGAAAGAGATTCAGAGGACGATTGTAATTTAAAATTCTTAAAAATACAGTCACAGAAGCCGCTTCGTAATTTCTTCAAATATTTTCTTAAAATATTTAATTAATTAAAATGGCTATATCGATGAGACTACTTTGTCCCGGTCATGAAATTGCACTCTCCTATTATCTAGATTAAAAATACATCAAAGTAATTGCAAAGGGTAGAAAACAACAACGAATGACGTATCACTCCCAAGATTTTTATTAATAGGTGATGTGGCATTTCGTTTTCTTCACGTAAAGGCCACTCCAGTACATCTCTCCCGGTAGCTTCGATCATTTACGTAAGTTATCTTCGGAATAAATTAAAAGTAAATCGATGAATCGTAAAACTTCATTTTTAATGCCAGAACTATTAGAAACATGAAAAAAACCTATTAATCATTTCGACATTTTTAAGAATGGAAAATATACATAATTAGTAAAACATGAAGTTTTGCTGATTTGTGAGAAGTTGTACCAATATTAATGTGTTATTAGAAAAATGTGAAGTTTTGTTGATTTGTGGAAAGTTGTATCAATATTAATGTGTTGTATCATTGAACAAATTAATCATATTTTAAACACATTCTCTATATTCAAATAGAAACTTTTAGTTTTTTCCCATTTTTATATTGATATTTGATATAATTTAGTAGATTTGCCATTTAATTCAAAATTTAATTAATTAATTGTGATATTACGTACTATTCAATTTAGAGCTGCGTTCTAAAGACCGACGATTATACGGCGCGCAGTTTGCCTGAACTGAGAAAATTCGTATATTATAATAATTTATTCGTATATTATTATAATATTCATATATTATAATATTCACATATTATAATATTAAACAGCAAAATCCACTTTGTACCGTGTTGACGTTTTCGCATCTTAATTGTTTGTAACGCTCCACGGTCGATTCTGACACTTAATTATTAAAACTAAATATTTTATACAGCAGCGTAATGCATACATTACGTTTTATTGAAAATTTTATCGTATAGACGTCGGTATCAATGTACATCGCTAACGGATATCCCACGCTATACCGCGACTTATCGTAATTGGTGCATCAGGAAATGGAAACTGCCAGACGCCATATTCCGTACCTACGTACCGTACGCCAACACGAGAAGGCACTCACGATTAAATACACATTTTTAAACGCGGCCGTAAAAATATTTATGGCAAACCAACTCTCATGCCCGTGCACAAAAAATAACTGGGTCTCCCGAAAGAGTTATTGTAACTCAAGTTTCACAATATTAGAGAAACGTATGAAATGCGCTCTGGATAATAAATTTATATTTGTAAATTAATTTAGTTATATTATGTATATTTGTTGTCGTATTTCATGTATATAATGACTGTCACCTTTATTATATTTTGGCACATCTCTTATTTAGAAGATATTTTAAAACATATCACACATAAAAATGGAAATACACCTGCACTCTTAAAAATCTTGGCAACGACATTAAATTCCTGTAACGATAAATTTTCATCACGTTTCCGAAATCCAAAAATAACGTATGTCCGCAATTTGATCTATTATTAGATATCGAGCTACGATTTTTGATCTGTAAATCTAAAGATACTTTAACGATGAAGTTGTTCTTGAGAGTTTCAGCGTTCGTAATATCATGATGTTAAGATTGTAGTAAGATCTGTAAAGCTTAAACGAATTTTAAGTAAAGCTTAAAATTGAAAATGATTCAAGTGCAAAAACATGTGGAGGAAAACTATAAATGCTAGCTTGGGATATTGGCAATAACGTAGATATGGCAACGGACCATAAAATCATAAGAGAAGGAAAGAGAAAGAGAGAGAAAGAGAGAGAGAGAAAAGTAAACATTACATTAATAAATGAGATACTTGGAGATGAAGAAGTCCGTAGCGATGACTCGCATACTTTATTATCAAGGTTAGCCAGTGCAAAAATTTTATGGCGCTGTAATTTGTGAAATATATTTTTTGTTATATTTATGCACTGCTGCTCTGTTGCTACAAAAAAATAATTAATCAACTTCCTGTAAAAAATGATGATATATAGATATTAAATTGGAATAATTCCTAAAACATAGTAAGTGAACAGAATAACACGAGATTGTTACTGTAAAAAATGATACTTAATAAATTATAATAGTTAAATCTGTCATACGAATATAAGCTGTGTCTCTGTTTAATGTATATAAATCAGTTTTGACAAGTTATATATGTATATGCCGATATAAAGAAAAACATTCAATTCTCTGCAGTCTCAACCACCTTGACCTATAAACTTGTTAAGAAAGAAAAAAAGATGGAGATACGAGGGAACAAGTTTTCGGAACGAATAAACGCAAAGATTTCAAAAGCAAAATTCTCCCAACTTCGCCAAAATTCGCCGTTTGCGACATCGGTATTAGCCACGCGACTTCCAAGAATTAGCCACGTCCTCGCGGATGTTTCCTACTCGCGCGGCAACGCAGTTTAGGTGTCCGTTAATTTCGCAGAGGCGGAATTCGGATTGCCGCCGTCGATTTGTCAGACGATCAGCTGACACCGCGGTTTCGCGCGTGTAACGCGCGACGGATCGTGGTGGGCAGAAAAATATAACGATTTCCCTGGAAGCGTTGCAAAATACTGCAATGTAAATGCAGTAAATGGGAAGCGACGCGCGCGGAGCGCTTGTGCCCGGTGATACACGAAGCAGAACGCTCGATGCACGGAGCCGAATGCGGAGAGCAAATGCCCAAGCATTAATGCGGGCATTCGTAATCGGCCACCGACGCGTATCTCGCTAGATACACGCGAGCATACAACGCGTGTCTATATAAACAGCCGTGTGTATACGGGGCGCATAAACAGACGAACGTTACGAAAATACATATAACGTGTGACTCGTGCCGCTATGGCTCTGCTCTTCGGTAAATGGTTGAAGACGTTCTTAGAGCCCCGACAACCTGCATGTTCCCATGAGCCGACCGCATTAACGATGCGTTATAATTTATTACGACTATCACGATCCCCATCGTACCTCATCGCGGCTGGTTATTGCGGCATTTAGGAGCACCAAGATGGCGAGTAAAATTGAAGATAAGAAATCAGTTTGATTAAGATAAGTCTGTATTGTTATCGTTAATCATTGATAATCATTGGCGTTAATCATTGAAATACGCTATTGTTTAATTTAAAGATTTGGCGCTCGCAATATAAAAATCTGTAAAAATAAATAATAAATTTATTATAAATTAATTAAATATAAATTATGTAAAGAGTTAATTATGTAAATGTAAATTAATTTTTAGATAATACAGCAGTCTTGTTAGATTAAAAACCTTGAAGTTAATTTCAGAAGCTATTTTTGCTTACATATAAATAGTTTAGAAGGATAGTTCGTAAATAGTTTATCTTTGAATCGAGATGATTTATTTAGGACTGCGATAGAGAGATTACGTAGCGTAATCTCGTAATGGAAAACAGAAATTTATGTCGGTTTGTAATCTCACGGTGAGATATGGAAATGCTAACTTTATCTCTTATATTTGATCTCCTTTCCATCTTCACACACATCTAATTTATTTTCTTATAAGATTAATTTGCATTATCGTGTCGATCTTTGCGTATCAAATATGATTTTGATAAACACGAGTGTGCCCTACATATTATCTAGTGTACTCTATATATGTTACTGCACACGTTCGTAACTTTTGTTGCGATCCGTAAGCACGAGAAATTTTCAACAAAATATAATGCTCCATTACCCATAATTACAGAATATTCAACACAAAAGCTCCGACTTCCAGAAATTTGATGCAATTATGAACGCAAATTTGCAAAAATTTTAATGATTCTCCTCTCGCGCATGCATAAGTAATTTATTTATTTTCACATTTGCTTTTTTACTGTGTTTTGGTCTTTTCCACATAGGTAAATCGTTTTATTATACGCAATATAAATATATTTTTACGTAGCTAAATCTTTTTATTATACATAATGTAAATAATCTCTGCTGCTATAATTATGTGTTATAAAATCATACAAGTCGTACACATAACAGTATTACTTTGTAATAGTTTAGTCTTTTGGTAATAATTTATATGTAACTAATTCGGTGATTCAAATAATAAATTAATGATAGAATATACTTCATAACTATAATTTGTATTTTCAATAATTTTACGCAAAGTCTAATCGTCGATTAAAATTACGTAATTAATGTAATTAATATGAGTTTAATTAAAGTAACTAATAAGAGAATTATTGAATTAAGATGTTTCTGCCCGAAATTAACAAATAATTAATTTACAAAGCGCAAAAAATTTTTTGAAGTGAAAATTTTTGAAGTGAAATCATCCAACCCAAGATTTATGTAATCGACGTAAGAAAATGTAAGAATATTATAAGCGATGTCTACTAGCAGAAAATCAATTGCCAAACGACTGTGATTCAATTACCTAATGCGAATCAATAATTATATAATTTCCGGAGCTTTCGAGGTTGAATTACCGTCGCGACATTGACCGTTCAATCGTTTAATGTACCTAATGGCCACTTTAGGTAGAATGGAAACAAATGAGGCTTATGACCTGACTGCCTCTGTTTTTGAGTTGAGATATATTTGTATTACGTAACATAAATTGCATACATGCTGAGCAGCTAAGCTATACGTGTGTCTGTTTCAGTGTACTATTAAATTTGGTAAAAGAAATAACGTATTAATACGTTAATGTTATGTCGAGATTAGATATATTTGCTGATGTTTACTCAAAAGAAAAGCAACAAAAATAATACATAGAATTGATTATAAAATATTAAAAGAGGAAAGAAACAATAATTTATGACATTTTTTTATTTTATAAAAATATTCAAAATATATAAAAAACTAAAGGTTATTAAATAAAAAAAAAGAAATAAAAATTAAGAAAAGAAGAGCAGCATTTTATAATTATTTAAAAGATTGTCGGCAATTTAACGTTTGCAGTGCTAAAAACAAGACATTATATATTTATATAATATCTAATTATTCAATAACTAATGATACGTTCAAAAAGAAAGAAAAAGAGAATTAATGTTTTATATTTATTACATATAATTATAATAATTATAAACGCTTATCGCGCAAACAATGCCATATAACTTTGTTATTATTAGCTCTTACAAGTTATGTTGTGTCTCTCATTATTATCGGTTGTACAACGATTCCAAGTATACGACAGATAGCTCCCGATGAAAAATGCGTTATGCAATATGTTTGTGGTCATAATTCACTCGCTTCTCGTGTTTGCATTCTGTGTGGTTAACGCGGGAGAAATCGATGACTCCGTATTATCTGTATTATCGTTAAAATTTACGAGCGCATTTCTCCCACGGTGCAGAAGTTGCGCCGGAAGAGCACAAATATTTCGAGACGTGAATTCGTGCCTCCGAAAACACTTTGCATCTCGCAATTGTACGTACGATGCACGTACGTACGTGCAGACATCTTGAGTTATTAACAAGTCCGCACTTTAGCCGACAAGGATAAAACCTGCTTTGCAATGAAGTTTCTCGTGAGATCACCGTCCAATTGAACAATTGCGTAATTAAAGTTTCCTCCAAGCAGCTGTTGCGCCTGATTATTTTTCCGAGAAAAATGCGCCGCGGTTTTGTTGCTATGCACGAAGGGATCAGAAGATAATGATAACTTTTGAGAGTAAAAATAATATTGAAAAAAAAAACGCTCCGACGCGATTACTCCAATTATTAAGCTCCAGAAAGAAACGCGCGCTTCGCGAATCTTCAATATTGTATAAACAGTAAGAAAGCCGATGATTAAAAAATATATTCTACAATCAGATATCAGCGAATTGTTCTGTAGGTATGTCATTGAAAGAAACTGGACCTCGCTGGAGCGTCCGGTTGCTCCGTTTCAGCTTAGGAAGCCCGTCCGCGAGATTGGCGCCTATTTGAGACGCGCGCTATAGCGCTATTCGATTTCCTCGGCAATCGTGCTGAGATAACGAGGAGCTTCGGTGGAGAAGGAGGAGGAGGAGGAGGTGCAAATGGTATTCGCGACACGTATCGCCTCGCTGCGAATACGGCGCCGGCGACGACCGACGGTCGGCGCGCGGATGAGAAGTCCGAGGGAATCAGGTGTCGGACCGACGCGCGACAACCGACCTGCGTCTGACCTCGCGAGGGAATGTCGTAACATTTGCGCACGACGGGGACGGGGACGGGGACGGGGACGGCGGCGGCGGCGGCGGCGGCGGCGGCGGCGGCGGCGGCGACGACGGCGCCTCCGGGTTCCCTTGACCTCGAAAATCCCTCGGGAAGCCTCGGCGAGTCAGGGTCGCGTCCCGATATTCGTCGCGGCCTCGTATCTCGCGCACCTATCTCGCGCTTTATTCGCGCGGCTTATCTCCCGGCAGGCGATAGCGCAGCTAATTAGCAAGTCGTCGTCGCCTCCTCCTCCGCGCTCGCTTCCTCACGCGGCGCGCGAGTGTGCATATTATGTGTGCGGCACGGCCGGATGGCAGCGCGCACAGTGCGCGTACTGTAGTTGCGCGCGTGATAGCACGCACGGGCGATACGCACACGCACGCGAGCAGTAGCCGGAGTCGGAGCGGCGAGAGAAGGTGGAAAAGTATAATGAGAGAAAGAGAAAGATAGAGAGGGGGAGAGCGAGCGAGTATCGCGTGGCGTGCGAGTGTATATATACGCACGGTACAGCGGTCTGGTTAATGGTCGCGCTTAGCGCGATTAATCCATTCTTTTGTCAAACAGTATGTCTCTCTCTCTCTCTCTCTCTTTCTCTCTCTCTCTCTCTCTCTCTCTCGTGGGAATCGCTTTAATAATTGATAATATCACGATTACACAGTAGAACGTTTTAATTTATTTTATGACCAGAGAAAGTGGATTGCGACCGCGCGCGGTCGTCCTCGCCTTCGTAATTAGGTCTGAAGTAATTAGCGGTTTAATATTACGCGAGTAGCGAGCGATAATGCATTTGGTACATCGCCGTCCCGGCTCAATCTTGATGGTACGCCCTTTATATGCAAATTAATTACGTGCAGAGCGCGAGGCATCACCGCTCAATTCGAAGCGCAGCGCTCGCCGATCTGACGAGACAGAAGTTTACACGGAGATTACGCTTAACGAGTTGTTAACGCTTAAAGTAAAAATGCCAGTAAATCGCTTCGATATTTCACCACATAAGGTAAAAATAATTAAAAATCAAAACGGTTACGTTTAGCAAAATTTGAAGAGAGTCTGGAGTCGGCGAAATTTTATCAATGAGAACGATTGCGGGAAGACTTTGAAGGAAGACGCGCGAAAAAGACTTAGCGCGCGAAGAGCGGGAATGCGCGGATGCAAATATCACTCGCTGAGAAAACATACAGAAACGGATAAGAGCCGAAGGAAAATACGGACTTTCCAACCGGTGCGGCGCGGCGTGTGCGCGCGTGCAAGAGCGCGGCACGCGTGACACGTCTCATGACGCGCACTGAAGCGAACGTCGGCGACGTCGACTGCATGCGCGCGTTATACATGCACCTCGCTTCATGTATACGTAACGCGCTCGTCTAAAGAAATTGGCAATCCGAATTCCTCGGTCTTACCGCTTGGTCGGCTTCCCCGCACGCGCGTGTGATTATCCGTCGTACGACGAGTGCAGCGGCAGCGGCGACGGCGGCGATCTCATCCTCCGGCGTAGCTCCGCGCGCACATCAGCTCCGCGGGCGGCACACGCGACGCGAGTGGCGAGAATTTTGAAGTGGAAACTGAATGGCAAGACGGCGAGACAGACGGCCGGACGCGGGCGCAGACGTCTTTTGTACGCGGGAATGAAATTATTACGCTCCGGCGCCGGACGTCCTCCAGGCGCGATGGAAGAAACTGACGCTGCCGCACCGTTTCTGTTAACCAGCGAACCAGCCGTCTGGCTCGATACCGTCTTTTTCCCCTGCGCGCATGTGCGCGCTCGTGACCGTCATTCAGTTTCCAACTACATCTTGTCGGCAAGAACGAGATCTGCTCGCCTCTGAAGCTATTCCATCAGCAAGTGCGGAGTGTATCGTACCGTCGGAAGTGGTGCTCGGAATATTCCGGCGGTCGAACGACGGGCTCCCGTCGCTCGACGCTTCGTACTTCCTGCCCGAGCCTGAAGATTCCCGGCTCTTCCTGAAGTCCAAGATTAAATATACATCCGTCGAGCACAATACAAATTTCAAAAATTCAAACTTAACTTTAGGTAACACGGCAATCCCAAGTATAGTAAGATGACGTCAATTAAATGACGTCTTTCAATAACATGTGTTATTAAACTTGTTATCAAGATATCTTTTGACGTCATCTTGCTACTTGGGATATGAGATAACAAGCATATCATAAAAAAAGGAAACAAACAAAAATTAGAAATAATCTTAAACTTACAGAAAATAATCCAATTGTTTCCATGTATTGTATAAATCTTCCTTGAAATCACAAATGTTCGAACTGCGAATCCGGAAAAATCTTCACCTTACTGTATTCAAGTAGCAAAATGACGTCAAATCTTAATGACATCTCTAACGTCAATAAGACATTATTAAAACGTCATTTGACGTTTCCAATGTTCAAACTACAAATCCGGAAAAATCTTCACCTTACTATTATCCAAGTAGCAAAATGACGTCAAAGGACGTCTTAATAATATCTTAATGGTATCTCTAACGTCAATAAGACATTATTGAAATGTCATTTGACGTCACTTTGCTTGGGTAATTTCATTAAACTTTATCAGAACATTTCATTTTTTTTAACTATCGAATATCTTACACAAATCTGAATCTAAACTGGAAACCGTCAAGTTTTAAAATTTTTAGTTTTATCTTTCCATCAGAAACAAAAAATTATTTTACGTATTTGCGTTTAATATGCATGTCAAGCAACATTAATTCTTTTTATTCGAAGCATCGAAATTTCGATAGTTCTGCAGTACAATAGATAAGCACATTGACAAACAAATTGATAGACAAGTTTTATCTTTTCAACGAAATACCGAATATTAGCCGCCTATTTATTTATAGAATTATGTTGATAGAATAATATATTCACTTTTAGAGTTGTCACAATACTCGAAGGAGAAATGCGATAATTTGTGTTCGTACTTCAATTTATCACCTCAATCCAAAAAATACAACAAATCATGACAGAAGAAAAATAATCTTTATAATAATTAATATTGTATATCAGGGTCACAAATGATATTATCATTTATCAGATTTTCCAAGGTACACATTTAGAAAGAAAAGATTAATCGCTTCCCACTAATTACCGAAGAAAATCATTTACAGAGGTGCGAAGTTTAAATGAAAAATGTTTAATTTAAACTTGCACATGCATCTCACGAAACTATCGCGGTTGCTAACGTATCCCGTTCCGATTTATATCACACAGTCGATTTAATCAGTGAAAGCCGCAATAAACTTTTATTTACCTCGCAAACACGCTCGCGATGGAAACGCGATGAGAACAGAATAAAGTTCGATGTTATAAGACGGATCGGTAAAAAAAAGAATCACAGTGATTAGAAAATAATCGCGATTTTGGATACACTTTACTATCACTGGGTGACCTGACGTTAACTTTCTGATAAACAAATTTCGACGTGTATCGGAAATTTGACGATAAGTATAGACGAGAATAAGTGGAGGCGCGTGCTTCAGACATCTCAATCGCAAATTCCAATGTAGAATGAACTCGTGAGTCATCGGATAGAAATATCTCACTTTGCACGACGCGGATGAATCGTAAGTAAATAAACATGCGAGTCCTATCTTAAAGCTGCACTAACAATGAAAATAACAGCGGTAATGTATTATCGGTATTACTATTGCATTGAAGCGAAACGTGAGCGATTTTCGTTCAGACGAAAAGCGTGGAATCGGAAGTAGCCGCGACGCGATGCTTTTTTTTATTAAGCTCTTTTATTAAACTAAAAATCATTAATGAACTGCGATTAATACACTCTTTTGCCATCTTCTTTAAGATTGACCGCTGATCTGTACATTGCATTTTGCCTCGTTTATTGGCAGCTAAAGAGAAAGTTGTAAATGTAATGTAATAAGATTGATAAAAAGTAAAATTTTTTTTTAGCTACATTCTATTTACTTATAGAATTTCTTTAATTTTTTATCATATATAATAAATAGCAATATAATTTTCTATATAACAAAATCGACAGTTAACAGTTGTACATATATACATTAATTGTATAAATAAAGACTGAAATTAATATATAATTATTATATAATTTACGTAAAACTATAAACTTATATAATATATATGTAATTATACATATATAATTATATAATTAATATTTTATTTATTATTAAAAAATCTCTCTACGAAAGTTTTATATAGTGGGATTAGTTCCACATCAGAAGCTATAATATTTTGTATCTTCTTCATTGATAATTCATATTTGCTATGATTCATCGATAATTATAGCATATAGCAGTTATATAATTTTGAGAAAATGTTTCCGAATAAGTTTCATGTTATAATAGCTAATTAAAAAGAAGCTAAAATGGAAATTAAAAAAAAATTAAAATTTGCATTTTGATATGTTATCATATTTCTGTTTTTTTATCTACAAAATTACAAATTAAAAGACGGTTAATAAAATCTTTTGAGAGTTTTGAGAGAAGATAATATTTAGGTAATATCTGTTACTCATATGAACTGCTGAATGGAGAGGAATAACATATCCACGCTCTCTGTGAGGCTTTCTGTGAAAATTAACAGATATATTAGGTCGGTAACACAGTATGTTCCAGTTTATAAAATTTGCATTCAATAATTCATTTTTAACTTATGCAACTAGATGTTTGAATATTTTGCTAAACTTAATAATAATAATACATATATATTTTTTTTTCTTTATTAATTTGCATTTTAATATTGCTGTGCTAAATCAATAATTATAGTATAATATATAGAAGTTATATATAATTAAAAAATAATGCTAAATAAGTTTTTATGCAATAGCTAATTAAAAAAAGAATTTTAGAAAAAATTGTGAAATGTTAGATAATTGAAATTATAATTTGGTATTTATATAGTTATAACATCATACTTATAAAAACTATTTTAATTATAACATTTATGTTATTGTAAGACTCGTATTTTTTTAGAAATACTATATATCGAATTTTATTTTTTTAAATCTGAAGTACGTTCAATCAAAATTTGACGTGTGTTGGTTGATTTGTTTTCTGAACGTCACGCATAAAAATTTTACACGCAAAGCGTGTACAGACAAATATTATATATTCAAAATGTACAAATATTATTATACCTTCATGGATTGCAAATTGTTGTAATTGGTTTATTAATAATTACAGAATAACAATTTATAATCATGCGAAAAATTTATTAACGGATACGCGATACGAGAATAATTACAATAACGATATTCGATAGTGCATAATAAATCTATAATAATTTATAATAAATTACGTTTGTAAAATCTGATAATTGAAATTATTTCTTTGCTCTTCCATTGTATTATAGATTAAAATAATATGAGTATATAATACGAAATAAGGGCTTTGCACTATTTTTACAGTACATTTATATGTACAGTCCCATTATAAATGTACAATTTTTATATTTGTTGATCGCAAAAATTTATATATCCTTGATAATATAGACATTGAATATATTCATATTGCTTCATTCTAACATTTCATTAAGTTATAGCTGCTCAAATTTTATAAGAGTTTATGTCATTATTCTACAGTACGTTGTATGTCGGTGTCGTAAGTTGTAAGATAATAAGAATTGACCAATCGCAGAATGCGAGGCGAATACTCGACTGATTAATCAACTCTTACGACTCACAATGTATAGAATGGGCTTAAGATTTCCGTTAAACTGCAACGCGAAAATTTCGTATTTATATCGAAATGCGTATATGAATAGAATTTATATTCGAATACCAATGTTGAAGACACGCCCGGCCGTTGAATTGCATTGTATTGCATCCGGTATTATGCCGAATGCCCGTACATTTTTGAACGAGTCTTTTATACGCTTGGAAAGGGAAATTTTATTTGTGATCCGTGGTACCTTACATGCTAAATCGTTCAAGATTCAAACGTTATAAATGCATAGAACACCTCGTGCCGCAGAATTTATTCGCGCCGTAAAGAACGCAAGTGTATTCATTTTCCCACCGAGGGAAGCGTAGGCATGCAGCTATACCATTATTACATTTCGCGTATCTAAGCAGAAATTGTGCGAGCAACGAAACAAATTAATATTATGGAGATCTTGTGTGCGTATACGTGTATATCCGTAAGCAAAAGTTTCTTTTCTTATTCGCATTCTTGACTCGCAAAACTATACACGTCTTACCTGGTTTACAGAGCAAATAATCTGGGATAAGCCCCTACTATATTGCATTTAATGAAATTGCTTGAGCATATTTAAGCTTAAGCTTAAGAAACATGATTCTTCATTTGAATTATGAAAATGTAAATAATATAATCGGGGAAGAGAAGAAAATATTAAACTTTGTGCAAAAGTTACACGAAATGTTATTCTCGCTGTATGTTGGAATAGTGTATTTTTCACGAAAAATGTAATTTGAGAAGCGCGCTGTTCACACAGTTGCCTAACAGGTCGCAATCTCTCGCTGAAGAAATTATCGCAAAACTAAAAGCCAGGATAATGCGTTTCTATTAGGATCCGTTGCACACGTATTAAGTTAACTATATCGTGTTAAGTATAACGCGGCTGGTTTTATAGCTTTCTACAAAGTAACGTTATACGTCTCACGTTCGCCAGGGCTTCGTGCAGAGGAAGCGTTGTATTTATGGTTGCATCCCTATCCATGCTTTTACGCGGACAAATACTATACTCTGCGTAATAAAAATACATCGTAAGAGGGAGATTAAATAAAATAAAAATCTGATGGTTGTTATGATTAAAAGAAATAAAAATCTAATCATTATTGTAGTATATTATACCGTTACGCTTAATTAGATTGCTTTTACGCAAGAACTTATATTAAAGAGAAAGATAATA